TCTCATGATGGAGACGTTACTGGGCCCGCTCGAGCAAATCGATGAACAATGAGAGGACCGTGACCATTAAAGCATAAAGTCTTGAATTCACTCCCAATATTAATTTTCCTTCTTGCAGTCAGTTTATTTTGATTTGGCACATTATCACCCAAAACAAAGATAATGTTAGTTATAACTAGATATAGCCAGATGACTAATTTCAGACTTATGGTATGAACTATGAATTTGTTGTCATACTTTGATATGTTTGAAACTTTGAGTGGTGCCATCAGAAGGATCAATGTGCTTTTGTTTTAAAAGGGGTAACCCCAGTGGTGCTTAGTTTGTTGAGAGGGATGAGGTGCTGCAAATCAAACTCAGGACTTTACACAGGAGAAATATATGCTCTCCCACTTGAACTATCTCCCTGTCCTCAAAGAGGGTGAGCTTTTCATTTTCTTTATTCCAACAGGAATAAGAAGATAGTAGCAAAAGTTATATTAAGCATCTTGGTCCATAAACATAAGTTACCAATAGAACCATAAAGCAGAGCAGCAAAACAGAGCCTAAGTCTTTGTCTTTTTGGATATGAGAAATAAAAATTCTGTTTATTTGTCACATATTTTATGGCTTTTTCTTATTCAGAGCTGACTTTTACCCAAATAAGTATCAGATTATTAAATTTGAAGAGTCTGTGAAATTCCTAGTAGGGATTGATAGTTGGTTATACTATTTTGGAATTAGACAAAAGATCTGAGTTGAAAGCAGGTTTGTAAGTGACTTGCATATAGATAATTCCCTGAAAAAAGTATGGAATTTTTCAGTAGTCTTCAGAAAATTAGACATTTACATCTAATCTTCTATTACAAGTATCAGGAGATTTTGGATCACAGTAATTTGTATTTAAAGAATTATATTTGAAAACAAAAGTGGGGCTGGAGTGATAGCACAGTGAGTAGGGCATTTGCATTGCACATGGCCAACCCGGGTTCAATTCCCAGCCTTCTATATGGTCCCCCAATCACTGCCAGGAGTAATTCCTGAGTGCATGAGCCAGGAGTAACCCCTGTGCATCGCCAGGTGTGACCCAAAAATCCCCCCACAAATAAAAAGGAAAAAAAAGTGCTATCATGACTGTTTGTATAATTATCTACTCTTTACAAGGTAGTCTACAAGTGTGCACTATAATAAAAACCCTTAAATTATGGAGAAATGATAATAAAATCTGTATTAGAAATAACCTTAGATACCAAATATAGTACATTGAATTAATAAGTAATAAGTACTTAGGAACAAACACTTCATACCTATTTTTTAATAAATGAAATGTCAGGCCAGAGAGATAGTCTAGTGGGTAAGATGCACCTGCACGTGGCTGGCCTGAGTTCAATTCCCGGTATATGATCTGTTGAGCATCACCAGGAGTGATCCCTGACCTTGGAGTTCAGGAGTAAGACTGAGAACCTCTGGGTGTGCCCCTCAGCCCCCAAAAAACAAATCCTTTTGAAAAAATGAAATGTAAGTTTAAGCAACTACATAGGACTCAGAACTCATAGAACTACATGGGACTCGGAACTTTATTAAAAAGACTCATCAGAAGGAGAGGGATAAACACAATGACCTCACGTATATGCGGGATATAAAGAAACTAGGTTCATATCTAAAACCCAAAAGCAACAGAAACAGAGCAGGAAAACTGGTATTTCAAAAGAAGACTGGGGTGGGGGGTGCAGGTAGGGAGAGGTGAGATAGGTCAGGGAAAGGAACACAACAATGACAGAGGAACGTGGTCACTCTGGAGCAGGACTAGTTGCTGAAAGTTAGGTAAAGTGAACAACCATGACAAACTATCAGCAACAGTACTGCAAACCACAGTGTCTAAAAGGAGGGGTGAGGGATGAAAAAAAGAGAGATGGTCCTGCCATCGGGGTGGAGAAAAACTGGGGACACTGGTGGAGAGAAGTGGACATTGGTAAAGGGATGGTGTTGCTACATTTTATGTCTGGAAATCAGGATTAACTTTGGAACTCTGTAATTCACAGTGATTCAGTAAAAAACAAAACAAACAAAAGAGAACTTTGTAAGATTGAAAAGACAGGCACAAATTTAAAAAAAAATATGTGTACCTGGCCCTGCCACAGAGGCAGGATGGGAAGGGGGAATGGGGGGTGGGAGGGATGCTGGGACCCGTGGTGGTAGAGGATGGGCGCTGGTGGAGGGATGGGTACTTGATCATTGTATAACCGAAACCCAAGCACAAAAATTTGTAAATCTACAACTGTACCTCATGGTGTCTCACTAATAAAAATAAATAAATAAATAAAAATGTGTACCTGTTAAAGTTACTAGATTGTTAAATTCATCATCCAAAATAGAAGTGGGAATGCTTGGAAGGGGCCCCTGGGACAAGAGGGAACGGAAGCAGGTCGTCTGGTAATGGGTGTGATGTTGAAATAACGTATGCATGAAAAGTATAATTAACTAGTGTTAAGTCCCAGTGCCTCAATAAAAATGATTAAATAACAATGAACCTGGTGGCAGAATATCCTGCTGTCATGCCAGGCTGTCTTCACCAGGGCCCCTCAGAGGGGGGCAAGTTGAGTTTCCTTCCCTGCCCCAAGCAGAACCCCGGCAGCTGAAAACCTCCAGAACCCAGCTACAGCCATGCCCAAGGCCACTCTCCAAATCCTCGGACGAGCCTCAGGCATGAAGGAACCAGTGGAGGAACCCAGGTATGCGGGACCCGTGGCTGAGATCTCCAAGCCTGCTCGGATTGGGACTGGGCCTCCTCCACCCAGAGCCCCAGTTTTCCGGTAGCTTGGCAGTCACACCCATGAACTGTCCCTGGTGCCATGTAATCTCATCAACAGCCAAGATCCAGTGACTATATAACAAAGCTCCCGGAGGAGAGTGATGCAGTATTTCCTGGAGCGGGCAACCTCTTATGCTCTAGCCCACTGATGTACCTAAAGCAGCACACATCTGTTTCGTTTTAACATACTTGCTTGTATTCTCTTGTATACTGGCTTAAATGGACCCAGAATGAAATACAACAACCTTCATATACTTCCCTCTTATTGTGGTGGGAAGATGTTCACTGGTTGGGTGGGTGTTTGAATACTATCTGTAATGAATTATTGTGAACTACTTTATGAAAATAAATTGTATAAAAGTTGCAAAAAAATGAACCTGGTTAGTCCCTATGCGCTATTTTTAAACTTTGAAGCCTTCCCAACTACAGACCTCATTAGAAGTTACCTCTTCCCAGAGTTTTTTTTTCTTAAAAATAAGTGTCCTAACCTCAATTCTAAATTATTCATTATTGATTTCTTGAGATATTTCCAAATTTAAATGATTATGCTATTTAAAATTGTTCTTGAAGTTTTTGAATAAACCAGCATCTATATTTTTATTTTGTAGAAATTTTCTATTAGTTTTGAAATCCAGACTATCTGACCTCTTCTTCACATATAGCCTGCACCTGCACATAGGTATTACAAAATAATCTCAGCATAAGATTTAGCAAAAGTAATTTAAAAGTAAGTATACTAGGGCCAGGAATTTCGTTCAGTGATAGAGTATTGTGTGAGGACCCGAAGTTTGACCTTGAGCACTAAATCCCCACAAAAGGTAAAAGAAGTATTCTATGAAAAATAAAATTGCGCGTATAAGGCCAAAGTGATGATACAGTGGGTAGGGCATTTGACTTGCATGCAGCTGGTCCAGGGTTTGACCCTTAGCATCCCATGTAGCCCCCCAAGCACTGCCAGGAGCAATTCCTAAGTGCAGACTCAAGAGTGACCCCTGAACATCACTGAATGTGGCATCAAAGCCAAAACATATAAAATCACATGCATCTCAGCTCGTCCTCGATTTTGTTCACATCCTAGTTAAGAGTGCCCTGTCTTCTTGTCTCACTTCACAGCACAGACTAGCTGGCAGTGAATCAGTGTATATCCAACAGCACGAAGCAAACCCACATGTAGCCTGAGAGAGAAGGTGGAATTCCTCTGTGCCTCAAATCCATGTGATTCTCAGACACAGTCAAGCCAGTGACCAGAAACTGAACCCGACTTCCTGATCCGAGACTCTTCATCAAGGAACATCATAAATCCACATTAATCAGAATGTAATTCTGCAAACTTTTAAAGCTTCAGGCCAGAGATTAAATGTTCCCAGGATGAGTAAGGGATAGGAGACAGAGACAGGTATCTGGTAATCAAACTGGGTTAAGTATCTCGAGGTAAAATCTTGAAGTTCTCTTTCTTCCTATATAAGCTAAAAGAATTAAGTTGGTGTGATTTTAGGGGTGTTTTCTATCTTTAAAAGTGTACATATTGCAAATTCGGGTGAATATTCCAAATTTATAATCTGCTTCACACCAGCTAACCAAAATGCATCCATTGCTCTTTTGTTTCTTTTTAACTTCATCTCCAGGAAGAATTTAATTTAAAAGCTCTGCACTATGGAAAGTTGAACTTTCTCCAGTGCTCTTCCACCCACCCCCAACTCCCACCAATGGATAGGAGTCCTTCACACCAATGTTTACATTGGTTCCCTTTCCTGTTTAGAATGGTTTTATTGTATTCAGAAAAATCAAAAAAAAAAAAAAGAAGCTATCACTAACGTAAAACTTTCCATTAAGAGATTTTCCTTTTTGCAATTATAAATGGCCTTTTATTGGGTAAAGTACAGTATAGGAAAGTGATTAAATGCATATGAAATCCTGTGGGTTGTTAGAGCTTAATGGGGTTGTTTAGGGTTTCCTAGGATACCTACTTGTTTTCCACCAAGCCACATGTCCTCTACATTCCTATTAAAGTCTTTGGAATCTGCTGGGCTTTTTAAGGCTCTCACCACTCTCCTTCTATGACTTCACCATATCATTAAAAATCTAAAGCTATTTAGCATAATTTAATAGCATTAGCAAGATATGTAACTGTATCCAAGGATATGAATTTGTTTGTTGTAACAACCAACTGAAGAGTCCAAATGGCAATTCAAAGAAAAACACACCAAGATAAATTTTCAGTAGTTTTATTGAAAAATGCCTCTTTTGTTTCAGAAATAAATAATATAAGGCAGTGAAATTCACAATCTGCAGTTAAAATATAAAAGCAGCAATTCTATGTTCATAGTCTTGCAAACATTTTCCAACTGCTTTCGATAACTAAGAAACATTATGTTCTGAAAAAAAAAAAGTTCATACTAAATATACAACACAAACATGCAATTCCATCTCTGCAGAATAATCTGCAATTTGGCATAAATGTTAGTGTGTCTAAAACAAGGAGGTTTAAGGCAATATGGAACTGTATCCAGTTGATACCATAATTTCAGCTACATGGCTTAAGGTTTGTGGTTGTTAAAGGAGATAAGAGCATTCTATGCCCTAATGGATAACAGAAGGTAGAAGAAGAAGATAAATAATGACAACGGAGTTGTGTTTTCTCTTACTTTTCGGTTTCAGGAGGGGAATTCTTTTGAATCGTGGTGTGATTGAATTGCAAATAGGTATTGGAAAAGATCATATGCCCTCTGGAAAGAAACAGTCGTGTTCTGGGTTCCAGAACTTACTGCCTCACCTACGAGTTTCACCGAAGCTGCCCACGGTGCTGACACACAAGGCATCCAGCACCCTCTCTCCTTGCAGCTTTTGGGAATAAGTGTTTTTGCAAGCGTTTCAAGGGCAAAGACATGTCTATAGACTGTGCTGTGAGCTAGGCTTCCTGGAAGAAACAAGGCTCTCTCCGGTCAGAGAGGGTGCTCTTGGATGAGGCAGCGCCGGAAAAAATACAAATCGCAGATAAGACACGTACACTGCTCTATCTGACCTGTAAATGAGAATCCCCCACACCTCCCCCCAGCCTGGCTGCAATGCGCCAGGTCTCAGGTTCATTGCCGGGGGCCGCCGGGCAGGGCGCGCCTCCAACGCGCATGGAGAGGATGCTGGTCCGCAGGCTGGTCCGCACCATAGTCCTCGTACTCCTCCTCGGCTGGCTGCTCGGGTTCCACGGGCACGATGAAGGGCTCGCGCTCAGGCAGGTAGGCCCCGCCCTCGGGCACGTAAGGCTCTGTCCGATTCAACATTACAGTTATGGCATGATTGGGAAGGTACACACACAGCAAACCTATATCACCACCCGAGGTGATGGTGCTCCAGTCTTAAGCTCCTCACGATAAATAGATTAAGTCACAATGTTCTGGCTACCGTTTTGCGGAGAGAATTTGGTTGAGGGTCAAAGGATGAAAGATAGCACTTTTAAGAAAAATTAAAAAAAAAACAGCCCTTCAAAAAGATCCAGCAGTAAATACAATCATTGCACAAAGACCTGGGAAAGTCAGAGGTCGGCCGAAAGCACTGTAAACGCAAGACCTAGGTAGGACTTTGGCAAATTCCCCAAGGGAATACTATTCAATCATGTCTTCCAACTCCTCAATGAGAATCACTATTCGGAAAGTTGAGGAGATGAAAGGAAGTTTTATTGGCTCCGAGAAACTGGACTCTGGAGGGGAAAAAACTATCACCAGGCAGTATACAGTACATGACATTCTCTGTAGCCATCTCCCCAACAGACCGAGTCACAGCTGGTGGGTGAGAAACACCAGTGGGACTCTAAGGCAACAGGAAGGGAAAATGGGGTCACCAAACTTTGGTTTGAAAATTGCAATGACAAAACCCAAACAATAGTACACGTACAAAATTTAAAAAAAAATAAGAATAAGAAAAAGACACATGCCCTGAATCAGACGCATTGCCTACAAGCAAGAGATGAGGAGATTCCATTCGGTGTTATTCCGGCATAGAGCAAGCTGCAGGCTTGGATGCAGAAGCTTATTGTAGAGTTGTTAAGTCATTTTAGTGGACAGGATCACATACAAATCGTTTACAGGCCATAATTAGTTCATTATTTACATAAGACATTTCTCTTTCACCCAGGTTAATTGTTTTTTTTTTTTTTCTCAAAAGGGCATGATCTCCACTGGTTAGTAGTTTTGTTATGCGCCTCTTTCACAACCAACGCTCCTCACGGCTGGGTGTTGGAACTGTTCTTTTTAATAATATTTTACTGCATTATTGCTGAAGTGCATCAGGCTTATAAATTAACACCACTGCTTTTGTTTCATTCAAGTTAGTATCAAGAGTCTGCCCCCTCCTTTATGATGTCGACCCGGTTCGTTAACCATATCTGTGGTGAGATTTCCATACAGACTCATATCCTAATAAGCACGTGCGCAAACATCTCAGAAACAGGATTTTCATGTATTCAAACTGTAAGCAGCACTGGCGACTTAGAAAATTTGTTAGCCGGAACCTGAAACAGGTCAAAGATGATAGTTTTTAAAAGTTGAATTACTATGCAAAAAATATATATATACATCCATCTACGTATCTAAAGGTTAAAGTACATATGTATATATCCATATATTTCTGGCTATAGGTGGTAAGGCAGAGTTCATTTAAATTTACTTTATGGAGAAAAAATAATTTTTTGAATGATTGTGTGAAGAATTTACATTAAGATTTATGATTAGCTTTGGCAATATTAACTATGCGTGTAAATATATAGATATATAGATATTGAAATATTCTACTACTCATGCACTATTTGCTAGTAGCCAACCATATCAAATAGCAGTATCATTTTTGAAACTTGCAAGATGCTTGAAGTGCACTGATGTAAAGGTCACCGCTGACCACAGCATGATTTTCCAGATCGAATCTCCTCTGTCCCCACAGTCCCCAAAATCAAGCATAAGAAATGTTTGTCCTCAAAAATTCTCAACGACAGAAACTCACTACCTACTTAAAAAATGATTCATTCCCAAAATATTTTAATACAAATATTAACTCACAAATAGTGTGAGACAGTGCTCTATTTTGTTGTCTAAACCTGTTATTAAATAGCTTTAGCTACAAATTAAATTCCACAAAGTATATGCATGTATATGTACATATATATACATATACTTGACATTCTCTAATTGTATTCAACAAAATCACAGTGTACAATTTTAAAAAAATGGTAACATTCCTTGAACTCCCAAGAGAAATAAGGAGAGATTTCTACTATTGTAACGTCATTTGGTAGGTTTAGAAATAGAAGAGAAATAATATTCAACTTATAAAGGTAAAATAATGCTCTATGCCTTGAAAGCGAACTTTGATAATGTTTGAAATGTTCAATAAAATTCACCTCATAATCAAAACACATACTAAGAATGTCAGTGTGCAAGAATTCCTCAAATCGGCCTTCCTTCAATCCTAGGGAACTTCATTTCATAAAGCTACTGTAATGCTGGAGAACTGAGATTCCTCGAATGATCATGACATACCTGGATAGCCTTGCCCATTGTATGGGATGCTGGCACACTGGGATGAGTCACAGTATCCTGGTGGACCCGGAGGACCACGGATACCTGAGTTTCCAGGACGACCTGGAGGGCCAGGAGGTCCTCTTGAGCCTGTGGAGCCTGGTGGGCCTGTTCTGGATTCTCCTTGAGGACCTAGTGATTGAAACAAATACATATCCGTCTTGTTAAACACATTTCTAGAGACAGTCAACAGCATTTCTAGTGTCCTGAGATTAGATGATTCAACTAACATATAGTAAGAAATTATTTAAGCGATCACTAAGAAGAACCAAAGGTGTGATGGAACTTTACCAGTGTGGCTCAAGTTAATGCCAGAAACACAACTACTTTAATTAATTGTAGGTGCTTAAGAGCTAACCCACACATGGAAGGCATTCATTTTACCAGAGTTATAGTCCCAGCCCCGAATTTTATTGAAGAAAATAAGAAAGCTTGCTGAGTAAGAACTGAGCAGGAGATACCGATACATTCTCTTAGTGATGCTTCTTCTGCAAAAATAAGAGTACCTGAAGGAAATATCTATATTTACTCACTTATGCTGCCTTCTATGCCCTAAAGACAAAATGCAACAGCAGTTTTTGTTTTGCTTTAATCAAATGATACACACGGGGTTTGACATAATTCAGTGGTTTAATCCCTAGGGCTAGGTCTTGTGTATCTTGTAACAGAAAAGTATCATTTTAACTAGTAAAAGAAATGCATAAAATGACTGGAAACTAATATTTATTCCCAACAACATCAATAAAGAAGTTAAATAAGTCAACAATGTGTCAAGCCTTTTAGCTAGAATACATTTTTCTCAGTCTACTAGCTCTAGCTTGAAAAATACTTAGAAGAAACAGGAAATGACACTATTAAAGGCTATGAGGCCAAACAAAATAAAAAAGAATTCCATATAAGGGAAAATGGCAGCCCTTCTGTGTCGCAAAATAAATCCCCATACAGAAGGCTATCGGAAACCCTTACTATAACACAGTCAAACACTCTTTAAACAAAGAGAACATAGAAATAAGGAGGTTATACAAGTTGAACTTCTTGCTGAAACATATTCCATGATGGTAGGCATGCCTGAAGCTAACTGGATAAGTTGTAAGTCTCTTGGGAACTGCATGCTTTCAGCATTTACAAGTTTTGCTTATTTGATGTTCTAGTAAACCTACCTGGGGGGCCAGGCGGCCCTCGGGGACCTGATGATCCAACGCCCCTTTCACCTTTCTCTCCTGGCAAACCTAATGATAGAAAAATAATCACAGGGGAAAAATTATCTGGAAACATGCACTTTTCATTTCAATACTTGATTCAAGTAATTCATTTCTCTTAGTGAAAGCAGAACCTAATTTTTCACAGAAGTTCACTCTCTAAGCCAAATTCTTTCTAGACATTTGTGTAATTCCAGATTCATGGCCAAGAAACAAATCTGGCTACAAATCAGGGAAAAAATTATTTGAAGAAAACAAACATGTTTAATTTTTTTTTTGGAAACAATAATTAAGAACAGAAATCTTGAATAGTTACAACTCACTGAAAAACATCTTAAAGGGACCTTATCTTTAGTCGCCTTATTAGTTCAGCCTCCAAACCATCTGAATTATAGAAATATCTATTTTCTCCAGAATGTTAACTACTAGTTTGACAAGAGCAAGTACCCAGAGTTCTGAAACATCTGGAATCAGATAATCCTATTTTTCTTCTTTTCCTCCAATTACACTTATCTACCGTGAAATTAAAACCAAACAAACATAGAAAGCTAGTGCCAGGTCCTGAAAAAAGGGAACCAAAAGAATTTGGATCTTAAACTTTGGGGCTGCTTATATTCTGTTGCTGCCTGGCTCTTGCCAGTCACAACAATGCATATGATTTGAGTGCCTGATTTTAGTTTTGCTGATATAGTTTTTCCCATGAGCGGCAACAACCAGAAATTAGCATTCTGTTTATTGAGATCTTTGATATCATCACCCTGTTTTCTAAGGGATGAGATTAATGGCTCAGGGCTACTGAGGGAGAAAGACAAGGCTCTGTGGGGGTGGTCCATATAAGACTAGTTAATATTGTATGTCAAGTTCAATCTATCACATACCTTTATTTTATTAATTTTTATTAGTGAAACACCATGAGGTACAATTGTAGATTTATAAATTTTTGTGCTTGGGTTTCGATTATACAATAATCGAATACCCATCCCTCCACATTGCCCACTTTCCACCACCATGGATCCCAGTATCCCTCCCACACCCATTCCCTTCCCCCATCCCACCCTGCCTCTGAGGCAGGGCATTCCCTTTTGTTCTCTCTCTCTCCTTCTGGGTGTTGTGGTCTGCAAAAGAGGCATTGAGTGGCAATCATGTTCAGTCCATAGTCTACTTTCAACATGCATCTCCCATCCTGGGAGGATCCTCCAAACACCCTTTATTTGGTGCTCCCTTCTTTATCTGAGCTGCCCTTTCCCCTAGAGTGCCCAGCTGGCCTCTAATCCATGGAGTAATCCTCCTGGTACTGATCTCGGCTCTTCTTGGGTATTAATCTCCTATTTTGTTACTTTATGTCCCCCAGATGAATGCAATCTTTTTATGTCTAACCCTCCCTTTCTGACTCGTTTCGCTTAGCATGATACTTTCCATGTAGTTACCACTTGTATATCACATACCTTTTAACCTTGAGATTGTTCCTTTTGTCCCCATGCAGCAAGTGGAAATGCCTACCTCTTTCACCTGGGGGTCCCTGCATCCCTGGGGTACCAGGGAAGCCTGGTCGACCTCCAGGTCCTGGTTCTCCCCTGGCTCCGGAACTGCCAGGAGGTCCTGGAGGACCTGGTGGTCCTGGCTGGTTGCGACTAGAGTGATAATCATTTGGAATCTGATTCAGCATCTGATTGAATCTATTCATCTGACCTGCAGGTAGAAAATAAGACTTGTTAGAAATAAATCATCAGGAGGGTTGAGAGAATTGAACTTAGTGTTTTCTCTTAATGTCTTGTGAAATCCATCTGTATTCTTTGCCCTCCAGGGAACACTCAAATTAGAATCACGAACATAAAATAAAGCACATCAGCCATCCAGTACAAAGTGATCCCTGAAGAACAACTGTTTCCATAAAATGGTGACAGTATCAAAAATAAGAATAACAGTCTGTTATTTTACCTTGAGTTACTACTTAAGCTTAATGGCATTCATTAAAATAACATTAGGTTTATCTAACTAAATTCAAAACTGACAGTATATAAAAAGGGTTCATCAAAAATGAAATAAAAACATATATCACAAACTTTATGACTCATACTCTGCATGTACCTGCAATTCATTTTTAAAATTTATACATTAAAAAGGGGAAAAAATTACCATTTATCAGCTGTTCACAAACTTGTCTTGCAACTGCTCGCATCATGTTCTGGGATGCGATGTCTCCCTTGTTAATTAAAGCAATGAGAAACATTAGCATATTTTCCTTTGCTTCCACATTTGATTTACACACAAATAAGCATATCAAATTGTAAGAAGTACATACTCTATCTCCCTTTTCTCCCTTCAATCCAGATGGACCCTGAAATACAAGAATTTCTGACATTAGAAACATATAAATACAGGCATGTTGTATGAAAAAGAGCATGGTCTAAATTTCCAGTGACTTAGCAGACCAGCAAAGCGTATTTGTATCTCCATTACTTACATTTTGCTTGTTTATAAAGAGGAATCTCTCCCACAAGCAAAAGTCATGCACTACACATACACTTTGTGATACTATCCACAACCCAGATCTGATCTAATATTGAAATGCATATGAAAATTTCACTGGTCCTTTTATTACCTTCCTTTATATCCTAATGGCAAATTAGCTTAGCTGGTTAGTGTAATTGTCTATGAATCTTGGTTAAATTCTTGTAACAACCAGTGAACTCTCAGTTTCCAATTTCAATCTGTAATTCTGATCTGCATCTATAATTTCTTCCAATGATTACTTGTGCATTAGGTATAAAAGGAATCAGTTAACTCTCATACAAATAAAAATGGCGGTCTTACATCCCCACACAACCACATAATTCAAAACTGACAGTATATAAAAAGAGTTCATCAAAAACTCTCATCAAAAGGATATATATGTATATATATATATATCCTTACTCACAAAGTCCTCTCAATGATCATGAGAGTATCCTGGATACTCTTGTGAAATCCATCTGTATTTTTTTTTAATAGTACAAAAAGTTTCTGTCTTTTAGTAAGGAATTTCTAGGTTGCCAAATATTATGGAGGAAGGAACTTAAAACTTGGTAAATCTGAGACTCAGGCAGCATCAAAAACCAAACACATCTTACAATCTCTAAGACTTTTGCCTGAACTACTCTAATTTCCTACTAACTGGTCTTCCTGCTTTGCATTTTGATCTTTCTAGAGTGAAATTTTTATTTTTAAAAAATTCAATTATGTAACTTTTTAGGTTCTAGAAATTCTTATTACCTTAGGATAAAATACCTTATCCTGGTCTAGATGACTCACATAATTATCTCCACCCCACTATGTAAACCTGTCTTCTACTCCTCCCTCCCTTTACTTTCTTCAAATTTGCTAACCGTTGTCTCTGTCATCCCTTTCAAATGCTAGACTCCATTGGGGTTTTGGTTCATCTTATTCCCACTACCTGCAATTCTCTTCCCACACATCTTCAAATGGCTGCTCCCTGGCTTAATTCTAAATTCCAGAAACTATTACTCACTTAAATTTTTACTTTATTACCTATGTGAATATCATCAGGGCAAAATCTTTATATTGTTTACTTATTATACTCATAATACCCTATAATACTGGCTGACATGGAAGGAAGGTATTGAGTAGATGAATAAAAATATTTTGCAAGTTCTGAAAACTGCCGTAGTAAATCATTAGGTGTCATAAATTAACAAGAAGCCATAAACTGGTTACAATAACTAATGACAGATGTTGACAGTGATGTAAATGCCAGGATGCCCTTTTGCTAGTTTTGCTTTAAGTAATTAAATATAAAAAAGTGGAGAACTTTGCTATTTAGAAGGATGAAGAGCATAGGTATAGAAGAGGAGGAAGTTGAGGATACTCAAATAAGTATTATTAAATTATAATTGTGATAAGTAAAACTGGAGTGTGTTTTTCCCCTTGACAAAATCAGGTATTTAAAGAAGCCCTATTATTTTTTGCCTTGAAGCTTTTTGTAAGTGGAAATAATTTTAATTAATACATTATTACTTTGAGGTTGTTCTCAGTGTTTAATTTACTTCCACACTAAGATTGTTCTATTATATATAATTTGTAGAAACTATCCTTACTGCTCATATCTAAAGATCACATTTCACACAACGGTGTAGAACTTTCTTTCAGGTACTAGCTGTAGCTATCAAGTGTATCAGTGATTGTTTTGTATATATTTCAGTTACAACAAAGAAAACTGAATTCTCAAAAAATTTCATATGCATGTAATTGCTCTTGTGATATCCCTCCCATGATCAGTTGAGAAAAGAGTTTAAAAATGATGTGCTAGCATACACAAAGATTATATATATATCATAAATCCTTTCATCTTTATGTGAATTGCTCAATCTTATGGAAATCTTATGTAAACATAGCATACAAACATACATACATACACATAAATACTTGATTCTGTTTGTCTAATAGTAGAATATTTTGCTTATATTTATATAAATGCCTCTACATAAGTTTTAAATAAAGCTTATGAAAAGAGAAATTGTATCTAGAAAATAGCTTTGACAGATTTACGTTATCACTTGATTGAACTTAATTATCTCTAAATGTTTACATTTCAGTTTTTTGGACAAAAATGCATAGTGTTAAAAAATGCTTTGTATAAATTCACACTTTGTATGTATGCAAATAAGGAAGATATTGTGATATAAGACTATAGCATGTGATAGTCATTACAAATACTTCTGTGTATTTTAAAGACATTCATTTGAAATTACCATATACTCGTAATTCCATCTCAACTATTCAAAAACAACTGAAAAAAATAAAAAGTTAAAGCTGGATGTATATTGGAACAAGTTAGAATAAAAATGATTCATTTTAATTCTTGAATATTGGAGTTCTAGTATACTAGTATACTCAAAGAAAAAGGCCAAATGGTATGGCTAATTGCTACTGTCAAAGGGTTAACATCTGCAAACTATGAACCGAGGTGCCACTCACCATCACCATGTCTTTTTATATCTTAAGCAGCATAATACCCCTAAATAAAAAGAATTAATTTGCTGACCTAGCTTTGAATGTTTATACAGCATAGAAATATGTATCTTGGCTCATAATCCCATTCTCCTTTTAAATGTTCTCCCTATGACCACAGTTTTCATCCCAGAATATTATAACTCAGAGGGAAAAAAACTTTAGAACTCTTACCAAGTTAAATCCATGGGTTTAGCAGAGTTTCAACAAATGCTTCAAACATATTACAGCAAAGATAATATAAATATGCCAGAGCCTTACAGTCTCCTCATTATTTCAAACCCTAGAGAAATGGCTCCAGACAAGCAAACTGCCCCCTTACCGGTCTGCCATGGTCTCCAGGTTTTCCTGGTTTCCCACTTGGTCCTGTGACTCCTGGAGAGCCTGGGGTTCCCTACAACATAGAGGCAGAGAAACTGAATGTTATGATGAAAGCAAAAAAAATCCCATCTGAAGTGAGCTAATAAACTGTGGCCAGTTTAAAAGCTTTCCAAAGAATTAACACTGTAAAATATATAATCACACAGTAGGCATGAGGAAAACCACATTTTATGAAAATAAACATGAACGAAAAATATCTTGGTAATTGCTTTTCATTAATTTACGGATTGCATGGTCTTAATACATACTTTGAGATGAGCTGAAAAATATTTATAAATAATCAGTTACTCTCATGGACTATGATCCCAGAAAATAGGTGACAACGTGAATTTGCAGAAGCTGACTCCTATTTTCTTTTGTTTAATTTTAGTTTATTCTATTAAAAAAATGGAAAGTCATCAACAGAGAGGAGTGGAAATTCTGTCAGGGGAAGATGTTCAGAAGGTAGTCAGCTTTCTGCTAACTTGGGCATTATGGTGGTAGAGTGTTCCATGGTTGCTGGGAATTGCACTCTCAGAAATTTCACAGCATAGAAATGTACTTTTCCTTTAGTACATTCCCTATACTACCATTCTTTTCTGTCATGGATATCTGCATGCTGCACCCCTTCAAAATCATGAAATTTTCCCGTTGCTTCTTATACAATTTTAAAACACTTATCTATTAATAGTATAATACACACATAATAGCTAATACATTATATTCTTAAAATTTCCTTAAAATATAATCTTCACTTAAATTTTATAAATTAATCAAGGTTCCACTTCATCAATTCTACAAATTGTAAGCTCGATAGTAAATAGTTACAATGAAAGTTTACTATACATTTAAACTTGCATTTACCTAAGACTATGCTACAAAACATAAATGATAAAATAATTTTAGCATCTGCTCTCAAGTCTTTGTACCCTACCAAAAAACATGAGGTACATCTATTCCCTCATCTTTAAATGAGATCTCACCTGGATACAAGGTCACTTTCAAAATGACTGAATTTAGTATTTTCTCCAAATTTTTTTTGTTGTCTTTTCTGGTAGCAGAAATCAAACTGAGAGTCTCATAAATGAAAGTCATGTCCTCTCTCACTGGGGATCTACGTCCATAGTCCCATTTCCCCCAAAGATTTTAATTATATTACCCATTTGCCTAAAACTAACTTGCTTAGAACTACTGATAGCTGTTCAATACTGTACCACTGTAGCACTGTCCTCCCTGTTGTTCATCGATTTGCTCGAGCAGGCACCAGTAACATCTCACAACAAATTATGAAACTTGTTGTTACTCTTTTTGGCATATTGAATATGTCACAGGTAACTCGCCAGGTTTTGCCACGTGGGCAAGATACTCTCAGTAGCTTGCCGGGCTCTCAAAGAGGGGTGGAAGAATCGAACTTGGGTCAGCCATGTCAACTGCAAGCAAGGCAAACGCCTTACCAGCTGTGCCATCGCTCCAGCCCAATACTAAATGTTTTTAACATTCAAATAGCTTAGGTCAAATATTTGTAACGTTCTAGAATAGGAAGTAACTGCTAATGTTATAAAACCCCATCACTTTGCTCAGGGGTAAAGATCTGAAGCTATAACCAGGTATTAAACAGGTCTTAGTGAGATTTTTAAATGGAAATAATAAAACTTGTCTTGCTTTGAATTCTGTTTTTTTCTAGCCCATTTTGAATTAATCATTCCCAAAATTGTGAAATGTATTCCAAAAGCCAGGCTACGCAACTTCTTTAGCAAATGGGGGCAGGGGCTCAGGGATAAAAATAAAACCCACTCCATTCTTACCGGTGGCCCAGGTGGACCCCTTGGTCCCATTGCACCATCTTTTCCAGTAAAACCCTATTATAAAAACGAAATTAGTTACAAATTAGTGAGACAATGACCAAGTGAAAATGAAAGATGCTATGTCAGTTGCTAAGTGTGAGGGTGAAAGATTTACCCCAAATTATTATTTACAGGTCATCTTTTAAATAACAAAAGACAAGACCCAAAAATATGGTCTCCAATTTAACCATGTCTCATTGAATGATTAATTTCTACAGTATTCTTTTATATAGCTTTAAAGAAATCCATGTTTAGAGTCAAACTATCTTCTCCAGTGAAGGAAACTACATTTCATGAAAATATTGGGTTTTCCTTTTGCAAGAATAAATGAATACTATCCCTTTGAGCTTGTAGCACTGTCCTCCCATTGTTCATAGATTTGCTTGAGTGGGCACCAGTAACATCGCTATTGTAAGACTTGTTGTTACTATTTCTAGCATATCGAATACATCATGGGTAGCTTGCCAGGCTTTTGCCTTGCAGGCACGATACTCTCGGTAGGTTGCCAGGCTCTCTGAGAGGGGTGGAGGAATTGAACCAGGGTTGGCCCGAGTCGGCCGTGCACAAGGCAAACGCCCTACCCACTGTGCTATCGCTTCAGCCCCTGAATACTAACCCTTAGTACTAAAACAATCAATGTCCACAAACCATCCCAGGAAGGGTCAAAGTGGGCGAAGAAAAGCAGGTGGTTGGGGCTGGAGCGATAGTACAGCAGGTAATTTGCCTTGCACGCAGTCAACCCCAGTTCAATCCTCGGCATTCCATATGATCCCCCAAGCACAGCCAGGAATAATTCCTGAGTGCAGAGCCAGGAGGAACCCCTGAGCATTGTTGGGAGTGACCCCAAAAGCAAAAACAAACAAACAAAAAAAGAGAAGCAGGTGGTGTCATAAAAGATGCAATGGCCAGTCACTAAAAGACAGATCCTCTCAGGATGGGAAATTTGTGATGATAGTAGACTATAGACCTAACAAGATTGTCACTCAATGTCTCTTTTGCAAACCACAGCACTCAAAAGGAGAGAGATAACAAAAGGGAATGCCCTGCCACAGAGGTAGGGTGGAATGGGGAGATGAAGGATGGGAGGGATACTGGGACTGGTGGTGATGGAGAATGGGCACTGGTGGAGGATGAGTATTCGATCATTGTATAACTGAAACCCAAGCACAAAAATATGTAAGTCTACAACTGTACCTCACGGTGTTTCACTAATAAAAATTTAAGAAAAAAATTTTAAAAAAATAAAAGACAGTCTGGAAAGAAAGATGGCAGCCGCACGGGAGCCTTGTGGACAGCAGGTTTGAGCCGGGCTCGGCGGGAGCGGCGGGGACCTCATGGGAAGGGGGGCTTTGTGGGCCGTCCCCCACGCCCCACCGAGGTCGCCAGCTGCCCCCCATGAGTGGCTCTCCGGCACGGCCACGACTCCAGGGCACAGAAACCAATCTCTTAACTATCTAACTTTTAATAGAAATTCTTCCAGGGTCAATAAGTAAAATAGCAGAAATTCAAAACCGCGCGGCCGCAATAGCGGCCGCGCGACATCATTTTATTCTTAAACCAAGTTGTAGAAAGCAAATCATTTCACAACGCTGTTTCAGCATATCTGATTGTGGGGGGTGGGTCGTAAACTCTAAACAATAATTGTGCATCTTCTATCGAAACAATCTATCTAGTCAAAGTAGATAGAGTATTAACTAGAACTCATCTGCCTCACAAGAATTGGGAGGGGTGGGAGGTGGGGGTCTATTGGGGTTCGGGGTTAAAAATAAGTATTGGTAAAGGGAAATGTGTTTAATATTTACATGACTGAGACCTAAACCCGAAAGCTCTGTAACTTTTCCCACAGTGATTCAATAAATAAATAAATTATAAAAAAAAAAAGAGTTGCGATGAACACAAAAAAATAAATAAATAAAATAAAAAGGCAATTGGTAAAGGAAAAAAAAATAAAAAATAAAAAAAAATAAAAGACAGATCCCTTCACCTAAATAAGGGCCAGATAAGGGCAGGACTACTGATGTCTCCACTCCTGGTGAATCTCCTTATCTTACCATCATCCAACCCCTCAAAAAGACAAAGATGTACTTCCCTATCCTATCTATCATAAAAAGCTGCTAATTTTTTTTAGTGGCCCTTCTCTACTCGTTTTAGGACGTAGAGGCATTCACATGAAAGGCAAACCAGCATCGATGCCTGGTTGACACAGGAGAGATATGTCCAGAAGCAAAGCACATCTCCTAAGCGCCAGTTCCCTTTTGGTGCCAAGGCTCCTAGTTTTTTTTTCCCTCTGTACAGTGCCAAGTGACCTCTGCCTGGAATGAGTCATCCTGCTACCCGGTTCGTACTCATTCCCCACAGCAGAGCTCTGAAATCCAGCTGGGGATTTCTGAGTCAGGTCATTTTTATGACTATTGCATTCCTCTGTCAAAGGAGATTTTTGTCTCATTTTCTGCAGAGAATAAGAATAATTTCATCCATATTTTTGAACCCTAGCAAAAAATCAAGATCATTTGGATCACTGCCAGCACTTGGTCTCTATGCTTCCACTGATTTTACAAAAAAAGGAAGTTTAATTCTTAAAAACTGTGTTAGAAATATTCCACAACCACTATCCCATTTCTCTCCCAAACTTATAAATATTTCACTGTTTCCTGTAAGATCTATGCCTGCTTGACACAAAAGACTCCAGGTTCATTTGATGCAACACGATCATTACTTGTGAGGATAATTCAGAAGCAAAGTGCCCTGGCAGTATTTTTTAGAGAGTTTGAACTGTGTTTCTTTTTTCTACATTTCCAAACATACTTTAAAAAAATTTTTTTACACTGTCTGAAAACCACTATGGTTTTATTAATGCAATCTTTTTTAGATTTCTTTCATAATGGCTTCATTAAGATTTTGTCTTTGTGTTTCTGGTTTGTATTCATTTAGCATAATAGCCTTCACATTCTACCCATATTCTTAAGAGACAGCATTATTCCATTTTATATATACAAATATATGTAATACATTATATATGATCCATATATTCTAGATCCATTTATGCACCAATAGACATAGTACAATCATTTTCTGTTAGAAAATATATTGAGGTTGAAGTGAGGAGGATTCTATTCCTTATGTACTTAGAAGAGGTATCCACTGGGCAGAAACTGAGCATCTGCAGAAACTTCTAGTATAATTTTAATTTGTTTCCACTGGCAAAAGCTGCAGCTTCCCCCAACCCCCTAATGTAAGGGTGGCAGGGACGACATAGAGTTGCTTTCATAGATACTCGAATATTAAATACCTTTTTACACGGCTCTCTTGTGACTCTCTAAGGACCTTCAACTGAAAAATCACCTATTCTCAATACAACCCATGAATCTATTCTTAGCAACTACATCTTGGTATCAAGGTTTCTTGCATCACCGTGGTACGTGAGCTACTTCTAAGCTTCCTCCTCTTCCACTACATTCGTTTTTTTCAAGTACCTTTAATTTTTTTTCATTTAAATTCCTGTACCCAAGTTCCATTATATTTGACAAAACTTTTCATAGCTCATCACTTGTATGTGCTACTTTTGAAGGAAGTAAACTGAAAAGAAGTTAGGTAAAAGAGGGGGATGATTTCCTGAAAGTGTTCTTGCCTTCAACCTGGGAGAGCTAGGTGAGACCCTCCAGTAAAACTGGGTTGACAGATTAGAATTTCTGAGGGGAAACCACATTCTAGACCAACTCCTTGCTTCTCAGAGAATTCAGTGATGACCTGCTTAGCAGTATATTGGTGGACCTGTTGCTGATATCGATTTTATCATCAAATCCTAGAAAGACTCTTTCAGTTCTGAAGGTATAGAGTTTATGCTCTAAATTCATAGGAAGTTTCCATAAAAGCCAAGATTACTCTCCAAGTTACACACAAGATGCCTAACACAAAAATTTTAATGTGAGGATTCAAAATAACTTAAGATCTTTTAATATCTTTCCAGTCAGCTACAATTTATTTCAAGAACCTCTTTTAAAAGTATTTTAAATATTTAAAATTTCAAGAACTTTCCTAAAATCTCAGAGTTTTGTTTGGGTGGTTTATATTCTAATATTGGGTGGTTTATTGACAGTTTTTCAAACTTCTACAAGATTCACATACCCTGCCTTTCCAGCCATACAAAATGAATTATGAATGCTTTGTAATTAATAGGCAACAATATCATACAATTTCCAACATCATCATCGCAGTCGCAAGAAACTTACTCTATCTCCCGGAGGTCCAGTTGGTCCTGGTGGACCCGGTAATCCTGGGGTTCCCTACACAAAAGAGAAATAAACAAGTGAAACACTGCAATATACTTCCTGTGTGGGTCAAGATATTTGTCCAAATTCATGGTTTTTGAGTCGACACAACTCTGAAAAGAAATGGAAAACCAGAACTCTGCACGGTGCCAACCAGACAACACAGTCCAGTCAACGAACAAATACTTACACAGCATAAAACTGAAGACTGGGACAAGAGTAGGAAATGGAAATAACGTGAAGCACATAGCCAGGCTTCTGCTTTGCCACTTAACCTTGGATCACCTTTTGAAGCATTACAAAGACAGCTTCCCATGCAATACCAGATGAGTGGAAGAAAAGGCGACTTCAAGAACAACTCACTATTCGGCCCGGAAGTCCTGGCTCTCCAGCGTCACCTTTCATCCCTTGGCGACCCTAGACCAAGCAAGGGGAAAGCAGGCTCAGGGGGTTTACAGAAAATCAATGCAAAGGGAAAATCAGTGTAATGAGGCATTCTGAAATCGCTATCACTTCACAAATCCAATGTAAGCATATTTTTCAAGAGAGACAAATAAATCTCTTTTCATTGATGCTCACTTTTTCACCTAGAGAGACTATTACAAGTTCCACTTATAATATAAATGGGCCATTTTATATACTTATGGGATAGGACATCGACCTTTTAGAGTACCTTAAGGAATTTACACAGAAATGGAATCTGAAGGGCAAAGGCTATTTCATTCACTAATTAATTTAGTCTTAATTTTATAGATATTCAATGACATGTCCAAAAAATAATTTTGGACTTCATACCTTGAAGATACTTGTTACAGAAAACAAAGCTGAATTAATTAAAATCAATTAACTTAATAAAATAGTACAAGTAAGAAAAGTTAAAAGTACTGAAAATTCCCTTTCAACAAACATAGCTAAAAGGAGGTTCATTCAACCGCTTTGAGCGAAAAATACAGTTCTTTTACATTCTCATTTCTATCTATGCCTGAAAAAAAATGATTTTCCTCTCTAAGTGCCAAAAATTTAACTGTTGTTTTCTATGGTATCTTAAGAGGAAGAGTGTACTTAAATTTAAGAACTGTATAGCATATTCTTATTCACATGCTGTTTTGCTTTATCTTAAGTTATAGGGGGGAAAATGTTACATTTTAGATCAATTATGGGCCTTTACCATAAAAGGTAAAACATCTTTTGTAACTTCAAATAAGCATATAGAACAAAAATTTTACATATGTACATATATAGTGGGCTGGAGCGATAGCACAGCGGGTAGGGCGTTTGCCTTGCACGCGGCCAACATGGCCGACCCGAGTTCGATTCCTCCGCCCCTCTCGGAGAGCCCGGCAAGCTACCGAGAGTATTCGATATGCCTGACACAGTAACAACAAGGTCTCCAATGGGGACGTTACTGGGCCCGCTCGAGCAAATCGACGATCAACGGGAGGGCCTTTACTTACTTTTACTTACTTACAAATATAGATATAGATATAGATATAGATATAGATATAGATATAGATATAGATAGATATGGTTTGGGGTCATACCTTGCTGTGCCAGGACTTACTCCTGGCTCTGAATTCAGTGATCACTCTTGGCAGTTTCAGGGGACCATATGGAGTGTGCTGGGGATGGAGCTTGGGTCTGGCACATTTCAAAGGAAGCAGTGTCCTACCCCCTGTACTATCACTCTAGCCCTAAATATTTTATTTCTAATTTTTGCTTGCTTGAGGGCCACACCCAATGGTGTTCAGGGCTTACTCTTAACATGCTCCAGGATCATTCCTGACAGTGCTTGCGGGGCCAGATGTGGTGCCAAAGAGCAAATCTGAGTGCAATGAAAGCATCTAAAACACCATACTCTCTCTCCAGCCCAAGTGTTTTATTTAGAATTTATTATGAAAGTAATGATCTTGATAAACAATGCAAACTTTCCTTGACGTCATAAATGTCAGAAAAGGAGGCCATGGATGCCCCATATTAAAAGCTGTTTCAAAGCTTTCAGGGTGTTAAAAGACATATGCATTACTTACTTTTAAAAATTAAAGGTCAAATAAATAACAGTTTTCCTGCAGAGTTTATATTACGTGATATTTACATTTCTGAAACTAGGGACATAGGAAGTTATCTCAATGACTAGCCTTGTTGAGCACCCTTAGAAAACATTTGAGTTTGGCAAAAATAGTAAAAAAATGTTCCAGTTAGACTTGATGTTAATCCACCATGCTCACTTAGTACAGAAAGCCTTTGTGCTTACTTGTTCTCCAGGAATAGAAAGTCCATTGGGTCCCTGGGGGCCTGGAGGACCCTGAGGGCCTGGAGGACCCGTATCTCCACGAGGACCAGGGGGCCCCTAGAAACAACACAGAGAAACAACCACAAAGTTACATCATGTTCTTCCAGCGCTAACATCCACTAAGAGATATCTTCATGACATTCAACCGTGTAATCTTTGTAAACATTTTAGAAATCTAGACCTGAAAAAATATTAGCGATTCCAATTCTTTCTTCCATTTACTATTTTAAAAAGAACAATTGGAAATTAAGAAGAGAACTTTCTAATAGAAATATATTTCTTTTTTAAAAATTGAAATACACTAAAAAGAACAGTTAGATCTTTATCTTTCATGATTTATATGAGATCAAAGTTCAAATTTCATTGGACTTGATTTATCTTACGCTAGTTCTATGTATCTTAGACTCTGACTTATTTCTGGGACTAATGCATATATAAATCAGGCAAGGAAATAACAGAATTCCCCTGCGTATTCTACGCTAGAGCTTCTTTGCTGTGTGTCTCGGTGGAAAAAAATCACATAGACCTGAGTCAGGATCTCAGTCTCACCCTTTTCTAACTGGATCAGCTTAACATGAGAGATATTATGATAAAAATTAAACACTATCTTCAAAAATATTCTACCACAAGATTTGAGTTGTTTTATTGAAGCCGGTGTGGAACCAATAAAAAAACGCCACTGAAACCCTAAGTGAACGTTATGCAGCCACTCAGCTCTTCTCGGACGCATGTGAATAAAAACTGAAAGTTTATTTCTAATCCTTTTTCCGAATTCCTAATCTCTAGAAGGCTAGGTTCCCTGATTAGTTTCCACCAGATAGATGGTCCGATTCACCCCCACACAACTCTATATCCCAGCAGTCCTGGGGTTCTTCTAATTCCCATTCTACAATTCCATAGCAGTAAGACATTTTATTTATTTATCTCTTTGGCTAGTCTAGCTCATCACTTTAGTATCTGGAAAAAAGACAGAGATAATCATACTGCCTACACAACTAAACTTTTGACCAACTTTCTCAAAGTCACACACCCCTTTGGTATGATAAATTTGAACTAGACTTCAACAATTAGGTGGAAATTTAGGTACATTCTAAACCATACTTACAACTGCGCCACTGATGCCTCTTTCACCTCTGGGACCTTTAGCACCTGGTCCTCCCTAAAATACACAGTAAGAGCACATTTTAAGTGTGAACATGGGAAAGAAAGAAGAAAGTGGCACATAAAAATTGCTTCAAGAAGCAGTACATTCCCAGAAAATACATCTGAAATTACATAAATGTTTTATATCATCCAACTACCTAAAGAAAAAAATTTCAGAAATTTGTATAAATGTCTCATTTTTATATTCTGAACTTTCCTTATTGGCAAATTTTGAAGTTATTTTGAATTTTGAGGTTGAATGGAAGAATAAAATTTATTGAAATACAGTGAAAAGTCTCTTTTGGAATTAGGCGCATGTAGTCTTCAGAGAAAATAGTAAGCAAAAGATTATCTTAAATATCTCAATCGCAAAATATGTACTCAAATAAAGATAATTCAGGCATCACTGAACAAAGAAAAAAGAAAAAATATTTACTTGGCATCCAACAATATTTCTCATGGCTAGAATAAAGATTTCCTACATTTCAAAAACATCTAAATAGTTTCCAGGATATAATTTTATGATTGTAAGTACTGATCAAATAAGTCAGTATTCATAAAACAATTTATGATAATTCCCATGACTTTTTATTGTGTGTACAAGTAACTGAGTTAACCAAAAACCAATTTACATTGTGTAAATACTTGGTAGTAATATTTGGTATACTGAGTATAGTAACATTGGTATTTTGAGATTCCCCTGAGGTGTTCGTACTTTATTTTTTTTTTTTGGTCACACCTGGTGATGCACAGGGACCACTCCTGGCTCTGCACTCAGGAATTACCCATGGTGGTGCTCAGGAGACCATATGGGATGCTGGGAATTGAACCTGGGTCGGCCGTGTGCAAGGCAAATGCCCTACCCACTGTGCTATCGCTCCAGCCCAGAGAAATGTGATCAAGTTATTTTTTTCTTAACTTCTGCTTTCCAAACAAACTTCCCTCCCCAAAATGGTATGCAGTTTAAATTATTTCATATAGTTAAATTATGAAGTACAATATATGCTTTATACTGACAAAAGATTGATCATTCCAGAGATTTTACAAAAAAATAATAATAATAATAGAAGAAGAATAATTTGTTTCCTTACCGCAGGCCCAGGTGGTCCTGGAGGTCCAATGCTATCCTGTGAGCATGTACAAGCATTTGGTAGGGCAGGGCATTTTGCTTCATCTCTCTAAAAATTTTTAAAAAGAAATTTAGAGTACAACTGACTTTCCATCTGCCTCACACTTCTCTGATTCACACAAGAAAATCTGTTTCCCAACTGGAAGGCATCATTTCTAGTTATCATTACAAGTAAGCCTCTTGTTACATCTTGTTTTGCTCTTTTTTATCTTTATGCTGTACTTCAAACATAAAACACATGACAAATATTTATACAAGCAAGAAGAAGAAAAAGAAAAGCAATGGGGTGGAGGGATATAGGTGATGTGGAGAAGTGGTGCAGTTCTGTATCTGAAGCACAGACTCAACAACACAGTAATCAAGAGACCTAAACTACAACCTTGGCTGGCACCAGGCTGTTTCACTTGGGCGCCCCAGAGGTGGGCAGGTGAGAGCCCTCCATACCCCAAGGGACCCAGCCCCGACAGCAGAAAACCTCCACAACTCAACCACTGCCCTGATCACATCTGCTCTCCACGCACTAGGGCCAAGCCTCACCCATGAGTGAACCTTTTTTTCGACCTTCATAGGACATACCCCACCCATACTCCCAAAAGTACCACCCCACTATTTTTTTTTATTTTATTGAATCACTGTGAGATAGTTACAAGCTTTCATGTTTGGGTTACAATCACACAATAATCAAACACCAATCCCTCCACCAGTCCACATACCCCACCACCAATATCCCCGGTATACCCCCTCTTTCCCGCTCTCCCCCTGCCTCCATGGCAGACATGATTTCCCATACTCTCTCTCTACTTTTGGGCATTATGGTTTGCAATGCAGATACTGAGAGATTATCATGTTTGGTCCATTATCTACTTTCAGCATGCATCTCCCATCCCAACCAGTTCCTCAAGCTATCATTTCTTAGTGATCCTGTCTCTGTTCCAGCTGCCCTCTCTCATTTGATCATGAGGCAGGCTTCCAGCTATGAAGCAATCTATCTGTCCCGTATATCTACTGTCCTTAGGTGTCAGCCTCACATTATGTTGTTTTATACTCCACAAATGAGTACAGTCCTTCTATATATGTCACTCTCTTTCTGACTCATTTCACTTAGCATGATACTCTCCATGTCTATCCATTTATAAGCAAAGGGCATGACTTTATCTCTCCTGACAGCTGCATAGTATTCCACTGGCATGGATGTGGAGAAAAAGGGACACTCTTTCACTGTTGGTGGGAGTCCCCACTAGTCCAGCCTTTCTGGAAAACAATATGGACAGTCCTTCAAAAACCAGAAATTGAGTTTCCATAAGACCCTGCAATACCACTTCTGGTAATATATCCCAAGGATGCAAAAAAGCACAGTAGAAATGACATCTGAACCTATATGTTCATTGCAGCACTGTTCACAATAGCCAAAATCTGGAAACAACCCAAGTGCCCTAGAACAGATGACCGGTTAAAGCAACTTTGGTACATCTACACAATGGAATACTATGCAGCTGTCAGGAGAGATGAAGTCATGAACTTTGCTTATAAATGGATAGAGGCTCCACTTTTGATGGGATTCAAAGTAAGAGGCAATCACCCTTAGAGGGAAATATTATATTATTTCGGTTCTGTTTGGGGGCAGGGATTGCGGTACGGGATGGAAACACCTGAAATATGGTGGTTGCAAGGTGTATGGTAGTGGGATTGGTGTTTGAATAGTAAATGTAATCAAATGCTGTGAACTATTTTACAAAATAAAAAAAATTAAAAAAAGAATAAAAGGGACTGGAGTGATACCACAGCGGGTAGGACATTTGCCTTGCACGCCGGCTGACACAAATTCAATTCCCAGCATCCCATATAGTCCCCTGAGTACCACCAGGAGTAATTCTTGAGTGCAAAACCAGAAGTAACCCCTCTGCATCACCAGGTATGACCCAAAAAGAAAAATAATAATAATAATAATAATAATAATAATAATAATAAAGAATCTGGGGTGGAAGAAAAACAACAACTTTGGAACTTTAAAACCTGCCTGTCAAAGTGTGGGAAGGAGCTGAGAGAGGGGTGGGCGAGAGATGGGAACTCTGGTAGAGGGAACTGACTCTGGTGATGGGATTGGTGTTGGAATATTGTATGTCTAAGACTCATCTATCAATAACTTTGTAAATCACACCTCCTTAATTAAATAACTAAATAAAACCTAGCACAAGGGTCACCAGTAATTAAAACCAATGTTAGAGGAATGGTGATTACCTCGGATTTTGGTCCCCAGAATCCAACCTAAAATCCATTTCATAACCTACAAAGACGTACATGTCCTTTAAATGAGCATCTGCCACCTTGCCAATCATGCTGAACCACTATTCTCCCATTCTCCTCCAGCTCCAGTGGACTAAATGTTTCTTCAGATATTGTGAGCACACTGTGGCCTTAGGGATTTTGAATGTCCTGTCCTTCTGCCTGGATTACTCTTTCTCCTTTATCCACATTGTTTGTTTCAGTACTTCATTCAGATCTCAGTTTAAATCGCACTGTGTCACTGAGAGTTGATGGTTCCTACCTGACTCTCTACCTACTCCTTTACATAGATCTGTTTTTCACCCCCAGACTTTACACGCTACAATATTGCGTATACTTATTGTTTGTTTTTTCTCTTTCTTTGTCTTTCACTGGAATACTCACTTTTCACTACGATAAATTCAATTATTTTAGAATGATTCCAGGCTTATTAAAGGTATTGATAAATACCTGACTAAATGTACAGACATCCTATGGATGTATACAGTTATCTGTTCATAAAAAGCTTCAAAACCTTCATCAACATTGAACTTTCTATTATCCAGGTACTCCAAGGAGGGAAATTTTTCATCATCTCCAAAAACTATGTTTATTCCTACCTTCCAGAAAACTCATATAACTGAAAATAAACTGCTGCTTTTTTATAAGCAATCAGAGGGCTTTGCAATAAATGAGTCTATTATTAAACATGCTGACTCAGTTGGACCTTTCTGTTAGAGTGATTTTCCAGATGTGGTTTCATGCATTCCCAGATTTCAAAGGAGGGGGGTCATTATGTGATGAGCACTCACAAAATGTGAGTCCCGGGACTCCATCCTGGAGATGCAGTTGCTGAGTGCTACATCCTCTCCCAGACCATCTGCGTCACAAAGGCTTACTCCTTGGGGTCAACTGAAACTATGACAGGATTTGATCTTTTTTTTTTTTTACTTACCCTAGAGGGAATATCACAGCATCTGTCTCTACTGGTCCACACTGGACTGCAAACAATATCAAAATTCTGTATTTGGAACTGCAAACAACACCAACAGCAATATCAGCTAAAGATGCATGAAAACATTTTATATTAACGTTTCCACATTCTAACCCTTGCCAACTTCTCACTTAGACTCTCTCATGAGGTCAAATCCCTGACAGCAATGTGATCCTTACTTCATAAAGAAATAACATAAAAAATATGTGCCTAAAAAAGAGAAAGAAAAAGTAAAGCAAAATGTTTATGTGAAATTTCCACTTTGGGCCCAACTCCTTAGCTAAAATTAAATGTTTCATTGGATTTTCTTTTGCTTATAATAACAAGTTTAACTTTTTAAAATTTCTTTCACATTTAAATCAAATTTTAAGAATCTACTCATAGAAAAGAAACACTAAAAAGAAAATTCCTCCTTTATTCTAAAATTTCTATTTTCAAAGAATTTTGCCTGAAGGTTCTTAAGATTTTCCTTAGTGTAACTATTTCATAATATAAACTTTCTATTTTCCTACTTTTTAAAAATGAAGTTCTTTTGATGAAAAGACTGTTTATATACAGTAAACATCTCTTATAATTCTATTTTAGTTCTATTTGAATATCAAATTATATCTTTAACTGGAAGTCTAAAATTTAAGAACAATTAAATTCAATTTGCACTAAATATTCTACATAATGGAGTAAAAATTTTACTTTAGAAATTAGAAGAAACTTCTATCCATGGAAAAAAGTTAAATTAAATCATTTTTTAAGAAAATAAGGGTTGGAGCTATAGCACAGCAGATAGGGAATTTGTCTTGCATGCGGCCAACCCAGGTTCAATGCCTGGCATCCCATATGATCCCCCAGGCACCACTAGGAGTAATTCCCGAGCACAGAGCCAGGAGTAATCCCTGAGCATCGCTGGGTGTGACCCAAAAAAACAGAAAAAAAAAGAAAATAATAAAAGCCAGAGTTATTTACCTTACTTTTAGAATGATACTACTCTGGATTACCACTGCTTTATTTGAATCTAATAATTCTGGTACAGTGAACACTTCAGATTCAACATTTTACATGAATGATCATTGTCCATGGGATTGGTAAGCTCCTCTCTTAAACTTGAGCTAGTGAACCACGGAGAAATGTTGGGGGTTGGGAGGTCCTTGTACAAAGTTCTTCCTTCTAAGGCAGAAATGATTCCTTTGCAAAGGAGCCAGATAAAGACTGTCACAGCCACTGTACACACAGGCTGAATGTCCTGATGGAACAAACTTGTGCTAACAATCGCTATCTCTGAATAACAAAAAAGTGAGTTATTTTGGATTTCACTACTCATCCTGGCCACTGCTCATGTTTTATTCTCCAACTTGATCCTATGTCAAGATGTTCTCTGATGCCCTGACATCTTATTTTGCTTCTAGCATCTTATCCTATTGGGCCAGTAGTATATTTTCTCAATATAACTTTTCCAATGTTTCAACATGATCAAGAAGTTAGACAATTTAATAATGCCCAAAAAAAAAAGAATACCCAACTCTATTACTTTTTAAAATGTCTTTTAATTTCATTTCAGCAAGATACCAAGAAAACTTAGAATTACTTACTGTGGCTGATCTTCTTTCACCTTTGAGTAGTTTTCCAAGAATTTCATAACCATCAGTTGTGATATTTCCAGCTTCCTTGATGTCTTTTTCTATGATTTCATAGCAGTCAATGTAAATTTTGACACTTTTTGAGGTCACGACAATGTGAACCTAGGAAGATTATTTGTTTTAATTATAAAATTTCTACCATAAAGAAATTGACTCATTTCTTTGTCTTTCAGATCACAGCCTTTTTAAAAAGTGATTTAAATATACATATTTAATCTTGAACCAAAAAATTCAAGAAACAGATTGTAATGTTGATGGCATAACATAAAATTGTATGGGACACTTCGTCACTCCAGCTGATCTCAGTTTCCTTTATGCACATATACATGCATAACTTCTCATTTTCCCTTTTATGTACACTTGCCATTATGACCAAAGATAATGCAGAAGAAAACTCTGCACACTGTTCTCAGAAATTCTCAGAAGTTCACAAGCCATTTACATGTTAGTATGTACACTACAAAGTAGCACATTAAACTCACTAGATTGTTTTATATTTGTATTTCCTAACCTCAGGCAATTTGCACATCAATACATAAATGTAATAAGGAATTAGCACTTTTCTCATGAACATAATTCAAATACCACACCCATTATTGGAATTATGGTATTGGAATTAGGTTTATGAGAAATCATTATTAATAGCATATGTAAGCCAAAAATAATTAATCAAATAAGAAATTTAAGAATTAACACTCTTCTATGGATATTTAATTCTGGAAGATAATACAATTCAGGATTCATTATCCTTTATAAGGAAAGAATTTATTTTGATCTGATATTCAAGACAAATAATATTAAGAAATAATTTGTAAGTCTATAACTGTACCTTGTGGTGTTTCACTAATAAAAAAAATAAAAATAAAAAAATTTTAAAAAAGAAACTTATTTGGACAGATAATTACTAAAACATTTATTTTAACCACGTAGAGAATGGATATAAGTAATCTTTGAGTTTATAATTATGCCCATGGCATCCACTTAGAAAGCACAACCAAGAAGGGCTTGATCAATTTGAAAGTTCAGCTCCACATTAAAAGGAACAATATTTCCCTTCAGGGCTTCTACTCAATAAGTATAATAATAATCTTCACTGATTTTTTAAAATTTTAAAATTATTTCATTGTAGTTTAGGTAACAAGGTTATAATAATATTAAAGTGTATGGGCTGGAGTGATAGCACAGTGGTAGGGCGTTTGCCTTGCGTGCAGCCAGCGTGGCCAAGCCGGGTTCGATTCCTCTGCCCCTCTCGGAGAGTCTGGCAAGCTACCGAGAGTATCTTGCCCACACGGCAAAAGCCTGGCAAGCTACCCATGACGTATTTGATATGCCAAACACAGTAACAAGAAGTCTCAAAATGGAGACGTTACTGGGCCCGCTCGAGCAAATCGATGAACAACGGGAGGACAGTGACAGTGACATCAATATACAAACTGGCTGCATTCCAACACCATCAAAGTGTCCAAGAAGCCCCCAATGTCCCTCTACCACCTCATCATCCCTACTATTCCCGCCACCACTCTGTAATTAGAGTTTGTAATCAAAGCGAAGGATTTCTTTTTGTTGTTGTTTTTTAGCTTTTGGGCCACATCCGGCGGTACTCAGTGGTCACTCCTAGGTCTGCACTCAGAAATTATTCCTGGAAGTGCTCGGGGAATCATATGGGTTGCTGGGGATAGAACTGGGTCAGCTGAGTTGAAGAGAGCCCAATGATGAAGTACTATCTCTTCAGTCCTGGGGCCAAGGTTTCTACTGCTGATTTTAAACAACATTTCCCCACTTAAAATCACAAAAAAAAAAAACCAGTAATTCAGTGCACCTATACGTGGTAAATATAAATTATACTACACTTCATATAAAGGTGATAGGTAGTTTAAATAAACTATAAATGAAGCAACCTTTAATGCGCCAAAGGTGTCATCTATGCGTTTTACAACTCATAGAGAACTGGCAAGATATCTATCAACATTTTTTTGTTATTGTTGTTGTTCCTAGGCAACACCTGGCAATGCTCTGGGGTTGCTCCTGGCTCCGCACTCAGGAATCACTCCTGGTGGTGCTCAGGGGACCATAAGGGATGCCAGGGATTGAACCCAGGTCAGCCGCATTCAAGGCAAGCGACTTATCTTCTGTACTATCTCTCTCTGGCCCCATATTTTTTAACTTTATCCCAGAGGCAAAGAATCACCATGTATTTTAAAAATTACTGCATAAAAATTATTTCAAAATCAGAACTCAAATCTATAACATTATTCACAATGCATCTGTCATTCATAAAGAAGTGCTTTCTAAAAACATTTTGCTATAATTTCTTCAAAGTGCTTCGCTAAATTTTAGAAGCATGACTAATTACATTTTAGAGTGGGCTCTTTATCTAATAAACCAGTGACCCGAGTTTTTAAGAACTGCTTCCCAACTATGCAATGCTGGTAACAAAAAGACCAGTAGAAAATAAGAAAATAAAGAAATCCCCTTGGCAATTCAGGCTCAATGCAAGTTCTTTCATTCTCTAAAACTTATTTTTCATCTTTCCATTTTTTCCCATTATTACAAATTTCTCACTTGAACTACCTCAGCTCTTACAGTACATTAAAGAGGAGAATCCAAAGTCTTTCCTGTCACTTCCACTAATTCTCTGCTCTTAAAGTACTCCCATCCTAAGGACTGAAAAAATTTAGTTCCCAAATTAGATGAAAAATGAAAGTAGAACATTTGAGTCCTTGGATTAGTAAACAATGTAATATCCATCAGTTCTTGAATGTGATACGTGACTTGATGGGATAAAATACAGTAGACTTAAAAAAGAGAGAAAGAGAATTGGATGCCATGGATATGGTTTTGGTGGTAGAGCACATGCCCTGTATCAAGTCTTGCACCACTGAACCAAGATTGGCCCTTGGGTCAATCACTGACACAAGAAATAAAAAGAAAAGAACTCAGATATTGTTGCAGTGGGAAAGATATTGTTGCAGGGGGAATGTGTGTGTGTGTGTGTGTGTATATATATATATATATATATATATATATATATACATATATATATGTGCACACAAGACTCAACCTTTAACAAACATGTTAGCAATCTCTTGGGTTTAATGACTCCAGGGTGAAATAGAATCTTCACACACTTTCCTCTAAGAAAACTATTTTTGGATCATTTTTAGTGAGTTATGATAACAAGCAATGCAAAATTAATTATTTTGGTTCTGCTTTGGGTGTAGAGTTTGGGATTTGGGGTGGAAACATTCAAAATGTGGTGGGAAGGTACAATGGTGGTGGGATTGGTGTTCGAATATTAAATGTAATGAATTATTGTGAACAACTTTCACGGTCACGGTCCTCCCGTTGTTCATCGATTTGCTCGAAAGGGCCCAGTAACGTCTCCATTGGAGACTTTGTTGTTACTGTGTCTGGCATATCGAATACGTCACGGGGAGCTTGCCAGGCTCTGCCGTGCGGGCGAGATACTCTCGGTAGCTTGCCGGGCTCTCCAAGAGGGGCGGAGGAATCGAACTCGGGTCGGCCATGTTGGCCACTTGTAAGGCAAATGCCCTACTGCTGTGCCATCGCTCCAGCCTTCTTGGCCTTTTGGCTAAGATCAAGTGAACAACTTTATGAAAATAAAATAAAATTTTAAAAATTGACATTGGAGACGGTAAAAGAATTATGAAAATAAAGGGGGAAACTGAAAGGAAAGAGATGGAGAAAAAATTAAAAAGCTCTGAGAAGTAAAAACATTATGGAAATTAAAACATAATCCAAAGAAATTAAAATTCAAAACCAAATGACAGAAAGGTTCATAATAAAGAGGTAGGGATGAGAAAAAGCCCTATAATATGGGTTATACTACATAATTCAAATTTTGTAAAGTTCTTGTTATTGATGGGCTGGAGCGATAGCACAGCAGATAGGGCGTTTGCCTTGCACACAGCCAACATGGCCCATTGGAGTTCAATTCCTCCACCCCTCTCGGAGAGCCCGGCAAGCTACCGAGAGTATCTCGCCCGCACGGCAAAGCCTGGCAAGCTACCCATGACGTATTCGATATGCCAAACATAGTAACAAGTCTCACAATGTTACTGGGCTCGCTCCAGCAAATCGATGACCAATGGGAGGACAGTAACTTGTTATTGACAATTTATCTAAATGTTAGTAGTTGTCTCCTAATTAAAAGTATTATTGCTTTAAGTTTTCTTATTTTAATCATTCTGTAAAATTTAATTAAATTGTTAACATGACATTCTAATACATAAATTAACTTAACATTTTGAGTATTGTTTATAAATAACCAGACATTATGCTTTTACCTTATGAAAACTTCCATAAAATAATGTCTTCACTTCATCTGTATCAAATGTAATTGTCTGCACTTCACCTCTTGTATCCTTGTTAAAGAATGATAACGTTTTGCTAGAAGCTGTAATCAACATATATTTGTTATTAAAATACATAGTTTATATACTTCATATTAAAAGTATTAGTAAATAATTCTTGTTGGAAGGATTTATTTAAAACCAATAATTTCAGTTGGGACAACATGTAATAAAATATTTAGTGCTAAGATATATTTTATAAGTATATGTGAAATAAATATATATCTAAAAGGTTCTTAAAGAAAAGAGTGAAGGGAACAGAATAATATGGAATAACATATATAAAATAAACAGAAATAATAAAATGCATAGATGAATATGCCTTAAAATAAGATAAAAAAAATCCTTACGATCTGCGATCACTCCAACTTGTGGTTTGTAGTCTCTGTCTGTAATTTGCCAAATTGCGAAAGGATCAGTGGGAGTTTCTGGGAGAAGTCTAAACAATAATATAATTGTGTAGGAAGGAGGGAGTCCATTCGGATGTAGCTCTCTGATGAATAAAACAAAGTGGATGAATGAAAGAAGGAATGATAATAGAGTCATAAATAGAGAACTTTTTTTTTGCTTTTTATATCACACCCAGCGATGCACAGAGGTTACTCCTGGCAGTGCTCGGGGACCATATGGGATGCTGGGAATCGAACCTGGGTCGGTCGCATGCAAGGCAAATGCCCTACCCACTGTGCTATCGCTCCAGCCCCCAATAGAGAACATTTTAAATCTTTGCACCAGGACCTTCTTATGAACAGTACTGAAGATCATTTATGAATATCTAGTTATGTATGAGAAAGAAAAATAGGAATGACAGTAAAATAATTCAAAACTTCATTACACAAGCAGAAATATACTATAATCTGATAAAGTCACAAAAGTCTGGAAAATTGCCAAATGGTATTTTGTCCTTAAAGTAAAGGCCCTCCCATTGATCATCGATTTGCTCGAGCGGGCCCAGTAACGTCTCCATTGGAGACTTTGTTGTTACTGTGTCTGGCATATCGAATACGTCACGGGGAGCTTGCCAGGCTCTGCCGTGCGGGCGAGATCCTCTTGGTAGCTTGCCGGGCTCTCCGAGAGGGGCGGAGGAATCGAACTTGGGTCGGCCATGTTGGCTGCGTGCAAGGCAAATGCCCTTTTTTTTAAGTGATAGACATTATATCTACGAATATGACTTTAAAGGACATTTCAAACAAATATACTGTTTCTCATAAAAATTTTCTAATCCTGCGGTCCCATAGAGATAGTACAGCAGATTAAGCATTTGCTTTGCCACAGGCCAACCCAGGAGGTTAGGTCTGGTACCACATGTGGTCCCATAAGCACTGCCAGCAGTGATGCTGACAGCACAGAGTATGCCCTGATCACCACCAGGTGTGGCCTAAAAAAACAAACAAACAAGCAGAAAACTTTCCAAGCCTCTAATGTCTAATGATGTCCTGTGATGAAACTAATATTTATTATAACGGTTACAAAATGGTAATGCTCTAACATTAGGACCTCTTATACATCACCACTCAGAAGTTTGCTTTCTTGTGTAAGCCAGCAGTCTGTTTTCAACCCATTTTCAATCTTTCTTTCTAAATATTGATTCTTCTTATAATATATAAAATATAGTTTTACTAAATGTACTTAATTTCCAATGTCAGAATGCGAGATCATAAGTTACCTTTAATAAGATGCCTTTAATTTATAGAGTCCTGTCTCTATTAATTGTCATGCTTCCAAATTCCTCCCTTGAAATCAAACTAATCAAATAATCACCAGAAGCTCATATTTTCTCCAAAATAGCACTGTAGCACTGTCCTCCCGCTGTTCATTGATTTGTTCGAGCAGGCTCCAGTAACATCTCTATTGTGAGACATGTTGTTACTGTTTTTGGCATATCAAATACACCACTGGGAGCTTGCCAGGCTCTGCCGTGTGGGTGGGATACTCTCGGTAGCTTGCTGGACTCTCTGAGAGAAATGGAGGAATCAAACCCAGGTCGGCCACGTGCAAGTCAAACACCCTACCTGCTGTACTATTGCTCCAGCCCAAAATATTTCTCCAAAATAAAATCAATAATGACTATTAATGTCATAGACATGTGCAAACCCTCAGTGAGGACAAAAGAACTTGATTCAATTAAAAGAAAATGTGTCTTGGCTCTGAAACTGTTTGACAAAAAATGTGGTCTCATGTATTCTTACAGAGTTGACTGGGAGAAATCTTTGAAGCAGAATGGATGGTTCTCTGAGGCCATTTAATAAAACTTTCTCCCTGAAGGTAGGAAAATGGCCATGTAATCAACTCTTGGACAGAAAAGAGGCTATTCGTTCATGAACACTGGCAGAGGGCCCAGACTATCTCTTGGGGTTCATATCCTAGTATAAAACCAATAGTACTTCTGGAACATAATGCTGCCCTGCTTCTTAAAGCATATTCTTAGGGAAAGCTATGTAATATGGTGCCTTTTGTGTGTTCAAGAGCATATGATATTTATATTACATGTTAAAAATCATTCTCATATTAATTCATCCCTCACCTAAACCATTTTTTCTTTCTCCCTTACTTAACCACTACTTATTAAAAAAATTAATTGTATTTATACTTCTTTCAGTTCTGAGTTCTGAATCTTGCAAGCACAGTAAGCTGTAGTAAGTTAAAAGACAGTAACTCATCTTGAGGTAAAGTTACACACATAAGTTCACTTAAAAAAAAAAGAAAGAAAGAAAAAGAAAAATCTAAAACTGAAAACCACCATAGTTAACCATAAAAGAATTATGAGCTTGGTGTGGCCTAACTACAACATTATGATCTGTACTTCTTTAAAAGAAATTAGCTTTGGTTTTAAGTCTGAATTTTCCATCCGCTTTCCCAGAGTATTTCAAATTTCCAGCCTCATTTTCTGACCCTCTCCTGGAAGTTTCTGAAAACTTGGTTTTGTCTTGTTCTTTTCTTTCCATAAGTTGCCAAACACATATTTTTCAATATTAAAATGCTTTGTTTTAATGAGCAAGAAATACATATTTGGTTATCGTGCCCAGGTGCAAACTTTCATGAAGTAGAAGAACATCTAGAGCTACCCAAGAGACTGCTACACATCAGCCAATGAAAACTAACTGCTGCCTTTTTGAAGGTCGACAAGCAAAACTGCGCGTCTTTCATGTTCTGAAAGTCTGAACCACTAAAAGGAATGTGTGCTCTATTCTGTAGGAAACATGCAGTCTCTCTGCTTCATAGGGAGAAACTTTCAAAATAAGTGCCTTTTTGTTTAAATGGCCTCCCATAGAAGAAGCATTATCACATTTCTAATTTTAAATTCAAAACAGTCAATAGTACTAAACCCAGTTGAGATTCTTGGGTCTTAGGAGAGCAAGGCTTAAAAGTTCTTTCTAATCTCCAATGAAATTGGATGGATGACACTGGCCTTAAGGAAATTAGACACAGTCATCCACAAGAATCTTCTGACACTCTAAAGTTCCAGGATTCCAAGAAATTAGAGAGGAATTCATGGATTAAAAAAAGATGCCTGGCCCCTTGCCACACTTACGCTGTAGGCTGATTCACAAAGGCATTTTTCTGAAGTCTGTATGCTGAGTAGCTGGGGAAAGACCCTGATTCCAAAGAAACTCCTTGTACAGAAGCAAAGTTCTTTTCTGTTAGGTTGTATGCTTCAAGCATCTTAAAACCTTACAACAGAAAAGAAAAGAAAATATTGAAATGAGAGTATGTTAATTACTTTGTTGTTTAAATTCTAAAAGAAATTGGTCCAAGGATATATGCTTACCTGGTGAGGTATAGCCATCCAAATAAATGAGAGGACAACCTATGAAATACAATATGGGTTCATTAGGTGCAAATAATAAATATTGTCTACAAGCACTTATATATACTCCCCCAAACGCTACAAATATATATCAAGCAGCAAAATTTTTCAATCATCTATAACAATTTGTGCTGGAGCGATAGCACAGCGGGTAGGGCGTTTGCCTTGCACGCAGCCAACATGGGCGACCCGAGTTTGATTCCTCCGCCCCTCTCGGAGAGCCCGGCAAGCTACCGAGGGTATCTCACCCTCACAGCAAAGCCTGGCAAGCTACCCGATTCGATATGCCAAAAACAGTAACAACAAGTCTCACAATTTGTTGTGCGATATTACTGGTGCCCACTCGAGCAAATCGATGAACAACGGAAGGACAGTGCTATAAGAATTTGCAAATTTTGCTTTCTGTGTCCGTGTAGAAGAAATTGTACCACTCACCAATGCTTTCTGAATAATCTTTAAAATCCCATTTTAAAGTGTTCTTAAGAATGTCAAAATATAATTTGAGAGGAATATTTTCATTTAGGTTTCAATAAATTAGAGCACCTTTTCCCCAGGAATTTGAAACACAAATTTGTCCCAAAATGATTCTCTTCTCTACCAGGTCCCTGAGAGTCACGGTCATCTCTACCAGTGATGAATATGCAATGTTTACCACTGATATTTCTAACCAGATTAAGTTCTGAGGGGTGTTTTTTTAAGTAAAGTTTATTAGAGTGGTGGTAAGAAGCTGTCTCTTTAATATTACTTAAAAATTGGTGCTAATGGTTGAGAAAGAAGATAAATTGGCTTAAATAATCAGTCTTTGCTCCTTAACACAATGCTTCTCCCTTCCTCTTATTTGAAAAATTGAATATTAGGTTCTGGAATGACAAAAAAAATCTATGCACATTGCCCCCAAAATATCAAAATGAATTCCAGTGTAACAAAAGTTCATTTTTTCCCACTGCTCTTTAAACCACGATGTTCACAGGACAAATAGTAATAGATTTCTAATAGTGAAAAGTTTCATCCCACAGAAACAATTCTATAAATGCATTTTCTAAGCAGAAATTAATTTACCCAAATGAATAAGGGGAAGACATTATATTAAAATATTTTATTTCCATACAAGGCATATTGCATCTTCGAGGCTAAATATGGACTCTAACATGCACATATTTCCGATGATCATAACCGAATAATGATTCATCAAGTTCTCAAGCGACTTCCCAGGATCTATTTCTGCACAAACTTACTATAGGGAATTGTGTGTTACTTTTCAAATCGAATTGTGTTTGGATCCATGTGGGCCATTACTTACTTGAAGTGGCAGTTTCACAGACAAATGTAATGAGGTTGTCTTCAATCTTCTCAAAAGATTCAAAGTCATCCACAATGAACACATGCCGTTCACTTGGTTTGCTGGCAATGTTAGCAAGCTCGTTATAATCAACATCTGCCACACCAACTACAAAAACACTGAAGCCTGCAGAGCAATGTTGATAGTGTTAATTTTAGATCTACCTCTTAGCCTCTATTGTTTAACAATTCAAATAAAATTTTAGCAGAAATAGTGCTATATTTTCTTAGGATATGAGTCCTTTAAATAGACATAAACTCTAATGAATGTTTCCCTTTCATAGTGAACATAATGCACATCTTGAAGTCTTAAGTTATACCTCAATGTTATAATATTATAAAACAATCTTTTTAAATACGGGGCCAGAGGGACAGTACAGGAAGCTAAGGTGCTTGCCTTGCATACTGCTAACCCCAGTTCTACCCCCAACACTACACATGATCTTCTGAGCACTACTCAGATGAGTCCTAAGAACAGAGCCAAGACTCAAGTGTTGAGCAGAGCTGAATAAGTCCCAACTCCTCCCTCCAAGAAGTGAAAAAAGTAAGGAAAAGAAAAAAGAAAATACGCACTTTTTAAGCCTTTGCATTTTCTGGATTCCACAGTCCTAAGAACTATGCTTACTCTCTCAGTATCACTAATATTTCAGATTATTTGACTCAATACAAAATGGACTCACTTTAAAACCTAGGTTTTTAAAACAATTTCTCAGCAAATTCAGGCACAAAGACTATACTTTGGAACTTTAAAATGGAATCTACAGCTGTCGGCAATTAACTTTTGCTTATTTGTAAATTTAAAAAAAATTTATCACAAAACTTCCCAAAGGGGGGAAAAAGGACTATAAAAGGATGAGTTATATAAGTAAATAGAGAAGGTGGTTTGGGATACAAGCATACATAATCCAAGCAAAACTCAGTAGTCCGAAATATACAAAAATCTTCACAAAGTGCTTAGTATAACACAAAGATTTCTAAAAATCAATGCAAAGAACAACCCCCTCTTCAAAAAGATACTATGACTTAGCACCAATCATGACTCATACTTTCAGACAAAGAATCATGTAATACAGGTGACTAATTTCATGTGAACAAGTACTTTTCAATTTATTCCATAAATTATCATGACATATAAGTATAAAATACATCCACCTTGGACCCTGCCTAGGGGAGGAACAGTGAGCAGTTAAAAGAAAGTATTAGAAAGGGTTAGTCTCATTCTCTAATGATCCTAAATAACTAATCTAAATACCAGCATTATCAAGTGGCTCTCAGGATATCTGATTGTCAAGATCTGCCCCAGGGATGTCTTCCTGAGATCTTCCTACTCCTCTATACAAGAGAGCTTCTGCATTATGTCTCCACCTGCAAGGATACTAACTATGTCTACATCTACATAGAAAATTCCATCAGGATTCACGCCAGCTATGGCAGAAAGCATTCTCTAGGACCATAATTATCACTTTCTGATCTTTTCAGCCACTACTGGCCAATTAGGTTTGCTCGTTGATAAGTCCTGAGTCACTTCTTACATAAAGAACATACCATATAATTTCTAAGAAATTACAAAACCAATATATAATTGATTATAGTTTAACATCACAAAGGTATATAGAGCACACTTAATCCAAGAATAACAAAGTGAAATAAAATATTTTTTGTCTTTCATACTGTTAAAATAATATAATGAGTGTACTCACTTGGCATCAAATTCACGTCGGTGCTTACCTGACTGTTGGATGACAAAGGCTGCCTTCTTGACCTCATCTTGTGACCGACCATCAGTGACAACCACTAGTACCTTAGGGACATTCTTCCTCATGCCACTCTCCCAGGTCAAGACCTTCTCTTTGATAAATGTGAGTGCTTTACCTATAGAGTGTGGCATAAATCATTTTAATAACAGCTCAGTGCAAACTATCCCGAAGTCATTAGCAATGCCAAATGACAAGAATGTGCATGTTAAATGTGATGGTCTAATCAGTTCTGTCATCCAAAAGACTTTGAAGAAGGAGAATATGTACATTATTATTAATTATACCTGTTCTTGTGTTTCCTCCTCTGTACCTAATATTCTGTAGTGCACCAAGGGCTTGGGCTTTGTCATTATATGTGTTCAGCTTGAACTCGGACTTGACTTCATCACTGTACTGCACAAATGAAACCTGAAAAGAAATATAGATTGGTGATGAGAGAAAGTAATCTCCCATTATATTCTAATTCTCTGGTGAACCCTCTGGCAGAAGAATTGGCAAGGTAATACAGTCAGAATTACAATCTCTTTATAGCTAATATTATAGGACACACTACTATAATCTAATTAAAATCTCTCCTTTTTATTCTTCAATTAAATTGTCAGTAATTGATATTAATAAGGCATTAGTCACTGCTGCCTTTCTCTAAGATGTAGAGAGGAATCAGTAAGGCTGGAGAATATGGTGGGTTCCAGAATTTGAAATGAGAATATAACATATTTAACTCAAATGTTGGCAAAACACTTTTATAGCCAACTGCTTCTTCATACTGAAAAATAACTATTCTTTACAGTAATATGGAAATGTCCCATATGTAGCAATAATTAACATGCATCACAAATTTAGTATCAGTGTGGTCTAAGTGAAAAAAAAACAGAATTCTTAATCCTTTATAATCAAGATTCATAACTCTCAAATTCTACCTCAGCCAATTAATATCTATGTGACTTTTAATAGGTTCAGAATCTCTTTGGGCTTTGGTTTTCTTACAAGTAAAAGTGGAGGTAATTATACTTACTTTCTAGGGCCGTTTGAAGGACTAATATAACTGACTTGATCTTTTACTCTTCTTGAGTAGAAATGATTTCTGTGGGTTTATTTGGGGATTTGAAATTCAGGAAATTCCAAAAAACACATTCCATTAAAGAATACAATATGTTTATGAAATTGTGTATGGCTTGCATGAAAATGTGCTATTTTCCTGTATTTCTAAAATGCTACAGTAGCACTGTAGCACTGGCCTCCCATTGTTCATGGATTCCCTCGAGCGGGCACCAGTAACATCTCCATTGTGAGACTTGTTGTTACTGTTTCTGGCATATCGAATATGTCACAGGGAGCTTGCCAGGCTTCGCAGTGTGGGCGGGATACTCTCTGTAACTTGCCCGGCTCTCTGAGAGGGGTGGAGGAATCGAACCCAGGTCAGCTGCATGCAAGGCAAACGCCCTATCCACTGTGCTATTGCTCCAGCCCAAAATGCTACAGTAAAGAAAAACAAACTGCTGAAACAGAGAAGAAAATTCGCTATGAATGAGAGAAAAAATAAAAGAACTCCAAAAGATAATACAATATAATCTCTTATCTCAATGAGTCAGTGATTTAGATAGAAGACAATCATTAAGTAATGACAATAGAAAGAGATACCTGCTATAACACTAACAAGACAAACTCTTTCTGGAGCACAGAATGCCTGAAGGCATCAAAGAAACTTCTCAAACAAAGTTGGGATTTGAAGTGGGTCTGCAAGATTGTAGAATCCAGAAAGTAGTTAATAGTACTTTCAGTGAGATTCAGAGGGACCTAAGAATATCCCTTAAAATAGCCTAGAATCACTGGACCTTAGTATGTGGCTTCTAAGAGGATGGGAATGGTGGGGAGATTTTTGGTGTAACAAATAAATTATAGACAAACGATAAATTATTATCTGGGCCCTCTATTAGAATGAAACCTCTCCAAGTTCCTAATTGAGAAATACAAATAATTTTAAAGTGAGTTCACAGCAAGATAAATAGTTATTATTTTAGGTAAATAAATGAAATACCCCTTGAGTCAATAATGCCCACCATTTCACTCAAGGTACTATCAGCAATGTTAAGACTGAGTGTTGTGGTACACACTTACGCCAGTCACTATTCACCACTGAATCCTCTGGCCTAGTTCATATGAAAACCACAACATATTAACTACTAGAACATTCTAGCCATTTCAGGAAATTATCATTGTTTGAAGTTTTAAGCAGGAAATTAGAGTCAGAGTCCTATAACTATTCCAACAGCAAGAGCAACTAGCCAAAGAGAATACTTAAGAGGAATATTTATTTTCTATTTATCATTAATCACTATCACTTACCATCAATGTAATAAGATATTATCGGTCACCTATGGAACAATACCTACCTGAATTCCAGCAGGATTGATTTCATCAAAGGCTCCCACAGTATTGAAGATGAATTTCACAACCTTGTTAAAATTATCATCCCCGATACTCCAGGAGGCATCAGTTAAGAATACAATATCTGCCTTGGCCCCTTTGCACACTGGGGATGAAAAACAGAGATATCCCCCATATCTCATTAATCTAATAGGTATCTCATTAATTCCTCTAGTCAAACAAAATTGCATAACTGAGAAACACTTGGGAACTCAAAGCATGAATCAGAAGCACTGTATATCCTGGGAATTTCAGATTCACAACAAAATCTGAGCAGTGTTTATTTAACTGGTTTTCAATATCCTCTCTGAAATGGCATCATCAATTTAGAACCAGTTTTCAAAAATATGCCTTTCCTGGACTAGAATAATAGTACAGTTGGTAAGGTGCTTGCGTCCCTCAAAGCTAATCCAGGTTTGATCCTCAGCATCCCATTTGGTCCCCTGAGCACTGCCAGGAAGAACTCTTCAGTAAAGAGCCAGGAGTGACCCCCGAGCATCACCAGGGGTGGCCCAAAAAATAAAACAAAACAAAAGGTTTATTCTTGGATGGAGAGATAATACATAAGGTAGGGTGCTTGCCTTACACATGTCCTACCAGGATTAGATCCCCAGCATCCCCTATGGTCCCTGATCTTGCCAGGATTGATTCCTAAGCACAGAGCCAGGAGTAACCCTTGAGCATTGGTTTTTGGGTGTGGCCCAAAAGAACAAACAAGAAATTACAAGTTGGAACAGGCCAAAGAGATAGTATGGTGGGTACAATCTCTGGCATTCCATACAGTCCCTGGAGTACTGCCAAAGTAACCCCTGAGCATTGTCAGCTGGCTGACCCCCAAAAGATAAGCACTGTCCTGCTATTGTTCATCAATTTGCTCAAGCGGGCCCAGTAACATCTCCATTGTGAGACTTGTTGTTACTGCGTTTGACATACTGAATACGTCACAGGTAGCTTGCCAGGCTTTGCTGTGTAGCGAGATACTCCCGGTAGCTTGCCGGGCTCTACAAGAGGAGCGGTGCAGGGCAAATGCCCTACCGCTGTGCTATCGCTCCAGCCCTAAAATAATAAATAAATACAAAAATTTTAAGATATGCTTTTTCCTAATCGAACTTTTCAAACAGCTTCAAGCAATAAATGGGAAGAAAATCAAATGAAAAGCAATCATGTCCAGAACTTGAGTGTCTTTTAATTTGAAATTAGATCACCAGAATTTTTTTTATTTTTTTTTTATTAGTGAAACACCATGAGGTACAGTTGTAGATTTACAAATTTTTGTGCTTGGGTTTTGTTTATACACTGATCAAATACCCACCCCTCCACCAGTGCCCATTTTCCGCCACCATGGATAATATCCCTCCCCCCCCCACCCCCCCATCCCACCCTGCCACTGTGGCAGGGCATTCCCCCCTGTTCTCTCTCTCCTTTTGGGTGTCGTGGTCAGCAAAAGAGGCATTGAGTGGCAAACATGTTCAGTCCATAGTCTACTTTCAGCCTGCATCTCCTCTCTTGGGAGTATCCTCCAAACACCCTTTATTTGGTGCTCCCTTCTCTATCTGAACTGCGCTTTCCCCTAGAATACCCGGCTGGCCTCTAAGCTATGGAGTAATCCTCCTGGTGTAGATCACCAGAATTAAGCATAGAAAAACGTGGGAGGGAGTGAATAAAGGAATATATATTTTTTAATTTTTGTTAGTGAAACACCATGGCGTACAGTTATAGACTTACAAATTTTTGTGCTTGGGTTTCAGTTAGACAATGATTGAGTACCCATCCCACCACCAGTGCCCATTCTCCACCACCACAGGTCCCAGTATCCCTCCCACCCCCATCCACCCCAGCCCACCCTGCCTCTGTGGCAGGGCTAAAGAAATATTTTTAAAATAATGTACATATTCATAATGTAAATGTATTTCATAAGGTAATTTCATAATGCAATGTACGTATTCATAATGTAACTGTAGAGGCTAAACATATTCTAAAAACAAAACTTAAAGAACGAAAATTTAACACGTGAGATCCACAGTACCAATAGTGAACCCTGATATAAACAATGGATATTGAATGATGATTATGTTGTCAGTGTAGAGAAAAGGGAATATGAATGGGATCTTAGACATATAGATGGGAACAGCATTGTTAATTTTAGCTCAATTTTTGCTGTGACTCTAACAACTCTAAAGGCATCCACTAGGAAAAAAATCCTTTAATGCCAAGATTTACTAAACTTGAAGAATTTATTTCAAGTCTAAAGAAATTCATTTTACATACTGTAAATAGCAGAAAGGGAAAACTTTCAGTTTAATTATTTAATAGGCTTAATAAAATGACAGCATTCTATAGTCTTATAAAATAAAATTAAAATACTTTTTTCTTGGTGTGGGTCTAAATAGTAACCATATGTGGTGCCAGGGATCAAACCCAGGTCAGTAACATGCAAGGCAAATGCTTAGCCACTGTACTATCTTTTGACCCCTAATTAAAATACTTTTAAAATCTGAAATGCTTTCAATTAAAAATTGGAAGTAGAATGGGGGAACAGTATAACTCACTAGATAATGAACTATAATTAATTTAATAAAGCACTGAGAATTACCCCCAAATTACTGAGTCTTAATAGCTCAGTATGTCTTTTTACCAGTTCACAGCAAGTGACAACCATGACTCAAACTTCGCTGAATGGGGATTTAAAAAAAAGAAAAAAAGCTTTGTGTAATTCAGGATCTAGCCAGGTCAAAAGCCAAAAGTTTACCCCAGGGGCTAAAAAAGGTTCACAGTGCCTATAAAGTCAGCAGCCAGCAGAAAGAAGTGCCCACCATGTGATTATGGGTTATGTAATGTATCCCAAGACCATAACCTGCAGAACTGTGAAAACAGTTTCAGGTGAAGACATAATGAAGCTTACAACTACTTTATGCACACCAAAATGTCCCTGGAGGAGAAGAAGAATAAATAATTGCTACCATTTGATTTAAAAATATCTGCAGCAGGGATATTAAGTCAGAAATGTTTTATATCAATTGCAAATGACATACAAGCAGCGCACACAGAAGAAGGTTATAAATCGCCATCAACTGAATGCATTGCCCAGCTAGCTGTACTCACCGTCCCGAGCTGGTGGAATTGTAGGAGGAGGAGGAGGTGTAGGTGGCTCTGTAGGGGCTTCTGTTGGTTTTAAAGCTAGAAAGATTAAACAATGATTAGAAAAATATTTGATGTGCATATTTCATACCACAAAATATAAATTTTAAAGATTACTTAAATCTTTTATTAAAACAGTCAAGTCTCATTGACACTGACAAGCTGGGAATTCTATTCTGTCCAAATCTAATACAATCGGTATTTGTTCAACACTAATCATTGCCACAGAAAGGCCAAGGTACGCAGGGCAACTCTAAAGACTCCAGATAGAGCCTAAAAAGTAAAAGTCACTACATACATATTCATCTTTATACTGTCAGCTGTAGACTCTCTTTCATCTTTCTTTTAAAAATGCCAACTCTGTCATGAGCACACATGACTGTGCTACAGATTAAGGTCCTGAAGCACCCGTGACTACCCCTTCAAGAGCCTGACATGATTAGATACTGCCTCTAGCAAGAAGTATCCACACAATTGCTTAAGTGTCCCACATAGAGTGTTCTTGTCTGAAGCACGCAGAGACTTGCCAGGTCACTCAAAACTTACTAGTATGTTCTCTGACAGGCACACCAGGTCCCTCAAGATTAGGTGTCTGTACAAATACAGTGATGCCATAATCAGAGTCTGGTGAAAGACCAGTGAAGCAGTGACTGGTTTCTGATCCACGCACTGTGATCTCTTGTCCTCTGGTTCCTGATTTTGAAAACAAAGGGATAATGCCAGTGTCATTGTCAATTACCTTTAAGCACACTTTGCTTTATCATTTTATAAACAAAACGGCATCTTCCTTATTGAATCTTACAGCGGGTAGGGAATTTTTGCCTTGCACACGGCCGATCCAGGTTCAATTCCTCCGCCCCTCTCAGATAGTCCAGCCAGCTACCAAGAGTATCCTGCCTGCACGGCAGAGCCTGGCAAACTCCCTGGGACCTATTCAATATCCCCAAAACAGTAACAAGTCTCACAGTGGAGACATTACTGGTGCCCGCTCGAGCAAATAGATGAACAACAGGAAAACAGTGCTACAGAATGTCACTATTATGATCTCCAGTTTCTTTAATTATTCTTTTTAATACATACCATCTGCAGGGTTCAGTTTTAGTCTGTAGGAGGTGGCTGCCCGGTGAGGTGACCATCGGACACAGAAAGTATCCCATCCCACCTGGTAAGTTTTCAGATCTGTCACATTTAAGTATACTACAAAATAAAGAAAATAGATATACCTAAGAAATGAATAACTCAAAAAAATATTTTCAATCAGACCACAATTCTAAAATGTCCATTGTGACTGAAAAAAAAATTAATGCAAAATCACACTGTTTAGCTACGTGAAACAAAAATAAAAATGTAATGCAACCCAAATTGGCCTGCCTTATTGGCATTAATTTTCAAGGAAAGGAAATTCTACGTAGTCCCTTTAAACACTGGGAAAGTCATAAGCATCTTACAAAAAATGAGAAATTTTTCCGAAAGGTTATTTGTTAAGTCCTTAAATAACTGTTAAGCACTTGTAATGACAGAATATATCTGTGGATCAAATCAGTAGTCATGTGATTTCTTTGAAAACTTTTAATTAAATCAATGCATTTAGATAGTATGCTTTATATCAAATGTTAAATATTACAGAGCATCCCAACTCCAGTTTTACAGGTCATTTATGAACAAATCATAATTTACATAGTTTTGTTTTTAAATATTCAAAGTGATTTTACATTAAAGAATGATATCTCATCTTACACATTTTTATGCTCAATTCCTTATGTATTTATCTAGCAAGACACAAAAGGATTACCTTAATGCTGAGAATATTTGAATAAGCTAAAAAAAAGCAAAATTAAAACAGACTGACTTGATCATTTGTACTAGTCTTTTCCCCACAAATGTAAAAAAGGTATAAGACTCACATGTAGTGCCTTGATCCATCAGGGGAACACTGAGTCCAGAATCATACTGAGCATAAACATTCACATCATAGGTAGTACTAGGGTTCAGATTGTGTAATGTATATGATCTTACTTCTCCAACAAATACTTCCATGGGTTCATTGGAACCTTTAATAACAATCACAAAAATATATATATAAAAAATGCTAAATTTTTCTTAACATAACACACACAAATGAAAATATGGCACCACTGGCTACATAAACCCTTATGCATTTGCTCACTGCCATATATGCAGTATTTGTTTGTTTAAGCAAATGAATGTAAAACTTTAAGCTGAGAGTGAATTCTTTATCATCAAAGCACAGCACAGTGCCTAAAATGTATCAGGCTTACAGTCAATGTTCCTTTAATAAATCAATCACACAGTCAGCTGACCTAGGCTCTCAAGCTTCCTCTCCTAGTGCCCCATAAACAGTATAGAACTTTACTTGTAATCAATCCATATTACAGTTGCAGAGAGGACTAAGTACATCTATGTGGAACCTCATTCCGTAAGTCAGTTACTGAAGGCTGTCATGCACACCTCTTCCTTGACTTTCCATTTCTTACACAGACTTAACTTTTCTTTTTCTTGCCCTAGCTTCTTTATTTTTTTCTCTAATCCATACCTTCTTGAATGCATGAAAAATGCCCTAATGTATGTCACAGAAGAGTATTTATTTTTGCATATTGCTAAGCTAAATGACAGAACATAGAAATAGCAATAGCATTACAGTAATAATTTAATCAAAATCATATCTATGTGAAAATGTCCATGGGAAATTGAAAGCATGCTTGTCATAAATAAGCTAATGTATATAACCCAAACTAGATAATACATTATAATGATGGAGGAGGGGTAAATACAGACCTTTTTGTTGATTAAATATGTATTATTTCACAATCACAATAAATATAACCTAAACACATGAATATACAAATGTAACCCAAGTAACAAAAGATTCAATCTGTGCAATTTTATGTACCAGGTGAAAGTTTTTAGTCATACAAACTAATGGGTCTCATGTACGTTCGTAGAAATGAGGCTATTTTGTACCATTAGTTTGAAATCCTATTTCCAAAATAGCACTTGAGCCATTACCTCTGGTTGAAGAGGGACTGATATGATAATTGATCAATCAAAAGAATGTAATTGTAGGAGATGTGATAAAGAACCCTCAAATACAAATAACTTCTTAATGTGTTTCTCTGATTAAAAAATGCTTCCTTACCCACTGGCTTATATACAATTTTATATCCAAGAACTGGAGAGGGTGAAGGGTCCCAGGATACTCGAAATCTCGTATACCATTCATCTGAAATGTGTATGTTCTGAGGAGGAAGTAGTCCCACTGTAAACAAATATTGGCACTTGTTACTGGCTGTTCATTGGCACATAGGTAGAACATGGAACTTTATGGGTATTTACTATGCGTATTGATAGTCTAATCCCCCAAAACAATTTAAAATAGTGTCCTATAATGTCCTTGTTTAGAAAACAGTTAAAATGCTTTGAAATGTTCCACAGCAAGCTTAGTTTTCAAATTCAGACAGAAACTCGCATAAATGTGTACATAATTTATATGTGTGGTGCTTTTTGATACAGAGAGAAAAATAAAAGATCTCATACCATTTTTAGAATTCTATAGACTACAGATAATCAAAAAGCAATTTAGAGACTAACTATTCCAACTACCTTATTGCATAACAAAGATATAAATTGCTTGGCCACACAGTAAGCAAGTGACTAAAACGATGCTTTTCACCAACATTACTCTGTCCCCCCTTAGGGAACATATCCAAGCCCCCCAAAGGTACTCATTCAGCTTCACCCCTTGAAAATCGCAACATTATTAAGTAGCATATTAAGCAGTCACTGAGTCATTATTTATAATCTTATACGAAATATGTATATAAACGAAAAAATTCTGTTCTCATACAACTTTGACAAAAATCAATAATAATGCAGTATTAATATATTGTATTTGAAATGCATTTGGGTAAATACAAAATTTATAGATTTGTAATGGCATATGACACTTACCAGTCCGTCCATTTCCTGTTAGATGTCCACCATCTCCATCTTCATAAACAGCAATAACAGTAATTTTATATGGAGTATCAGACTGAAGGGGTTGCAGTATTACATTATTTCTTCTGCCTGGAACTGTGGTCTGTAGAAAGTCAAAGTATATATTTATTACTTGTTAAGAGACTTCCAAATCGAAAGACAACGTTGTTTTGTATATTTTCACAAAGAGTAATGGTGTCTTCATTTTTTTTTTATTGCTAATACTCATGGAAAACCCAATGGTCTAAACCGCCTCTGTGAAATGTGAAAAGATGACACTCAGTCAAGCAGATCTGGGCTCAAAATTCAAGTCACTTATGAGTTAGAATCTCAGAAGAAAATTAAGAGGATGAACTTCAGCACAATTACTGAGTACAAAAGTGATCAATAGCCTTTTTGTCATATCGTATTGATATGTTATATTTCATGTATAGGTTTTATATTTCATGTATCCTGCATCAAATATGTATCAAGTACCCAAGCAAGCAAGTAACTCATAAAACTCAGGAACAAGAAAACAGTTCCTAAAAAAGTGGGAAGAAAGGTTGAACAGTCAGTTTACAGATGACATACAGATGGAAAACAGGGATATGAAAAAACATTCACTGGGCCAGAGAAATGGCTTCATTGTGTTGAGCACCAGCCTTGCAAGTGTGTGGTTGTGAGTTCAAATTACCAGTGCCTTACAATGCCAAGTGCAATCCTGGCAGGTCTACTGTGATAGCCTGGCTGCTCTGCTGCCTGTGATTCCCAAGTGCCACAAGTGCCAGTTTCATCACAGGAAGCGTGACCAGTGGCAAGCACCACAACCATAAAGCAATCGCCCCCCATAAGCACTACAACCAAGTGTAAAAGGGCCACAAATGATGTTAGACCCCTGGCAAACACAACTGAAAACTGCAAGTATCACTGTCAGGTGTGTGTGCAACCCTCATTCGCAATAATAACAACAACATCAATGACATGAAATAAAGGGAGATGTGAAGAAGGAATGAAACTCAATGGAAAATTGTCACAGGGGCCTAGGGAAGAGCCACCTCCTCCCCAAGTTAGGGGTCTTGGCACCTTGGTGGTGGCGAGGTGAGGTAACTGTGTCTACCAAAACCATAAATGTCAATGGTATTGTAAACAGGAATCAGTTTTTTTTAAAAATTCAAAAAACAAAAAGAAAAATCTTCATTATCACTTAAAATCAGCAAAATACACATGAAAACTACTATGAGAATCACTTCACATCTACAATAATAGCCTTTATCAAAAAGCCAAGAACCATGAGTATTGGCAAGGCAGTAGGCTAAAAGATATCCATGTACACTGTTGATGAGACTGTAAATTCATCCAGGCTGTATGTAAAAGTTTGGAGATTTCTTCAAATATTAATATAGATCTATCAAGTATGATCCAGAAAATCCACAATTAGGCATCTATCTAAAGAACACAACACTCATCCAAAAAGATGATGCAGGTGCTAGAGAAATAGCACAGCAGGTAGGCATTTGCCTTGCACACCGCCAACACTGGTTCAATTCCCAGCATCCCATATGGTCCCCCGAGCACCGCCAGGAGTAATTCCTGAGTGCAGAGCCAGGAGTAACCCCTGAGCATCGCCGGGTGTGACGCCCCCCCCAAAAAAAGCAAAAAAAAAAAAAAAATATATATATATATATATATATATATATATATATATATATACAAACCTATGTTCACTGCAGTGCTCTTACCAGCAGGCATGTATGGAAACAAACCAAGAGACAATGAAAAAATGAGTTAAAAAAGTTGTGATGGGTGGATAGATCATAGTCACGGTCCTCCCATTGTTCATCAATTTGCTCGAGCGGGCCCAGTAATGTCTCCATCGTGAGATTTGGTGGATAGATACAAATATCTATCTATCTATCTATCTATCTATCTATGTTAACAGAATATTACTCAGCTTTGAGAAAATAAAATCCTGTCTTATGCAACAAGTATAGAACCGTCATGTTCAGCAAAATAAATTAGGAGAAAGACAAAACTGCCAGGCAATCTAATTCAAATGAGAGATAAGAGGAAGTAAAACAAGGAAAAACACAAAAACAAACAAAAGTAAATCCTTAGGCTCTGACTACATAATAGAGATTACCAAGGGAGGAGAGCATGTGCCCAAGGGAAAAAAGGATCCAGTGAACTATGATAGAAATATATTAATACTTGGAAGGTGGGTGCAGAATGGTAACATGATTTTTGAAAGAGATGTTAAAACTGTGCCCCTGAAGCATAGACATCATGTAAGCCAGCACTGACTGTTTTTCAAAATCAATCTAATATTAAATAGGCAAAATATATATGGAAAAGAAGAAATGAAAGACACATTTAACTGAGTCCATGAAAAGGAAAAGAATCATCTGTATCTAATCATCTCTCTTCCAACACCCCATCCCTTTTGCAAACAACATGGATCACCTTTGCCAGTGATTTCCAGAATGAAATCCCTGATTACAAATGTTGAGCTGATGGACAGAGTTCTGTTTATAATGTTTTCAGAAAGTAAAGGGAAATTTTCATCCCTTGTCCAGAGCAAAGCTGAACAAATACTAAAGCATACTAAAGCAATATCTCTGTTTTGGAAAATTAAACGCAAAATACTCTATCTCAATTTGATAAAAAAAAATAAGAACTCTAAGTTACATGTTTTTCTGATTAATAAAATTGTGGCATAAATTATAATTTAAAGTAAAAATTTCAAGTAGATGAAATATTTTACAATGTGTGTTAGTGGAAGGAGAGTTATCAAAAGTAGTTACAAAGTCTAAGTCCAACTAGGTACTTTACGACCAACATTTTGTGTACTCTCCTGCTAAAATGTCACATCAATTAATCACTAATTTCAAAAAATGTGGTGTTTACATCCATATCAAATATCTACAAATAGAAGAAGCTGCAAGAAACATGAATCTTGTTCTAGAAAGAAAAAAATATGATCATCGAAAATTTGAAGCTAAAATAGGAATCAGTAGATTCCAAAACTAAGCATACTGAAAAAGTTTCAATTCAAATAAATATATATCAATTATATATATATATGCGTATTTATGTCAATTGGGACTTGGGTATTTAAGGAATTTCTTGTACAGGAATTGCTTTTATAAATGATAGGTTCCAGCAGTCATAGCATTCGAACATTCATTAATTTAGGTAGCTCAGAATAATCACTATTGATCAGAGGGAAAGCACAGCTAGTAAATGGTTTGCCTTGCACACTGGGTTTAATCCCTGGCACCATATACGGTCCACTTAGCAACATCAGGAGTGATCCCTGAGCATGGAGCTAGAAGCAATCCCTGAGGACAACCAGGTGTGGCCCCAAAACAAAACCTTTTGTGACCTGAAACAGTCTTTCCATCTGTTTTGAAAATATAAATGAGGCCAAAGACATATTCTCTGAAGTAGCCACAGCAGGCACATTTAGTGATCCCAATATCATGATTGAGAGAATCACCAAACAATGCCACTAGAGTCAGTGGTCAATCACCTTCCTTGCATGTGTGAGACCGGAAGTTTAATCCTTAGCAGTGGGGGTGGGGAGAGCTGTCACACTCAAGTCAGCTTTTATGCTTGACCCTAATTACAGAATATTCCCAAAGAACAAAGCTTCATTTCACCCTCCAATCGTGAAAATACTATGAAATGTTTAAATAAACGGATATCATACATACATATTCATCAATTGGATCACCAACGGTGGGTGAATAAATGATCCGGTACTGCTGAACAGGCCCATCAGCATGATCCCAAGTGACAGAGAGGCTATTGGTTGTCTCCCCAAAGACTCGAAGGTTTCTTGGTCCACTTCGTGGGACTAAAATAAAATACAATGACATTCATTAGTTGCTTGCCTGTACACACTGTGGTCATGGGAAAGAAAAGAAATGTAAAAGTCAAATTAAGTAATTTACTTGCAGATATGTCACTATTTATTTCACAGTGCCCTTAAAATACAATACATATCCCCCTCACTGTTTTAATGTGAAAAATAAAGAGTAGGAAGTGCTACAATTCAGAACTCTGGTTACATACTGAACTCTGGGTGACACGGAGCTAGATTTGAACCTAACTACATACTCATAAAGAAAGCGTTTTAACACTATAACCACCTGCTGTGTCAGAAAATGTAAAGGCCAAAATAAAAAATACAAAAATGGAGAGGTCAGTTCCCAAGTGCCCATTTGGTAAAAGGGCCCCTGTAGAGAAGAAAGCAGGAAGAAACCGTTCTTGCACTTAGATCTCGGGTGGAAAAATAACTGAAAGATCTGCAGTAAACATAGAGTGTGACTAAGAAGTTCACCTTAGCCTGCAAATGTGACTGTGGGGAAACGCAGGACAATCATAGATCTGAGTGAAGAAGGCTCCCGCCCCCTCTCCCTCACCGCCTACCTCCCACTCATCACTCATGCAGAGAATCCCTGCCAAACTAGTTAAAAGGGAATAGAGCAGAGAATCTGCCTCACGTGTTCGGCCTTGGCCAGGACTGGGATTCCCCTCTCCATCCGAGTAGATAGCGATGATTTTCACATCATAGGGTGTGTCCGGAATCAGCCGCTCCAGATTCACTGAGCGGGAACCTCCTGGCACCACAATCTGGAAAGGAAGTAAATGCCAGGGTTGGTCTGACATCAACTGCTTACCAAGTCTTTTATTAATCACTACGGTGTTTAGAATCAAAGGCTGCTACAAGACACATCTGATCAACTACTGTGCTTTCTTATAAGAGCTACCCAAACACATTACTAGAAACAATTATACTCAGAAATTCCCTCTCCAAAGTAAATTAGTTCATACTTGACATTTGTGAATTCAATCATCTTACATTAACATTTAGTACAATATTCCCAAGGCAAGGAGCTAGTCCAGTGCTTAGAGTACATGCCCAGTCGGAATTTAAACCCCAACACTACTTGACTAAGCATTGCTGGGTATAACCCTAGAGGCCCTTCAGCATCACGGTGGGGCTGAGTAGCACATCCTCAGGCCCGATCAATGAAATTCAGGTTTTGTAGGCAGAGTAACACCATGAACAGCCCCGAGCCTCCTCCAACCCTCAGCATCACTTGGAAATCTCCAAATAAATAAATAAATAGATAATGTTTCCACATATTACATGCAAGGCTTATGACAGTTGCCTATAGATCAGCTTGAATGTTAGATGCACATAAGAGAAGGGATTCTTGTATTGGCAGGGGAGAATTTGTAAAAATAAAAACCAAAACAGAGTGGCATTCATCCATGTATATGGGAAAAGTTGTTGGAATATGCCATCAGGCACAGGGCCATACAAGTCTTTCAGAACACAAGTACTGCTCATTTGTTCATTTCTTCTAAGAACAGTTGATCATTAAATTAGTCTATGTTTTAGTTCCCTTAGGTTGTTGTTAATATCCTTACTCAAAGGGAAATTTCCTATTTCTATTAATCTAATTAGAAAACAATCATATTATGAAAAATACTATCATTCAGATAGACAGATTAGGCCATTTGTAACAGCCAGTAGGGGCAAATCTTAAGATGCTTTCCTAATAAAGACATTTGCACTTTACAACAGAAGTTCATATGGATCTAGCAATGCTCTTCATTTAATACTGTGGTTTTTTTATTTACAGCTAATTTGCATTCTCCCAAAATCTGTTTTTGCCAATCAGTCCTACTTTAATGCGCCACCTTTACTTTAATAAAAGAAATCATTTAGCATTGAACATTGATTTGTGCATAATTCACAACCTCACAAGCTATCAACCATGACACAAATACAAGACTTTCTCAGGAAATACAGTTTTCATGAGACTGTGTACCATATCAACTACTGCCTGTTGCTCTGCACCAGCAGTCACAGTAGGTACAGCAGAACCTACAAAATTCTTTTGTTGAGCTCCCAGATTACAAAATGACTTACAGATTCTGAGGGTCTTGAGCCAGTCAGAGGGGAATACACAATACGATACTGTTGTACAGGGCCAGGTGCAGCGTCCCAGCGAACATCTAGGCTATTGGGTGTAGGATTGTACACTTGGATGTTTCTCGCCAGTCCTCTTACCACTGAGGAAAGAAAAGTCAATCTATAAGTCTTAAGTCTGTGTATACATGTCAAATTTTTGTTAGCACTTCTCCAGTCCTTAAACTCTGTAATAGAATGAAACACTTCAACCTACTCATAAAAGAACGCTTCAGATCCAAATTTAGTCAAACTTAAAAATTATGGTTTTTGTCTATACAGAGGCAAAGGTATCGCCAATGAAGCAAGCTTGTAAAGTTCACAGTGCTGGTCATAAAAGGTCAAGAGATAGAAATTGAAAAAGAAACTTCAGTTTTCCAGCACAGAGAATGGAGAGATAGAGAAGAGGAAATTTAAGAGAGTTTGTCTGCCTTCTAAATAAAAATGGACAACAGTCCATCAACTAGTTCCCATATTTCAATCTTTCAATTAACAAAGAACTACCAATGTTTTCAGTGAGTTTTCAAAAAGCAAAAGAAAGAAGAAATAAAAAATATACACAATCTTAATTAAGTGCTCCCAATAGAAACTTGTTAATCACAAAAATTAAATTCACAAGTTAACATCATCTTCTGATAGCATCATCTTTGTAGACCATCATAGTACCCAAGTAATTCATCCATAATGTTTCCTTTCAGCTATCACTCTGCATATTTTAAATTCAAATATATATTTATAAATATACACAAAAATCTTTATTCTATATTACAAATGAAAGTAAAATCACCATAAACTGTCTTCTCAAGATGTTAATGACAGATGAAAGCACACAGATCTTTAATACCTAAACTGTTTCATTAGCAAATCAAAGAAATGTGACTCAGGTACTGTGATAAACAGATTTTAACAATTCACTCTATGAAAGCCAATTTAAAAACAGGGCTTCGGGTGGGAGTGGTGGGAGGGATACGGGGAACATCGGTGGAGGAAAATGGGCACCGGTTGAGGGATGGGTAAACGATCATTGTATGACTGAAATGCAAACACGAACGTTCATAAGTTTGTAACTGTACCTCACAATGATTTATTAATTAAAAATAAATAAATAAATAAAAACAGAACTTCACATGAATATATAACACAAAACAAAGGTCAATAAATTGTGACAAAGAGATTGACTAAAGAAACATCTGGGTAATTGGATACATGTTTATACTCCTGAAATTGCCTTCTCAGAAAAATGCCTTTATCAAAGCCATTATAAATTTATTTTATATACCAAATTTTTAACATTTGGTGGTGGTGCTTAAAAGGCAAAATGGGAACATTTTTAACCTTTTTATTCTATAATCCTGAAGCTTACAAATTGGTCTGTATGATCTTTCTAGTGAAAATTTACCAAGGAAAAGTTAAATTTGCGTGCATTCTTACTTACATGTCCTTCCATTATCTGATGTTCTTCCTCCATCACCTTCATTATAAACAGGAACTACTGTAACAGTATATGGAGTATCTGGCTGCAGATTCCTGAGAATGGCATAATTGGTATTCCCAGGGATTGGCACCTAGAGATTTATTAAAATATAAATTACTGACCTTTAAACACTTGTGGGAGAAATAATATTTCAAAAAGTATTATCATGAATAATGCCCAAAACATTAACTCAAAACAAAAACAAAACACCAAATAGCCATTTGAATATATATTAACGAGTGTTGAATCTTATGGTTATATTGCTTCCTTAACCATTAATAATATCCATCCCTGTAACTTATTATGTGCTTACATTTAAAATCTATTTTGTCCAATGTAAACAGAGCTAATTCTGTCCTTTCAATGCTAACCTGTAGGATTTTTTTCCAGCCTTTCACTCTGTATGTTTATCCTGATGGTCAATAAGCTGTAGTTGTACAATGTTGAGTTTTGTTTCCTAATCCATTCTTTTTCATTTTATTGGTGGGTCCAGGTCATTGACATTTCGTTAAATTATATTACAAACAATTTATTGACACTTTTATATGAACTATGGTATTATTTGCATTTTGTCTCAGTTTCTTTTTCCTTATTTTTCTCTTATTCTCTTCCTTAATGTTTGGTGTCTTGCCTTTGGCCAAAAAATACAAGCCCTTCCAGGAGGACTGGTCATAGGTTGGAAGCTTGCCACAAGTGTGTGGGAGGCAAAGATAAATTAGGATGCAGAAGGGACCAGTGTGAGACTAATAGTTTAAAATGATCACTCTAGACAAGAACTGAGTGTTGAAAGGAAGTAAAGGGATATACATAACCTTCCAGTATTTGTACTGAAAATCATAATGCCAAAAGGAGAGAGAAAGAGAGAGTGAGAGAGAAGAAAAGTGCCTGGTGAAGGAAGGGAAACTAGAGACACTGTGGAGACAGTGGTGGTGGAAAATGTACACTGGTGAAGAGACGGATGTTGGAACAATATATGACTGAAGCCCAGTCATGAAAAACTGTGTAACCCTGTATCTCACTATGCTTAAATTATTAATTAATTAGTTAAAATAAGCCCTTAAACTGACCGAAGCCTGAGATTTACTAAAGGTATGAGGCCATGTGAACTGAAATAATTCAAAAGACTATGGTGAAGACATATTGGCCCCTAGATGGTAGATATGGTACCCTTAAGACAAAAAAATCTATATCCTTATAAACCAATGTGATTTCAACTTTAAAGTTTTAAAAATAAATAATAAATATATACTTCCATGTGGTGTCACAACTGGCTATGAAGGTCTCTGCACAACCCTAAGGTCCTCCTTCTGAAACAATCACACCCGCAGCCCCAACCCTTGCAATCCCTATCACATTCTGTCAAGTTTTACTAGATGAACTTCCTGAATATGAAAGCACTTAACTCTATTGACTCCATCTTTAAGCGATTTGATCAATAGTTTTATAAAAAGCATGCAATTTCTCACTACAGGAAATAATTACCATTTCTTCTGGACCACCTGCAGGTGCATAGAAGAGCTTGTACTGACGAGGATTTCCCTCCGCGTGGTCCCAGCGGACACTTAAAGAGCTGGTAGAAGGATCATACACTCTTAGGTTCTTCACGGTACTCAGAGGTTCTGAAACACAGAGAAATCAGGTTACAGTATGATCCTAACAAAAAAACACACATGAAATTTGGATTCATCAATATCTCCCAGGTGTCCAGCATTTAGCAGCTATCCACAGTACGTGTCCCACAAACATTTGTTGAAGTAACACATAATTTTAAAAAAAATCTATAATAACCTGGTATAGAAATTTCATCTCTCTCTGTTCAAGATGTTTTATCCCAAGAGATATTTTTTCCTAAAAAATAGTAAATGTTTCTCTACAGAAACAGATAATGTAAGCAAAGGTATTTAAAGTCTCTTTTAATTTGATTGGCTTGGGGCTACACTCAGCAATGCTCTGGGCTCACTCCTGGCTCTGTGCTCTGGGATCACTCCTGGAAGAGATCAAGGGATCATATGGGGTGCTGGGATCAAAGCCAGGTCTGTCTCAGGCATAGCAAACATTCTTCGGCTGTACTGTCTCTCTGGTCCCTAACCGTCTCATCTTTAAAAGCATTTTGTAGAACTAGCAAAACTTCATGCTATGTCTGTGCTTCCAGATAAAGATGTAATTCTTTCCTAGCCAGAGTTATAAAACAAGTTGTAGGAGTCAGGTTTTACTTACTGGTCTTGCCTCTTCCGGTCATCCTACCTCCCTCACCGTCATGGTAAAGGGAAGACACTGTGATGGTATAAGGAGTATCAGGCTTCAGTTTCTGTAGTACCACACTGCTCTGACGTCCTCCAATCGTGGCCTTGAGTGAAATAGGGATGTCTATTAACCCTGTTCTCTCCATATAACTCATCTATTTTCAAAACCTCTGTAACAAACTCACAAAGTTACTTCAATGGCATCCAAAACACATTTCACAGATTTTTTCTCCAAAAAAGGCACTAATCATAAATAAGCAACAAACGAATCTTAGGATCACAGAGGCTCCCTACTATTGCCATTCTTAATTTTTTTCTAACTTTTAAAATTTTCTTTAGGAACATATTCTAAAGATTTAGCATCCAACGCTTTTGGTGTTTTCCCATTTCAAACTCCCACTATAATAGGACTAGAAGCCTCTGCACATCCATGGGAAGGCAAAGGTTACCTTTCATCTCTGTTGCCAGCTTCATGGTATGAAAACATCTTTAATTTCTTCCGACTACATTTTAATTGTTTTTATACTTTGCTTAAGGTCATCTAGATATCTTGTTGAAAGAAAATCTGTATGTTGTGTTAACAGCCTACTGAACTTAAATGTTTATGCCATGCTAATTAAAATCTCATGAAAATGGCATGCTGCCCACAGTGAACACACATGAGGAATGCTGTATATACCATATGTTTCCAGCTTAACACCCCCACTTCAAATAGTCCCATTCCAGAGGAAACCTCAATGAATCTGTTGTCATCATGTTCAATGTGAGCAAACTGAATTACGCCAATGTTAATCAATTTGATATTTGACGTTATGACAGAAAAACATCAATGGTAGCCATCTGATACTAGCCATACATATCTGTAACCTTCACTTGGCAAAACTAGCCTGACAAGTAAGTTAAGTATTTGCCTAATTCTCCCATCTAACTCTCCAAAATAATTCTAGTATTAATAATGCACTAGTCTATTTATGGACTAGCATTAAAATGTAACATGATTGCCACCCGATGTCTCTTCTGCAGACCACAGCACCCAAAAGGAGAGATAGAACAAAAGGGAGTGCCCTGACACAGAGGCAGGGTGGGATGGGGGATGGGGGGTGGGAGGGATACTGGGATTGGTGGGGGTGGAGAATGGGCACTGGTGGTGGGATGGGTACTCGATCATTGCATAACTGAAAGAATATATGACGGCTCATTACAACGATAGTAAAAGAGACTCGGGACATGAATTCCATCCAACACAGTAAATCTTGCATCTCCCAAATTGTAAATATGACTAATGAACATTAGAGGTTAAAGTAGTTCAGAGAGGCAAGGGTAGAATTTTTTAAAGTTTATCATTTTAACAAGTTACCGTTTGCTCGTTGCCTTCCCCTGTTGATGGCTGATACGTGATTCTGTATTTCTGCACACGACCACTAGCAGGTTCCCACTTAACAGTCAAGCTGCTGGATGTTGCATTATATACCTGAAGGTTTCTTGGGCCACTTTTTGGAGCTGAAAGATGTTAAAAAGCGAGGAAAATGAAAAGAATTATACCACACTCCCCCAAAATTGGTTATTCCCAAGGATATTAAAAGGGTTTCTATATTTCTAGATTTAGAAATAAATCTAACCCCAAGACAAATGATGGTCATTGAATCTTGAGTGACACCTTATTAAACAGTAACAAGCAAAATCTTGTTTTTAAAGTTCTTTTTAAAGGAGTACCAATTGGTGCCAATTGGTGGGAGGGGTGGGGATGGGGTCCCGAGCAACGTCCTACAATTGAAAAAGCAGAAACCTTCTTTGCTATGGACTTTGCATTGTATTTCATTCACTTGTTCATTGTCTAATCAGTCATAAATTCCAAAAGAATTAAATTCTTACCCTGTGTTGTCAAGGGTATCAGGCGCACTAAAAAAATAAAGAAAATTGGGGGAATATCATTAATATTGTGATAACTTGATTTTTAAAGAATGTTAAAATAATAATGTCTTGTTTGAAAGCTGATCACCTACATGTGCGCTCACTGCCAGACAAGTCATCACTCTCTGACTCATCAGGATAGATGGCCGTCACAGAAACTTCATACAGAGTGTTCGGGGCCAGGTTTTCAAACACCAAAGTATTTTCATCTCCATTCAAAATGGTCTTGAAGAAAGGGGGGGGGAGAAAATTTTAGTCACTGTGCACATCATGCATTCACTGGCAGTTTTTCAATGTCATTTAGCTAGATGTTCCTGTTGCTTTTACATATGCCATAGGTTAAAATGTTGTTGACAGGAAAGGACTCTTCTCTGGCAACAGAGATAATATACATTTAAAGCATGATTTCATATAATAAATGAGAGGGGAAGACAGAGGAAAAAGAAGGAGGGAGAGAGGGAGAGGAAGAGAGAGAGAGAAAGAGAGAGAGAGGGATGAATCAGGACACAAAGAGAGAGAAAAAGAAATTATGAGGATAAACACTACCTCCATCTTATCTGAGCTACCAAAAGGTGCCCAAGTTACTCTGTAGAGAGACACATCTGAAGCACCATGGTCCCAAGTTCCTCTGAAACTCTCTGGTGTTACTTCTGAAATCCTTAGGTTTGTTGGAGCTGGTACAGGGCCTGTTGTGAGAAAATGCAGAACTACATTTTTAATGTAATCTAGCAAGTTAAGTTAGTATAATAAAACTGCCTTGTTTTATTTTAATGGACATGGAAAACTGAGTAGAAACAAATAGTTTACCAATTCAATTTGAAAAATAGAGGCGTCCTCTAGGACCCTGGGACGCCCAGCATCCCTGACTCTCTTCCTTTTCATCACCAATGCCATGCCGGTCTTCTCCCCCCACCAAGTTGAACCCCCCCCCACACACCAGGTACTTGTGGGGTTGTGGCCTCTGTGGAAGTGGGCATGGTCTGTGTAGAAGTGGGCGTGCCCTAATTTTGGGCCAGTGGCCACAGGTAGTTTATTCATACCCAGAAATCTCGTATAACATCTCAGACCCCATACCTACACACTGACATGAAGAAACAATGCAAATCCCCACCATGTGGGGAGGACGATGAAAAGAGTCCAGAAGCCTCACTAGGTGCTACTCACCTAAAGGACCTCTCTGAGAAAGAATTCAGATCTGAAGTAATGAAGATGTTCAATGAACTCAATGAAACAGTGATACAGATATCCAGTAAATTAAAGGACATGAGAGAAACAATCGAGAAATTACAGGAAGAAATGAGAGCAGAAATTGGAAAGCTATGCACAGAAGTGTCACAAATTAAAGATTCTGTAGATGAAATAAAAAAAACTCAGTCTGTGCCCTCAACAGTAGAATGACCACAACTGAAGACAGAATCAGTGAGCTGGAAGATCAGCTGCACAAAGTCAACAGGCAACAACAAACAAAAGCAAGAGAACTCAAAAGAGCTCTAGAGTGAATCAGAGTCCTAGAAGATGATTCCAAAAGGTACAACATTAGAATCACTGGAGTACCAGAAGGTCAGAGAAACAATCCCAATGAAAAAGTCATGGTTTAAACAAATCATTGCTGAAAAATTCCCAGAGCTGGAACAATGCGAGCCATTCAAATTCAAGGAGCCCGAAGGATCTAAAATAGATCTAAAGGATCTAAAGGATCTAAAAGACACCCTAACAAAAACACTCCAAAACACATCATAGTTAGAATCATGGATGCCGTGGAGAGAAACAAAATATTGCAAGCATAAAGGTCAGAGAAGAAAATCACATACAAAGGAGCACCCCTTCGATTCACAGCAGACCTATCAAAGGAAACCCTCCAAACCCGAAGGCAATGGTGGGATATAGTGAAAAAACTGAAATGAATGAATGAAATGAATGCTTCACCAAAAATACTCTGTTCGGCTAAACTCTCACTCAAAATTGAAGGAACGGTACACTATTTTCTGGATAAACAGCAGCTCAGGAACTTCATATACTCAAAACCAAACCTAAAAGAAGGGCTAAAGGGGCTACTATAAGACAAGACAAACCCCACAAGCACAACAGACTCTTACAGAAAGATGACACAAAACCCCATAACAATAATCTCTCTCAATGTCAATGGTCTAAATTCACCAATTAAGAGACACAGAGTGGCAAAATGGATTCAGAGACAGAACCCAACATTCTGCTGCCTACAAGAAACTCATCTGAACAGAGTAAGAGCAAACACAGACTCAAAGTTAAAGGATGGAAAACAATCCTGCAAGCAAATATCCCCCTCAAAAAATCTGGGGTGGCCATACTAGTATCCAGCAACATAAATTTCAGGTTGAAAAAGATTAGAAGGGACAGCGAAGGCCATTTTCTATTCATCAAGGGATACGTACAACAGGAAGAAATCACACTCTTATATGTATAGGCACCTAATGAGGGAACAGTTAAATATTTAAAACAACTGCTAACAGATTTTCAGGAGGACATTGCTAGCAACACAATAGTAGCTGGAGACTTCAACTTTGCCTTATCACCTCTGGATAGATCTACAAGAACAAAACTCAGCAAGGAAACATTGACTTTGAAGGAAGAAATAGAAGAGAGAGGGCTTATAGACCTCAGGGCTTTACATCTCAAAAAGAAAGAATACACATTCTTCTCCAGTGCACATGGAACATTTTACAAAATAGAACATGTTCTAGGCAACAGAACATACCTCAATATAATCAGGAAGATTGAAATAGTATCAACAATCTTTTTCAGACCATGATACACTGAGAATAGAAGTGAATCACACACAGATAAGGAGAATCAAATCAAACACCTGGAAATTAAACAACTCAATGTTGAACAATAAGTGGGTCAGGAAGGAAGTAAAGGATGAAATCAAAAGATACCTGGAAACAAATGAGAATAAAAACACGAGGTACCAGAACCTATGGGATGCAGCTAAAGCCATGTTAAGGGGAAAATTTATAGCTCTGCAAGCATTTGTCAGGAAGGAAGAAATGGCCCACATAAACACCATGACTTCACAGTTCAAGATCTTAGAAAAGGATCAAAAAAAGGAGCCCAAATCAGGCAGAAGGAAAGAGATCATAAAACTTAGAGCAGAAATCAATGACATGGCAACCAAAAAAACAACCCGAAAGATCAATGAAACCAAGAGCTGGTTCTTCGAGAAAATAAACTTGATAGATAAACCACTGAAAGACCAACAAAGAAAGAGAGAGAGAGAGAGAGAGAGAGAGAGAGAGAGAGAGAACCCTAATAAATCAAATCAGAAATGAGAAGGGAAACCAAAAAATTAAAAAGATCATCAGAGACTACTTTGAAAGTCTGTATGCCACGAAACAAGAGAACCTAGAAAAAATGGATAAACTCCTGGATTCCTATAATCTCCCAAGGCTGAATCAAGAAAATCTAGAGTACCTGAATAGATCTATTAACATCAAGGAAACTGAAACTGTAATCAAAAGTCGTCCCCAAAACAGAAGCCCAGATCTGATCCTTGGTACCACATAGGATCCACTGATCCTTGTGTGCAAAGCCAGGAATAATCTCTGAACACCCCTGGTTGTGGCCTCCCATCCCCAACCCCCAAAACATGTCTTTGGAGGAAAAAGTGAGTTACCATTACCATTCTCTTCAGAGTTAGCAATTTCTTTTAGAGCTGTGAAAAGTCACAACTTCCACAAGTGCCACTGCAAGTTCAACCAACTATTAAGTATGAGTATTGAACCAATGCAAGACCACAGCAAGTAGAATGTTTATCTTGCATGCAGCAGACATGGTTTGAGTCCCAATACTCCATGTAGTTCCCCAAACCTCACCAGGAGTGATCCCTGATCACAGAGCCAGGAGTAAAAGTGGCCCACAAAAGGAAACAAAACAAAACAGAAGAATGTATGTTGCTGAGCCAAAGAGATAATATAGCAGGTAAGTCCCTTATCTTGCCCATGACCTATCCAGGTTTGACCCCTGGCACGACATAAAAAGAGAAAAGAGAAATACTAAGAAATATAATGTGGAAAGAAAACAGCAGAAGTGTGCAATGCTTAATGTTTAAGAGCAGGCTGTAACAGATGACGAGATGGTCTTACCATGGGAAGCAAGATGTCAATAAAAGAGAAGCTACTGAGTCTCTGGTGGGAGAGGATAGGAAAAAAAAGTTTTAGACAGTAGTGCTGTTCCCACCATCAACTTACTGGGCAAGAATTGGTAAATCATTTAAACCGAACACCCATTCTATCCACACATACCTGCTGTGTATTTGAAATATGACTAATTCAAACTTATAATATGCAAGAGACAGAAGAAATGCATCTGCCAGAGGTGAAGGAGGTGATGGGAGGGAAACTGGGAACTGACGCTGGGAAATGTACACTGGTGGAGGGATGGGTGTTGGAACACTATATGACAACAACCTCATGAACAGCTTTGTATGGGTGTCACAGTGACTGAATAAAAAAAAAACATTTTAAAAATAAAATGAATAAATTATAATGCTATAAATGTAAACTGATACACTGGATTTTGAAGGATCAGGGAAAAATAATAAGAAAGTCTCAGTTATACTAATAGATACTGAAGTGATAATGTTTTGAATACACTGAATAAAATACGTTATTAAAATTAATTTCAGTGTCTTTTTACCTTTTTTAATGTGACTCTTAGAAAAGTTTAAATTACATGTATGTCTCCCATTATATTTCTTTGGAACACTGTTTTTAGAGGTTGGGTTCTTAGTCACAGTTTAATTAGGTAATTCTTTGCTGAGCCCTGAGCTAGATGTTGCAGCAGAAAAGTTGAAAAGAATAAATATATCTCTGCTGTCCTTAAAAGGGAGAAGAGGAAAGCAGAATAGATACAAATTGACCAAAGGGCAATAATAACTGGGTTAAATATTACGGAAACACCAAGAGAGGGAGAAACATTGACATTTTCGGTATTTTAAGAAAATGAAACAGAAAAGGAGAAAGAAAATCCGTTTTCCTCAAACCACCTTTTTCTCTTTTCTAAAATCCAATATTAACTAAAGCTGAATACTATCACCCTCACCTTCTCTACATGATTCCATCTTTTATTAATTCATTTTTCTCACTGCCACTATAAAATCACAGTCTAATGATGGCAAAGACATCTATTTTTTTTTTACTAATCTGAGCAGATATTTAAACATAGTAACTTACAAAAGAATCTTGATAACATGCAGCTTTCCCAGAGAAAACATCCAACAAATATTAAAAATATATTTTCTCCCCAATCTCCAACAACCCCCTGCTGCCCCCCCCACACACACACACACGTTAAATATATGAGACAAAATAGAGGGGTTGATGGGTTGATGGAATAAGAACTGGACAGAATTATTAGAAAAGGAAGCCAAGCATTTTTTTAAATAATGAGAAAATGACCCAGTAAATTCAGTTAGACTTGCATACAGTATTGCTTCCCCATGATCATCAATAACATAACCACAACTCACGCGTAGTGTCTTGAGCAGTCACTGGGGAAGATTCCCCCTCGTCATACACGGCAGATACACTGACTGTGTACTGGGTTTGTGAGAAGAGTTCTTTGAGAGGAGTGCTGGTCCTTGACCTGTCCACCTCTACCTGCAATAGAACAGTGGAATTATTTTTACAATTTCGTTTTGGCATCTCTCTGCTATTTACTGGACACACGAGCATGAAGGTCATGTCACCAACAAAGCAATGCTTTCCAAATTTGCACAAGAATCAAAGAGCTAGAGATAACTTAAATGCCTGAAAAATAAACAAAAATAAATGTATAAGACAGTCCTATCTGTCTGGTAAGTGATAAGTGACTACAGATTCAGACAACCTAACCATTGTTTTACATTTCCAATCATATCTTTGCCTAAATTCTTTCAGACATTTTATCCTGTGCATTATCTCATCTGTTATGCACAAGATTTATACGAGACCCACTGTACTTCTTTAGAAACTAAAACCCAAAATAAAACAAATATACGCATATGTATAAATTAGCTTTTATGTAATATAAACAACCAGAACCGTTTGTACCTGGATGTGTAGAGAAAACTATTTTTATCTGCCAAAAAATAGTTTTCTCTGAAATGCTGACACTAATACCCTTTACAAGCAAATGCATGTTTTAAATCCAATAACTGATGAGGCTCTTGAAGTTGTTTCCACATTGAACCAGGTTGTCATGGAAACAGCGTTCCATCACAACCTCATCTCGAAGAAAAATTTAAAAGTTCACTTTTCTAATAGTACATCCACTCTTTTTTCTTGTGTTTCTCTGCTCTCTCCTATTCAATATCTAATAAATTCCATCTTCTCTCCCATATGTACTTGCTAACTTTTATTTTAGAAACATTAATCTAACTTTTTTTGTAATTCATAGAATGCAGAACACCGTACAAAACACATGTATAAGAAGAAAATGCCATCAAAATTCTATACATCTTGGGCCAGAGAGATAATACAGGGAGTAAGGCATTTGCCTTCCAGGCAACTGACCAGGGTTCAATCCCAAGAACCCCATACAGTTCCCTGAGCCCTGCCAAGAAGGATTCCTGAACACAGAGCCAGGAGTAATCCCTGAATACAACCAGGTGGTGGCTCAAAAACTAAAAAGGAATTCTATAAACATTAATCTACTAATGGATGCCATCTCTGACATTAATATCACTGAACAAACACTATTAAGCTGAATATAGGTCTAATGTATTATTGACACTCCAAAAGTACTTTACCAATGTAATGAATTTCAGTGCTATATTAATAAAATGACAGGTACCCAGAACATACGAATGCCTATACTTGCTAAAGTTATTTTATTGACTGCACTAGAAAAACAAATACCTCTAAATCCTGTCTAATCTCCAACATACCTCTTTAAAATCCTCTTCTGGTGCTTTGTATCTTACAATATATTTACGCACTTTTCCAGGCGCAGTTTCCCAAAAGACATTCATGGTGCTATGAGTCACGTCTCTGAGTTTCAGATCTCGAGGTCTGGGTAAAGGCACTAGAGAAAAAGAAGATATTAGGTCCAGATGTGACTCTCAACCACAAACTTCTAAAGCATCCCACAGATTGCCAAGAAGTTGTTTGAAAAAAATTTAAAGGTGTATAGCAAAATAACTGGGAAAATGGCCAATTTATAAAAGTACCCTAACAACATCAGCTAAAGGTAGACTCTTTTAAAAAAAACAGTCATGTTTTTAAACTGGCACAAATTTAAATGTAACTCCAGCTTTTGATTAATACATTAACTTTATTTCACTCTGATTGAATAAGTTCTTATTTGCTGGTTAGCTATAATAAATCATAATGTACCATAAATATATCACTCACATTTCACTATCACATACTTAATTGGGTTAATATAGGAAACAAAATGGATTAGCACTCTGTGCTCTTAGGAGTGTACAAGAAATACAAATTGTTCTGAGAGTGAAGGAGGATTTCATTTCATTTCATTTCATCATCCTGTTAATCGTCGATTGCCTCGAGCAGGCCCCAGTAACGTCTCTTTCATCCTAGCCCTGAGATTATATTCACGGCTCTTTAGGAGAATGAGACCCATCATTGTTACTGGTATTTGGCATATTTGGTAGGCCACGGGGAGTTTGCCAGACTCTGCCCCGTGGGCAGGCTACATTCGACAGCCTGCAAGTTTGTCCAAAGTAGGAATGAGATAATAAGGAGGATGGTACAGCAAAATTAAGCATAGCATACACTTGCAAAAAGATCTACAAGTGTCTAAATGGTTTGACGGGAAAAATCCAAATAATAGATTTTTTTACCAAGTCAAGCAGAATTGCTTCTTGAAAATAAAAGATAACATGGGGCTGGAGAGATAACATAGCAGGTAGGGCGTTTGCCTTGCACGTGGCCAACCCGGGTTCGATTTCCAGCATCCCCGAGCACCACCAGGTAACTCCTGAGTGCAGAGCCAGGAGTAATCCCTGTGCATCGCTAGGTATGACTCAAAAAACAAAAAGAAAAGAAAAGAAAAGAAAAGAAAAGAAAAGAAAAGAAAAGAAGGCAGGAAAAATAGTGGAGATATTTTTTCTTGTCACGTGAGATGTACCCAACATTGTAGCTGCCATCTGCCCATTTTACGTTGTCATTCATTTCAACCCTGTATATCTCTATACCTGAATATCTCAACCTCCATGTTTCTAAACCTCCATCCCTTCTGTGTTCTCTGAATCTCTCTGTGCCCCTTCATTCTCTCTCCCACTGTTAAAATTAAGATCCTTTCCAAATCCATCCATTACTACATTCATCTTTCGTCCCACTGTGTTTCTTGGGTCTCAACAGCTATTCTCAGATCACGTGTCTGTCCCAGGCTAGCACTCCACTCTTTATCTGCCTTCACCCCATTTCCACAAAACTAACACTACAGAATGAACGATCGGTTTGAGGCCCTCCATGTTCCCGGAGCGAAGAGATGCCATTGGGCTACACTAGCACGCGACAGGGACAAATGGAGACGTTACTGGCGCCCGCTCGAGCAAATCGACGACTAACGGGAAGTTAAGTGATTAAGTGATTAAGTGAACACTACAGAAATCATTGAACATGTAAATAATATTTCTTTGTTCTCCATAAATTGACACTCTCTTGCCTTGCTAAGGCTCTTTGTCTTTCCTGCCCCATCATGCTTCTGTCTTGGTTCATTTCCCTTCTTGAAGGTTCCTTCAAACTTCTTGATTTCCTTAGAAATCTGGTTTGTCAGGGAAGGAAAAATATCTCAAGGGTGTGAGGGGAGTAAAAAGAGGTAGACAGGAGGTAATGGGGCAGAGGTTAAGGGCCTCAGGCACATTGGTGGTATAAAGGTGTGGCATATCCATCTATCTGAACCATAGAACCAACAGCACTGAAAGCATGAGATCCAAATGACAATAAGCAAACTTCAATGGGAAATGCGTGCTGAGAGTAGACTATGGACCAAATATAACTGCCACTCAATGTCTCTTTTGCATGCAGCTGACCCTGGTTTAATCCCCGGTACCCCATATAATTCACCAAGCCTGCCAGAAGTGATCCCTGAACACAGAGCCAGGTGTTAGCCCTAAGCATTTCTGGATTTTGCCTGAAAACAAAAGGGACAGGAAAAGAAAGCTCTTCTGAGACTCTACTCTAAGCCATCATCTATCCCAGCATGCCCACCTCTCAATAAACCGACACAAAACTATACAGCTAGGTAAGACAAGCTTCCTAAGTTGGTCACTGTCAGTCACCTTTTTAGAAAGCACAACTAAATATTAGTAAAATAAGTCAAAAGCAACAAAGCAGCTGCTCTGTTGCATACAAGGTAAATGCAAACCACTTTCTTATGATCTACTGTGTTTTGCACTATTTACTGGTGCAGTCCCAACACTTACACAGTGATTAGAATGATAGTAGATATGTTTTTGAACTGCGTTTGGTGATTAAGTCACTTCATTGAAACAGACTTATTCATACTTGTGCCACAGTTTCCATTTCAACAATTTGTAATATCCAGATCTTTAACAAAGTATTTTTCTGCCAAATCACAAACAATATTCCTATCCTCATCAAAGCCGCATGCCATAGTTCAAGAAAATACATCTAGAGACTGGAGCAATAGTACAGTGAGTTGGGCGTTCTGACAAGGCAAACCCGGGTTTGATTTCTGGCATCCCATATAGTCCCCCAAGCACCAGGAGCAATTCCTGAGTGCAGAGCCAGGAGTAACCCCTAAGATCACCAGTTGTGACCCAAAAAGTAATATATATATATATACATATATATTGTATACATCTGGGCTGGAGCGATAGCACAGTGGGTAGGGCATTTTCCTTGCACGCAGCCAACATGGCCCACCTGAGTTCGATTCCTCCGGCCCTCTCGGAGAGTCAGGCAAGCTACTGAGAGTATCTTGCCCGCACAGCAAAGCCTGGCAAGCTCCCCGTGAGATATTCAATATACCAAACACAGTAACAACAAGTCTCACAGTGTTACTGGCCCTGCTTGAGCAAATCGATGAACAACGGGAGGACAGTGACAGTGACAGTATACATCTATCATAAGATGTGCCATTATTGTTTAGTGTCCTCACTGACACCTGTCCAAGAATAACTATAAGATCTCATTGAATTTAAGATACATCCTATTCTCAGATCTGTTCAAATGTGGGGTGGAGGAAACTTAAGTCGACTCACACTTAGAATGCTGTCAAAGCGTAGGATTTGTCTGAATTCTCAAGTTTGATTGCCAAAGTAGTCTTGTACAAATCATCAAATTACTGTAAGCATTTTTAGGTGAAAGAAGAAGCCCAATGAATGCTAGTTTATCCCCCAGGAAGGCAAGAAGGAAAGCAAGCAATGTCTTACAGGTAACTTCCCGAGCAGTCACAGGATCACTGGTGAGGTCATGCAGAACGGCCTGCACTGTGACTTTGTACTCTGTATTGGGAAGGAGGTCGGTCAGCTGCACCCCATTGGCTGTTGGACCCACACGCATCTTCAATGGACATGCAAAGGGAAATAAGACATTCAGGCAAATATTTCCACTTACTATGCAATAGCCGAGTAGAGCTTTGATCACTTCCAGATTTTAGCACAATTTTATTTTAATTTCCCTGGATTTCTTTTCCATGGCAGCATATTAGAAAATGTGAGACAACCCACAACTCTAATTCTCTATTTTTTGGGTTGTTTGTGTGGTTACATATGAGTTTATAAGTGAGTGCGGTTCAGTAGGGAATCCCAGAGTACAATATCTCAGGAAGACTCAATGATGAGGGAATAATTATGCCTCACCTCTTTGGGTTTTGTTGGTTCTCTGCTGTTGACGGGCTCATAAGACACGGTGTAGCCAGTCGCTCCTCCAACGGGCTGCCACTGCACACGCATGGTGGTTGGGCCAACATCATAAATATTCACACTGACTACTGGGACTGGCACTATTGGGATATAAAAGCAAACATCAGTCTAATTCCTATCATTCTGTTCACTTATAACTATCGTTGTCTATTTAATTATCGATATTTTATATGCTGACTAGAAGATGGATGACTGCAGAAAAAAATCAATAGATGTTAATACAATCCTTTCCTTGCCCCCTGAAAGTTCATTCTCATTGCCGTCACCCCTCACTCAGAATTACACGTTACAAATGTTTCATAAAGAAAATAGCATAATTCCAAATTGCATTCCAATGACTCCATATGGAATCCAAAATGAGTACCAGCTTCCTGAGATTGAGACCCCTTTTTCTGAAATATCTCTAAATTGATTCCTTAATCATATAACTTTATCTTTAAATTACCAGCACCGTACTTTATTTCATTTCTTAAAAATAATTACGATAATAGTGCCACAAACTTGTAATGGGGATGTAGGAACTTTATAGAAGTTCTGAGGCAGAGTGAAAGTTTCCAGTCTCCTTTTCATCTATACTCAGATAGCTTTTGGGTAGGTTGCTCAAATATTTATTTGAAGTTTCAAATAATGTCAAATTAATCTTGCCTGCTATAAAATATTTCATTTTGGACCTCATAATACGAAGGACAAAAGGGGGAAGAGATAAAGACCCAAGAATAAAGACCTGAGCAGAAAGTTCTTGCCTCACTCAGAGTCACAGCCCTCTTTTCTCTCGTAAGTAGTCTCTGATCTACCTGAAGTCAAGCCAAGATAACGGGAGACGATAGATAATTTTCATGTGCTCTCAGGAACACTACCAGAATAGGAAAAGGGAATTTCTTCTCAAAAGCAAAAGCACTGAAGCTTCTCTAGTAAAGGAAAAAGGGGAAGTGTCGTCATTGCCAGCAGGAAGATATGATCATCTTCTTGAATGAAATAGGTCGTCTCTCCACAACATCTGCTTAATCTTAGTCCCACTCCCCAACACAGTCCCTCTTCTTACATTTGAATGATTTTATGAAAGATATCTGTTCAACTAAATTATTTATGGCCATGACTACCGATTCCACCAATGGGATCCCAAAATTGCTGGAGCGCTGGTCAGAGCAGAAAGCCGCTGATGCCATCACTAAGAAGGCATCCAGTAAATATGTTGAATATTGAATAAAGAAATTATTCGGGAGACTGGCAAAAGCCCACGTCTGCCACCTCTTTATCTTACAAAAGCAAAGAAAATATTTTTTAATCTGACTTACAGGTTTTTTCTGTGCCTTTCAGGGGCTCACTATATTCATCTTCTACTACAGAATACACATTAACAACATACTCAGTTTCTGGTTTCAGATCTTTTAGGACTGTGCTTGTTTCCAATCGACTCACATAAAACTAGAGGGGAAAATGAAAAGAAATTTTGGTTAGAACTGTATTCCTCTTTTACACTCTAATTACAATGTAGTTCCCTATTATGAGCATAGAAATTATATTTCAGCTAAGCTTTTGTCCTTTGTTTTGGAGAACCACCAAATCACAATCAGATCTTGGACAATTGATATAGCCTGTTTTCCAACCTATTATTTCATCATTTGTAAGATGAACGGGTAAAACTAGATGATCATTAATGCATCCTTTCAATTCTAAGACTCTGTATGAATTTATGAACAACCCAAGCATCCTCTAACCTAATTTTGATTTAAAACTCATTAATATTGTGTGATTTTAGAAATAATAGTAGTTTTTGAAAAATTAAGCTCAATGGAGGACCTGACCTACTAAACACATGAAGCACCAGAGTTGGCTAAGTTCTGTCCCTCTGTACATCACTCTTATTCCTTCCCCCAAGTTTATCTCAGGTACCTTCTTAGGGGACCCAATTGTGGTATTAGAAAGGAATCAGCTGTAAGCATTGTGAACTCACTTCTTGACGTTTCCCTCCAGAAACTGGGTAGAATTCCACCTTATATCTATCCACACTGTCTGAAGGAGGTCTCCAGCTCACTCTAAAAGAACGATGGGTTCGCTCAGAAATAACTAGGTTAGAAGGTGCTTCCAAGTCACCTACACATGGAAATAAAAGTAGATTTTTTTCATTATGGTAGCAAGACAATGAAAGTTTAAATTATATTGAAATAGTATCGCTTTCTACATTCCAAGCTCATATACCTCTTTGTCACATTCTGAACAACTGAGGCCCATTATATGTAAGATTTCTCTGAATGAGAGACCAAAGGGTTCTTCAGACACAAAAAATTCAAATCTCAGAACACTGTCTTTCATGAAAATTTGATCGCCTTTCTTCCTTCTGATGTCACCTGTTTTCTCTCTCCACATAATCAAATCATAATGATTTCAATCCTGACAAGTTCGTTTCTCAATTCTGTCTGTGACTACTGGCATTGTACAAATTCATTATATTCATTACTATTTTGATTGTTCTTATTCATTTCCTATCTCCTTAACTAAAGGTTACTTTGCCTGAGGACAAATTTTGTCTTTTATTCATGTTTATTTCCCCAATGCATCTAGTTAATGGCAAGAGAAACTAAGTACTCAGTCACTCAAGAGGGGTAAAACAACCAAGTCTTATGAAATACCTTATCGCCTGAATTGAAATTTCTATAGGTAAGAATAAGTGAAATGACTAATATACTAATAACATCTTGAATAAACATCAATGAAAGTAGAAAGGTTAAGCTCAATATGATTATCAGAAAGATGTCCCAAATAACAATCAAGAGAAAATTAATTCAATGACTCCATAAGCATGGCAAATCATTTTCATAAAACTCTACTCTTTCTTTGTAAGCCAAAACTGAGCAAAGTATTTCCATTCTTAGTATCCTAACCTTTATTGTACTTGGGTCATAATCAAGCCTACAAAATTATCAAGCAATTTTACTGTCTGGGAAACTAGAATGAATGCAACTATTGCATAGTTGGTTAAAAAAAAGAGAGGAAAACAGATAAAAGATGTTCTTATCCCCATTCAAAGTTCCCTCCAACTAAATAAAACTACAAGTCTCTCAGCTAACCCAGAGCCAGAAGCCCACAAATTCTGGCTTCCTGGCTGGTCTATTTCTCCAGGGAAAAGGTCAGTCTGTTGTTCAAAATCCAAAAAGAAAATCTGCAAAAGTTTGGAGTAACTCAAGAAGGAACATTCAAATAAATGGTCTCAGTATCCCAAAGCACATGAACCATTTCTACCACATCATTTGTTAAACTCACCAACTTTTCCAAGACCAGAATAAATGAAAGACAGTCTTCATCATAATCTACATGTATTTAAAATAATTGTTTCTTATATAATAATGATCACAATTTTATTATTAATTTTCTAAACACCTTCAGTTTGAGCACTGTTGTGTTCCATGCATGACTTAAATAGAAATCATCCAGAACTACCCTTTGTCTATACAAGTTTTGAAATTTAACCTCTAACTCACAATTTTTTATCAATAGCTACTTTTTCAAAGATTTCTTTACCATCTTTCACCTTTTTATTCTTTGACAAATACCAAAACCTTAAGTTATTATATCATTTCTTAAAGTCTGTCATTTTTTAAAGTCCAAACTCTAATACTATAATTTTTGTTCCTATTTATGAGTTGCAAGTACAAAGTAGCAAATCTGATCATCTTTAACTGAGGCAAAGAAATTCAGGTATAAGAGTCCACTGCAGAGCTTGGGAGGTATCTCAAAGGATTAGAGCACATTCAAACATGCTGAGGGTCCCCACTTCAATCTTCAGAACTGCACGCCCCACAATTACCACTTCTGTGTGACACTGCTGGTCCCCCATGTGGGGGGGCCAGGACAACACTGCATCATTATCCCTAGCATAAACAGTCTGGCACACGCAATCAGGCAGAGTATCTTGGGACTGGCCTGAGACTCCTGGACACTACTTAGGACACGATCCACACACACCCTTCCCCGTCACCCACCCCCCCCCCGCAAAAAAAAAAGACCAAGAATATAGGTTAGTGGTACAGATCTTGCCTTGCATGCATGATGCTCTGGGGACCAGAAAAAAAGGAAGAGAACAGGGAAGGGGAGTGGAGGGGAGGAGAGGAAAGGAGGGGAAGGGAGGGGAGGGGAGGAGAAGGGAGAGAAAGAGAAGGGAGGGGAGGAGAAGGGACCAGGAAGAGAAGGGAGGGGAGGGGGGAGGGGGGAGGGGAGGGGAGGGGAGGGGGGAGGGGAGGGGAGGGGAGGGGGGAGGGGAGGGGAGGGGAGGGGAGGGGAGGGGAGGGGAGGGGAGGGGAGAGGAGGAGGGGAAAATGCTTTTCCCATTCTCAGTCCCCAAAAAAAGGGTAGAAAACTTAAAAAAAAGTTAGTCTGGAAACAACCATTTAATTTAATAGCAAATTAATAATTCTATGAAGGAAAGATGATTTACAAGAGAATAGGAACACACCAAAAAATAAAGCATCTCCCTTTCTCTCTTCCCTATACCCTACACACACACACACACACACACACACACACACACAGAGAGACACAGTGCAGACACATAAATGCATGCCATTTTTAGTTTGATGCCATCCAAAATTCATCATAATAAAAATCATAACCTAAACTAATGAATCTTAGTTGAGAGTAGTGTATCCCACAACCACACAAGACATAGGGAAAATTCTGAAGAACAATCTGGACCAGATTATCACCATGGCTGGGGGTGAGAATTCCCAGACAAGTCTTACCTGGACCTTTGACACTGTTACACAAGTTAATAGTGAGGTCGTCCACAATCCTGGAGAGGGACTCAAAATCAGCCACGTTGTATGCATGGGTGTCATCAGGATCTGTTGCTATCATCTTTAACTCAACTTCATCCGCATTCTTAATACCTTAAAAAAAAAGAATAGATACTGATGAAAACTACTCCTCAGAGGGAAACGTTAATGAAACAAAACAAATGTTATATGCTCCCTTTATCAGTTCATTATTAACTAGATCATAGGATTTTCCTGGGCAGAAGAAAAGGTTCCTAGGGTCAGGGCTGCGTGCACACTAGTGCACTTTTGAAGGAAATGTGCTATGAAAAACACATTTACATTTCACTCTCAGAAAATAATGTTATTCCAATAAATTGAATTTTTCTTTATGTTTTAATTTAAAATTAAACCTAAATGACGGAAAACAACTAAAAATAATATAAATCGCAAAACTGAAAGGTATTCTGAATTTGTTTCTTCTAATGCTTCTAGCAGCAACTTCCCACTGAAAATTATCTCTGGCATTTTTTCTGGAAAGTCAAATAATGAACATTAAAAGTTAAGTATGGTGCTCTGGAAAGTTCAACAGGAATTTTCCTGAATCCTATTAATAGTACATTTAATTTCTTAATCCTTTATTTTCTTCCAAGAAGCCATGTAGCTTTATCTCATTACAAGAAAATAGAGGAAAATAAAGTAATGTTATGATGTATCATTTTGATAAATTATTCAATAAGGGAAAAATATTTTTACTCCATCAAAAAATATCTTAAACTACAAAAAGTCCTTAGCACATTATAATTCCGGGGACATTCTTATCATTGTAGGAGCTTACCAACAGCAAAGAGCTCCACGCCTTCATCCTTGAGTTTCTTCGAGGGTGCTTCAACATCATCCTGTGATTTTCCATCAGTGATGAGAACACCAATTTTTCTAGCTCGAGGCCTCATGCCAACTTGAGTCCTAAAGTTCTGCTGGCGAATAAAATTCAAAGCCATGCCTACAGGGATTTTTAAAAGAGAATCAGTATCACCATTATGTAGCCATGAGCTTTGAATTAACACAAGTTAAGGGGAGAGATGGCACAAGCGTTAAGGTGCTAGTCATGCATCCCACCCAGCTGGTTCAAATACCCAGCCCCCATATGGTCCCCGAAACACTGCCAGGAGTTACTTCTGAGCGCAGAGCCAGGAATAGCCCCTGAGCAGAGTTGTGTATGGTCCTGAAAACAGTATGGACGATTCTCAAAAAATTAGAATTTGATCTCCCATTTGACCCAGCAATACCACTCCTGGGAATATATCCCAGAGAGGCAAAAAAGTATAGTCGAAGTGACATCTGCACTTGTTTGTTCATTGCAGCACTCTTTACAATACCAGAATCTGGAAAAAACCTGAGTGCTCAAGAACAGATGACTGGTTAAAGAAACTCTGGTACATCTACACAACGGAGTACTATGTAGCTGTTAGAAAAGATGATGAAGTCATGAAATTTACATACAAGTGGTACTACATGGAAAGTGTCATATTAAGCGAAATGAGTCAGAAAGAAAGGGATAGACATAGAAAGATTGCATTCATCTGGGGAACATAAAGTAACCAAATAGGAGACTAACACCCAAGAATGGCCGAGATTAGTACCAGGAATTTTGCTCCATGACTTGGAGGCCAGCCACATGTGCTAGGGGAAAAGGAAGCTCAGATAGAGAAGCACCAAATAAAGGGTATTGGGAGGATGGGAGAAGCATGCTGAAAGTAGACTGTAGACCGAACATGATTGCCACTCAGTGCCTCTCTTGCAAACCACAGGACCCAAAAGGAGAGAGAGAACAAAAGGGAATGCCCTGCCACAGAGGCAGTGTGGGATAGGGGGACAGGGGGTGGGAGGGATGCTGGGACCCGTGGTGGTAGAGGATGGGCACTGGTGGAGGGATGGGTACTTGATCATTGTACAACTGAAACCCAAGCACAAAAATTTGTAAGTCTAAAAAAATAAAAAACAAAAAAGAACACTAAAAAACAACAACAACAACAAAAACCAGCAACAAAGCAAGTGGTTGATAAAGAAAAAAACTATACTTACTCACCTGTGAGAGTGTTGCCTCCTTTGTATGGTAAATTTGCCACCGCTTGCAACAAGCTCTTCTTGTCTCGGTGAGCATTTAACTGCCACTCAGTTCTGGGGTCCCCACTATATTGTGCCAGGGCTAAAATAACAGCAGAAGCATTAGCATACATAAAAGAGCCTAATGAAAACTGCTTGTCTCCAATATTTCCAGACCTACCAATTTGAACTCTTTTGGGGCCAATCTCAAAGACTTCCACAATACGAGAAATGAAACTCCTCACGGTTCTGAAGTTTGCCCGGCCAATGCTCCAAGATCCATCCACCAGCAGCACAATGTCTGCTTCAGCTCTGGTGAGACATTCCATCCCTGATGCAGCAGTCAGGAGACAGGACAGAGTAAGGTGCAAATTCTTCACAGGGTTACCTCCTTGCCAGCCCCTGCCAGCCCCTGGATGCTCAGTATTGCCTAAGTTATACCTTAGCTCTGTGATTTGAAACACAGAGGCTCTAGAGGTTGGAGAGGCTCTGAAACCATGCTCATATGATTTATATGCTTTAAATAACAGATATAAGAATCATCAATTCTTCCAATGATTATTTTAAGGGAAAGTCGCCTTTAAAACTATACTCTCTGTTTATGGTCATATGTAGACCTAGAGGCTTAACTTAGAGCAGCGTTTTATATTGAATGGACTCATAAACTTAAGTTAAAATAAATGAGGATATCTAACCATAAAACTACCAGGCATTTATGATTTTAATAAAATTGTATTAAGCTAAAGAGGCAGTGCTGCACTTTCCTCAATACTCAGTTGATAAGTAAGTATATAAAATGTACAAACTGTACAAACTAGAAAAATCTTTCTGTGAACCAAAGTGTCTTTTAAAATAACTGCTTCCAAGTACCTCTTACATATACGATGAAAGACTAGATGTGTGACTTTTCAAATTAGACATTTTAAAATGAAAATATGTAGTTTTAAAATCTGATATTATATTTTCAGTGAGCAATTCTTTATACCTACTATATAAAACAGTCGATTAAACATAGTGTAAAGTCTGCAAATTTTAAAATTAAGAGAGAAGAAATACAACTTAGAAAAAAGTATGCAAACAAATATATGCAAAATGACAGCTGAGAGACAAGAAGCACAAACACTGATACAAAGCTAGAGCGCTTGGAAAAGAGAAAATCATCCAAAATCCTCAGTGAACAAGCTACAAAATAAAAATATAAGTCAGTTAATATCATCATAAGAAAAACAATAGAACATTAATGAAAAACAGCAAGATTTAAACTGGTTTACTTTATCCCCAGTTTCAAATTTTCTCCTTTCCAGAACCCTACACTTTAAGCTCTGGCATGTTCGACTTTTTCGTTATGAACATCTGATGTTTCTACTTCAAAAGAAAAAAAGCTCCTTGATCATATTTAAATTCTGCTAAAACCACTACAAAGCTATCAATTATGTATTATTACACATTGGAACTGATAATTCCAAAATACTATCTCAAGCATCAAAGTGTTTGTAAACCTATTTCTGACCCGTCTATAGTATGAAATTAATGAAAAATATTTAGAAGCAAACGCCATTTACCATTTCTTTCTCTGAGAATGTTCAAGACTAGCTTCATGTACATGGAAGACGTAATCATGAGAGAGGTAGAAAAATCTAAAGAGTCTATGTTGCTCTCTCTAGTTTGGGACATTATGGTTTGCAATACAAATAATGAGAGGCCATCATATTTGGTCCTTTATCCACTTTCAGCACACATCTCTCATCCAGAGTGATCACTTCCAACCACCATTGTCAAAAGTGCCTGCCATAGAGGCATGCTGGAGGCAGGAGGGCTGTGAGAGGGGTACTGGGGATATACTGAGAGTGAGGAATGTACACCAGTGGAGGGACAGGTATTGGAACATTGTATGACTGAAACCCCGTCATCAACAGCTTTGTAACTCTGTATTTCAGAGTGATTTAATTTAAAGGGAAAAAAAAAAAAGACTCAATGTCGCCATCTTGCTTCCTAAGCTATGGTTCCCCATCTATTTCTTGACTTGTTTACTCCGCCCAAACAAATATTTTCTGCAATTATTTAACAAAGTAAAACTCTATTTAAACTATCAAAAGGTGAGAGAATGCATGCATTCCCATTTATTATAAAAGCTCATCTTAAATAATACAGAACTGTGTGACTAAGATAAGGCAAACAAGTCTATTATAAAAGCTTATTTAGCTGCCTGTTTAAAGAAAATGTTTCAGTATATAAACTAAATGAATCTATTAATAACATTTTCAGTTTGGTAGTCACATTTCATGGCATGGTTAACCTAAAATTCACTCTTGACACACTTTTATAATATTGAGTTTTCCTAGGGAAGTAGAGTTCAGTTTCTTACCAGAGGATAAAATTGGTATTACAGTTGTGTCAGAAAGAGTTGTCATTTCTTGTCCAACAAGTGGTGAGCTCTCTCCTCCATCAAACATTCCAAAAACATTTACTTTATAGGTGGTACCTGCCCTGAAATGTTAAAATACAAAGTCTATATATAAATAAGCAATTTAATGGCAGCATTTTTTTCCTTTGTTAAAGACTTTCATCATGGCCATAACTTACAAACTTATACTCATAGCAGATACAGTTCCTGACATTGTAAAGAGAATCAAAGTAATTTCCTTCACATTCTTAGTTATGCTTCCAATTTGAGTTATCAAGGAAAACAAATTTACCAACATTCCCAGAGACCACAAATGGAAGTCAGGGAAGGGTTCATAGCACCAATTCCTTCCTGTCTTTCTGTCACATGCAGAATCCCCAACTACGAAAATAAGGGAATGTTTGGGGAATCTTCACTTTGCCTCCTAAGCAAATGAGCTTTAGAAAAATGATTTAAATACCCTTTGCCAAGTAACATAAGATATCCAGAACAATGACTGGCACAGAGTACGTCCCTTAGATTTGATCCACCCTACTTAAAAAAATTTATAGATTTCAATATTTGAAAATGACTGATTGAAACAAACTAACTTTCCAAAAGGCAATGCACAGTAGCCCATTCTTCTTACTGTAATGAATGAGGCTGCAGTTTAAACTCAAACTTCCTTGTTTTCCACTGCGTGGCCTGAAGCTCGACCTTTAATCTGCCCACTCGTCCCTTGTCCTGCCAGCTTGCATTGAGCACACAGTTCTTCCTTTCTTCCCCATGGCCCACCCTGGGAGAGGACGGACAAGGGTGTCTCAGAAAGAGTCACCTGAGTTTTTCAAGTGCCAGAGGCACCTCCCGCCTCAAAAGGCAAAGGAACCCCCAGATTTCCATAGAGTTGACTAGTAGACAGCTCGCTCTTGCTGAAATCAAGTAATGCAGATGCTGGCTTTTGAAAAGGCAGGGTGTATTAAAAAAAAAAGCCAAAAAAAAAATTCCTAGTCAATTAACAACAAAAAAACCACTAAAATTTTCTGCTGAAGCTTCTATTCAATCCTCTGACCCCTAACTGAAACTTCAGCAGCACCAATAAAGTAACATCAGTTTTTTTTCTTTAATACACCACTCTTCAAGCAGACAGGAAAGGAATTATCTGCAAGACGGTCTACTCATTTTTACCTAAGTTAGTCCATCTTTTAACACAAAGTAAATAGAATTGATTCCTACCTAAGTTCCTCCAAAACCACCGTGTTGTCATATGGTCCAACCACGAGCTCCCCCAGTCTCCTGTCATCCCCCGTGGGGTGGAAGGTGACTTTATAACCCTTCACTTCCCCAGGGGCAGGCTCCCAAGTCACTCGGAAGCTTGACATGGTTGAGTCAGAAGTTTTGAGGTTTCTGGGTGACTTAAATCGAGACGCTGTAATGATAAGATTTTTTTAAATGTTATCCATGAAAGCAAGCTTTTGGGTTTTGTATTAGGCCCAAATGATAAATTGATTTAGAAATACCTATGTATAACATGTATGGGAATAGTCACAAATATTACACTGACAAATATATTAATAAGAAGAGTCAAGTCTGGTAGCTCAAGAAATAATACCCAGGCTGGGGGGGGGGGGGGGGTGACTCAAAGGGCTGGAGCATATGCTTTGCAGGCAGAAATCCCAGGTTCAATCCCAGAAACACCTGGTTCCCTGAGAACCACAAGGTGTGTCACCCCTCCCCCCAAAAAAACTGAAAAAATGCCCAATTAAACATAGGCGAGAGAGACAGTACAGCAGGTAGAACATTTGCCTTGCATGCAGCCAAACCAGCGCCCCTTACAGTCCCCTAAACCCTGCCAGGAGTAATCCCTAAACACAGAGTCAGGAATAAATCCTAAACACAATAGGGGTGGCCCCCACAAAAACCAAAAAAAAATTGTGGTAACAATATGCTATCCAGGCAGAAGCATAATTAATTTCCAAATGTCACAAAAATAACACTTGAACATTAATGGACTGCTCACTTTAGTCAGAAACTAGACTGGTGAAAATAATGTGTGAGTTGGCATAATTTAATTCACTACAGGATCAATTTCAGACATTGATAAATGAAGTAGCTGCATTAAAAGTCTTCCTTTTGGGGCTGGAGTGATAGCACAGCGGGTAGGATGTTTGCCTTGTACGCTGCTGACTCAGGTTCGATTCCCAGCATCTCATATGGTCCCCCAAGCACCGCCAGGGATAATTCCTCAGTGCATGAGCCAGGAGTAACCCCTGTGCATCACTGGGTGTGACCAAAAAGCAAAAACAAATTTTTCCTTTTAACACATTACACTCTTTTCGAAACATTATTATTTTGTACCTGTTGTTCCAAATCCTTGCCGAAGTTTTCCTTCTCCGGTCTTATACATTGGGAGAACAGTGATGTTATACGTGGTCTGGGGTTGAAGACGCTTCAACACTGTTGAGGTGACGGTGGGTGGCACTTTAGCGACCATCTGTCTCCCACCCCCACGGGGGCGATACACGACACGGTAGTTGACCACTTTCCCCGGAGCAGGTTTCCAGGTAATTCTCATTGTATTCTCTGTTTCTTCATCCACTTTCAAGGTTTTAGAATCCTGGGACACTGTAAGATATAAGGAAGATTACAATGCATGTCAGGTTGAAAGGACGGCATATATGTACATACAATGACATATATATATAGTCTACCTTTTCAGTTATGTGAAATAAAACTATTTTTGGTTTCTTAAATACGTACACCATTCTTTTGCTTAATATTGTGACTTCTTTTAAGTCCATGATAGCATGCGAACCTAATCTCAGTGAGATTTACTGAGATGCTTTCTCTTTATCTGGCTAATAAATTCACAAAATGAAGTTCCTATCGCCAGGATTTCCTATTTGCATTCCAAAGACTTTTGTAAAGAAAACATTCATTTCCGCAGATGAGGTTTTAGAATTTTTATCATACTTCCATCTCTAAGGAATTTCTCTAGCAATAATATTGTGGATTATACTAAAAGTCAGGAATTTTAAGTTAGAAATATCACTTGGGTCTCTTCAGAAGAATATATAATTCATAGACCACTAAGCAAACTATGATTAAAACTATGCTTTGTTTTTAATTTTTGGGGGCAGTGGTCAGTGTTTCTCCAGGCTCACTCTTGGCTCTGTTTTCAGGTAACAGTCCTAGTGGTGTTGGGGACCAGGTGAAGTGTCCAGGATAATTTTTTTTATTGAACCCGTGAGATCAGTAACAAAGCCTTTCAGTTTAAGTCTCAGTCAGTCACACAATGATCAAACACTCGTTCCTTCACCAGTGCACATCTTCCACCACCAAGAACCCCAGTGTGACAGATTTCCACTTTACTCTCTCACTCTATGTTGATCACATTCAATATTACGACAAAAGACCCAATATTATTATTAGGAATTTTCCCCAACATTCAGACCTGCCAAAGAGACTTCATTAGATAATTTGTTTTCTATTGCTGATTATGAAAAGCACATGATGTCGTGTGGCTGGAGTAGCAGCCATGCGAATTTGGATTTCTGATACTTTAGTAATAAGCCTAGAGGGATTACTGCCAACGGCCTCTGGGTTCTGAGATTGGTTTGTGTGCTTCTGGGATCATGGTTGTTTGTCCCTGAAAGACAGGCTTGAAATGGTGGTGGGAAAATCTGAGAAAAATATAATGCCCAACCTAAACGCATCTGGGCTGTGCATTTATTTAACTACAGTGCTATGCTGCCCTGGGAGGGGAAGGGTGTCTGTCCCTCTGCCTGTCCCCCCTTGTGGCGGCGGCATGTTAGCCTCCAACTTTTAGAGCCTAATGAACAGGTATGAGACTGTGGGGCCTCGTGGGATGGGGGGTGGAATTGGCCCTGCTTCCTGCCTTGACAATGCCCCGGGTAGCCACCCACAAAAGCCCTCCGGCTCCTGAATGACCATGATCCCAGAGGCACACAAACCAATCTCAGTGTCCAGGATCTTACCACTGTATTATCTCTCTGTCCCCTGGTTAAGACTATTCTTTAAGACTATGAAAGCAAAGGAGTTGAAAACTCTAATGCATAAAGTATCTCAAGGACTCCAAAGAGAAGCTGGTAAATTCTAAGTGTTATATATGTTAGAAAACATACATCAAAAAAGTTCTTGAACTCTTCACAATAGCCAGAATCTGGAAACAACCCAAGTGCCCGAGAACAGACAACTGGTTAAAGAAACTTTGGTACATCGTCACAATGGAATACTATGCAGCTGTTAGGAAAGATAAAGTCATGAAATTTGCTTATAAGTGGATGGCCATGGAGAGTAGCATGCTAAGTGAAATGAGTCAGAAAGCAAGGGACAGACAAAGAATGACAGCACTCATCTTGAATGCAAAATAACATGATATGAGACTGACACCAAAGGACAGTAGATTCAGGGGCAGGAATATTAGTCCATGGTCGGCAGCCTGCCTCATGAGCTGGAGGAGAAGGAAGCTGGAATATAGAAGGGATCACTAAGTCAATGATGGTTGAAGGGATAATTTCATATGGGAGATGTATCCTGAAAGTAGATAAAGGACCAAACTTGATAGCCTCTCAGTATCTGTACTGCAAACCATAATGCCCCAAAGTAAAGAGAGAGTATGGGGAAATTGTCTGCCGTAGAGGTAGGGAGAACAGTGGGATGGTGGCAGGGGTGAGGAAGCTGAGGGTTGAGGGGAATACTGGGGACATTGGTGGTGAGAAATATGCACTGATGGAGGGATGGGTATCCGATCATTTTATGACTGAAACTCAAACATGAAAGATTTGTAACTGTATCTCATAGTGATTCAATAAAAAATAAAGAAAAAGTGATTCATATATAATGAATTATATGTTTAACAATCCACCACATTATTGACTATACCAGGAATAGATTATCAAACATCCACAACTAACTGATACCTTTTTATACTTCATTTGACATTAGAGACAGGATTATTTCATTCACTTCCATAATATTAGCAGACAAATATCAGAAGCATTTTCTGTAGGAAGAGACTAAGCTCAAGGAAACACAGCAGGGAATATTTCATGATTGTAACAGAAGTTTTCATGTTCAAATGAGCAAGGACCACTTGAAACAACAGAAAGGAGGGATACTGAACATCAGACAGTAATCCATGTGGGCCTCTGAGTTTAACAGGTGAGAATGAGCTTTATGGCTGCCTTGACTTACACCTTGGAGAGTTTCCAGCCTCAATACAAGCAGGGGAACTTCCTTGTAACCTATATTATCCCTTAGTTAAGGAAATGATTGTGTGAACTTGAATAATCTCAGGCACCTAAAACTTGCATCAGAGTTCAGTGCAGAAGATGGTGTCACAGACAAAAAGTTCTAAACATCTACCAGGAAAAATCCTTTCAAATCTTTAACCCAGATCTAATCAATGCACACAAGTGAGGGAACTGCCAAAAACAAGGAAAGAACTAACAAAAGAAGAAGAAACAATTTCTGAACTTCTTACAAGGACAAAAATGTTCTCCCTGGGGAGATATCTATGATATAATCAGCCAAAAGGCAGAGAACAGGTGATTAAAATTATATTGTATAAGTAGATGGGTCTGGACTGAAGTTAGTCAGGAGAGTGACAGATGTAGAATAATATTCCTCATACCTTGGGTATAAAGAAACATAGTTAACGAAATAGCAAATGGCCAAAGGTAACTGAAACTGAGAATTGGTCTTTAATAGGGAGCATGTCACTGTAAGGCAGACTGAGGGAAAGGACAGGTGGAGGGACACTGGTACAACAGGAGAGGGAAGCTGACACTCTGGTGAAAAATGTGGTGTTAGATAGAGAAGGGAACACCAAGTAACGGATGTTTGGCGGACTCGCTTGGGATGCGAGATGTGTGCTGAAAGTAGACTAATAGACCGAACACGATGGCCACTCAATCCATCTATTGCAAACTAAAAGACCCTGAAGGAAAGAGTGAGCAAAAGAGAATACCTTGTCACAGAGGCAGAATGGAATGGGGGGGGTGCGGGGGTGGGAGGGATACTGGGATCATTGGTGGTGGAGAATGGGCACTGGTGGAGGGATGGGTACTCGATCATTGTACAACTGAAATCCAAGAACAAAAGTTTGTAAGCCTACAACTGTACCTCATAGTGTTTCACTAATAAAAAAAAAGAAAAGAAAAATGTGGTGTTGGAATGTTTAGTGCACAAAACCCTTCCATTATCAATACTGCAAACCAGTGCCTAAACATAAAAACTTTAATTATATCTATGATCACATGTCAATGATAGAGGAAGAAATGTCGGTCATATTACAACAGAGAGCACATAAAAGAGCTTAAACCAAACCTTAGAGATGCAAAACACAATGTTGAAGATTTAAAAAAATGCACAGAATATTAACAAATTAAAAAATAACAAAAAAGACTGGAGAACTTGGTAGCATGATAATATAAACTTTCCAACAGAAACATGATAACTAAAAAGAAGTTACAACATGCACTCAATCACATCTTGATCCCCAGTACCACTTGGTCCCCAAAGCATCGCAGACTACATCCCTGGAGGTTCCTGTGCACCACAAGGGTGGTCTGAGTCATCCCCAGCACCCCAGAACCTGAGCAGTACCACGTAACCAAGGCACTCACACTGAACTGGTAAGAGAAGCCCTGGTCTCCTGAACACCATGAGGAGGGGAGGGGAGGAGAAGGAAGAGCCAAAGGAGGGAAGGGGAGTGGGTGAGAAATGGAAGGGAAACAAGAAAACAAACTGCTTGAAAAATGAACAGCATGCCATGACCCATGATAAGTTCAAGCAGACTAATATAATTGGAGTTACTAAAGAACATAAAGTGGGCAATGAATAAAAACATTTTTAAAATAATAACCCAAATATTTTCAAATTTTAGAAAACTATTTATCCACAGATACAAGAATCCCAATCAACCTCCAAGCACGACACGTAAACTACCTCAAGCATTGTGTAAGCAACAACTAAAATCAGTTGATAAAAAGAAAATATTTGAAAGCAGCCATATATACAAACAATTTGTACAGAACACAAGAATAACAATGATAAAACAGATCTACTTGAATACTATGAATTATGTTTTTTTAGGAATATAAAAGTATAATTTCAACCTTGAGTAAATTGTAAACAATGTCTAGTTTTGTGATTTAAAAAAGAATAAAACTAAGAATTCTCAACCCGACCAGAGAGATTATACAGTGGGTGGGGAGCTTGTCTTGCATGTGGCCAACTTGGGTTCAATCCTCAGTAGCCCATGTGGTTCCCTGAGAACCACCAAATGTAATTTCTGAGTGCAGAACCAGGAGTAATCCCTGAGCACTGCCAGGAGTGTCCAAAAAAAAAAATCTCAACCAAATCTATTTGTTTCTAGAAAATATCAGCTTTATGCAGTTTAATCCAAATTCTTCATTACTATTCTCTGGGTAAGCAAATTATTCAAAGAAAAGCATATTTTTGAAATAAAAAATATAAATACTTTGCCTATCATTTTGAAAACACTATGCAAAACATACAGCATATGAAACAATAATTTATGTGGATTATAATTTACCAATTATCAAAAATATAAAATAAGTTCGGATGGATCTAACACTTTTTTTGTGTCATGCTAAAAATTTGCTAAGATGTGTTCTTCTGACATGTTGTTTCCATGTCTTAATTTTTTTTCAATAAAATAAGACATCTTTCTCTTATACAAAACCTCAGTTTTCAACAAATCAGAATGAGGTGTTGGGGGAGGAATTACTTAGGCCTATGAGTGTTAGCTAAAAATAAGTCAATTCCCAAATAAGAACAGGATCACAAGTTTAAGAGTGTTAACATCTTAAGGTTGACCTCATACTTTAAGATGTTCAACATCTCAATATACATGTCTGTTCCAAAAAACTGTAACAGCAAGTCTCACAATGGATACATTACTGGGCCCACTCTAGCAAATTGATGAACAACAGAAGGACAGTGCTACAGTATTTTAATTATTTTTTTCAAGTTTGCATGAAGTAAATATAAATTCAACATCTACTTTTGATGGAAAACTGGGTTTTAGTAAGAGAGTGGGGAAAAAGTGTTGGCTTCGCATTAGTGAAAAGAAAGATTTGTCACTTCATTGACAGGTATTCTACAAACTATAAAAGGCTGTAACACTCACATTGTAAGTTCTTTTCATGCTTTTTGCAATTTTTCACAAGATCCTTTCCAATGTCTCTTTGTCTTTCAGATAAACTACCTTTCATAGGCCTATGCCAATATCCCACCTGCTAGCTTCTTAGCCATATGCATGGTTTTCCTTATATCAACTATCTGAATGTTATGTGTTCAAGTTTCAGGTGAAATAATTCTGAATATGTTCTTCAAATGTCACTGGGAAGTTTATAAGAAATTTTAAGAGCATGACCTACTAACTGTGCCCAGTTTATCCACACCTTCAGATACATCCACATCTAAATACCATGTCTCAGAAACTTCTCAAATTTCCTAAGCTGGGCTGGAGCCATAGCACAGTAGGAAGGGCATTTGCCTTGCATGAAGCCGACCCAGGTTCAATTCCTCTGTTCCTCTCAGAGAACCTGGCAAGCTACCTAGAGTATCCCACCGACACAGCAAAGCCTGGCAAGCTACACGTGACGTATTCAACATACCAAAAACAGTTAACAAACAATAAGTCTCACAATGGAGACGTTACTGGTGCCCGCTCAAGCAAATTGATGAACAAAATAGGAGGACAGTGCTACAGCTCTACTTCCTAAACTGTTTGCTTTCCATAAGGAGAACAAAATAAAACACACATCCAAAAAAACGGTATTAAAACAAAGAAATGTTCTTTTTGGCTTCTCATGCTCTACAAAATGAATGTTTCGTTCCTTCCTAGTCTGATCCTACTTCAAAAGAAGCTTTCTGGTGTGGAGCAATAGCACAGTGGGTAGGGCATTTGCCTTGCACATGGCCGACCCGGGTTTGATTTCCAGCATCACATACCATCCCGTGAGCACCACCAGGGTAATTCCTGAGTACAGAGCCAGGAGTAACCCCTGTGCATTGCCGGGTGTGACCCAAAAAGAAAAAAAAAAAAAAAGAAGCTGTCTGTTCACTCAAGTCAAAAAAAAATTAAAATATGAAAACATTTTAGATGTTCAGCTTCTTAGACATTAAACTTTATTTAGAATTTATGCTAACATACTTGCTTTAGGCCAAAATTTATAGTATATGCAGATTTTCAATCCCAAATACTTAAAGACTCATTCAATTTTTCGTTAATTTTGTGGCCACGGCAGTATTCAGAGCAAACTCCTAGCTCTGAGCTCAGGGATCATATCTGATCACTCCTGATGGAGTTCGGGGGACCAGACGGGGTGCAGGTGATGGAACCCTGTCAGCTGCATACAAGGTAAGCATCCTAACTGTTGCGCAATCTCTTCAGCTCCTTGAAAACTCTTTCTGATTGGAATAGACACAATGGGAGGGGTAACTGATTGATTGATTGATTGATTGATTGATTGATGCACTTACTGGTTTGGAGGCCATACCTAGCAGGGTTCAGGGCTCTCTCTTGAAGCTCAAGGATCACCTCTGGCAGGGCTCAGGGGACCATATCTGGTGTCAAGAATTGAACCCAAGCCAGCCATGTACAAGGCAAATGATTTGCCTGTTGTACTATCTCTCCAGCCCAACATCTTTGAAAAACTTTCTTCAAAAAAAAACATAATTTGGGGTGCTGGAGAAATATCTTAATAGGCTGGCACATACATTGCAAGCAGGAAAACCAAGTTGTATTCTTGGCACCGTGTGTTCCCCTAGATACCACCAGGGAGTAATATCCCTACCCCAAGCAAAGAACTGGGTGTGGCCTCAAAATAAACAAAATTAATTACACATAAGAAAGAAATTAATTAGACTAAGATAATTCTGAATCACCAGAATTGTGCAGTGGCAATAAGGATTCTAGGATTAGTCTTGAGTACACAATTAACATAGTCTCAATAGATTTTGATTTATCGATACATCTAATTTGTTTGCTACTAAGCTTGGTCATTAGCACCTTGTTGTTTCATTGAATCATCATGACAATCTAAAAGACTACACTGTACAGATTAGGAAGATTAGGAGATTTACTCTCAAGCAAGATTAAGTAATTTGCCCCAAGGTAAAACATTTATAATTATACCTGAACTCTCTTTGTCTCCATAAATCCTGATCATTTTACTAATTGAATAAGTTATACAACTAGTGAGTAGTTTCATATTTAACTGATAATTCGTTTTCTTATATACAAAATCAGAAGGATGAGGAGATGATGGTGGACACAAGAAAAATGTAAGTTGAAGTAGTGATTCAATATTTCAACATCTGATATTTTTAAATGTATGTCACGGTCACGGTTCTCCCATTGTTCATTGATTTGCTCGAGCGGGCCCAGTAATGTCTCCATCGTGAAACTTGTTGCTACTGTGTTTGGCATATCGAATACGCCACGGGTAGCTTGCCAGGCTCTGCCGTGCTGGCGAGATACTCTCGGTGGCTTGCTGGGCTCTCCGAGAGGGGCAAAGGAATCGAACTCGGGTTAGCCATGTTGGCTGCGTGCAAGGCAAATGCCCTACCGCTGTGCTATCACTCCAGCCCTTAAATGTATAATGAACCTGAATTTGAACCACATCCCTAATATTTAAATCATTATTCACATAAAAAAAGAAAGCAAATGGCTAAACTTCCTGTCCCTTGAGCTAAAAGCACCAACACACAATCTTAATGTTACCTACATTCAGTTGTGGCTTCTCCACTCAAAGGTTCTCCTTCTCCACTGCTGTAAGTGGCAAATACAGAAATTCTGTATTTGGTCTCTGGCTGCAGATTTTCTATCACAGTATGAATCGCATCTCCAGGAAGATTTTTCTCTCCAGTCTCGATATCATCATAAAGTGATTTCCATGACACTCTGTAACCTCGTACCATTCCTGGAGCAGATGTCCAATAAGCTCCAATTGATGTGTCAGTGATATCTTTAGTAATTAAATCCTTAGGTGAACCACGTTCTAAAATAGAAATAAAAAGATAATTTTTTCATGTCCATTAGATAATATTCACACCCATTCCTCCTAGTAGACATCCTAACTTGTTAAACACAAATTAGATTTGTCCAAATCTGCCTGTTTCTTCTGCCAGTGGAACAGATTGATTGAATAAAAGTTTAGAAGTAATCTAATCCTACCTATGACCCTAAGAGTTGTAAGAGCACACTGTCAGGTACTTAAAGACAAGAATGACATCCAAATGGGAAGCAATGCATGCCTTAAAAAGTTTTTCCAAGTAGACTATAGACTGAACAGGATTGCCACTCTATGCCTCTTTTGCAGACCACAAAACCCAAAAGGAGAGAGAGAACAAAAGGGAATGCCCTGCCACAGAGGAAGGGGGGGATGGGAGGGATAGGGGTGGGAGGGATACTGGGATCCATGGTGATGGAAAATGGGCACTGGTGGAGGCATGGGTATTTGATCATCGTATAATCGAAACCCAAGCACAAAAATTTGTAAATCTGCAACTGTACCTCATGGTGTTTCACTAATAAAAATAAAAAAGAACAAACCCAAAAAAAATTATAGCCATCTCAAAAATTTTAAAAAAAAAGTTTTTCCAAGGGTAAAAAATTCATCTAGATCCCAAAACTTTACCATGTTTCAGTTCAACTTCTGAAAGTCCATTGTTCAGAAAGCTCTGGAGTTCCTTAGCATCACCATTTCTCTCTGATCTAATTTAAATAACTTAAAGCTCAGTCCTAGTGTACAATATACAATTCCTTCAACAATATCATGTCACTTACAAATATGAATTCCCACAACCATTTTTATGTAAACTGTTCCTCATGCAGTTACCCAAAAAAGTGGGAACTTTCAATAAAGCTTAACCCTAATAAAACTAAAAACCACCAATTCTTCTGGAAAACTTAAAAGTGACTAGTCAACAAAATAAAACATACCACTTATTCTCACTGATCAAAAACGTCTGTTACTAAGTTTTGACTCTTTCATTAAACAAAAATACAACCCAAATGGAAAAATATGGAAACCTTAATATAATAGGAGGCACAGATGTGTTCCAATAAAATTCTCATTTTCCATACTTTAAATGTAAAATAAATATACAAGTCACTTTATACTGACTACCTTTGCTGGGGTTTATGCCATTGTATGACACAAATATAAAACAATCTGCTTCTATGGCATACATTTCACCAGTAATTTTGTATATTCAAACAAATGATATATAATGCTGTTGTGAGAATTTTGAAGGCTACTGTTCAACTCAGTCAAAGGCAAAACAGTATCTTAAAAACAGAATCAAAAAATTAAATTTTAGCACAATATAAATAAAGATAATAAACAAAAAAATCTGGGTAGACAAAAAAAAGAACATACAGTAGAATTCAGAGGGGAAATTAAATACAACAGAGACTGGGCATCTGACCAGACCTAAGCCAAATGGAAAATTCTAACTCCATAATAAATATCCTTAACTTCTGACCGGATATCTCATCTCTAGAGTAAAATCAGTTACATATTTCACTGCAACCAAGAATGAATACTTATTTTCAAGAACACACTAAGATTTTCTCCAAGTACTTGAGGTTAATTCTCATTTGAAGTTTGTCTCAAACTGTATTTGCTACTTCAGTGACCAAACATCTCTTTATTTTCCACATTATAAAAATTTAAAGTTTCTCTGGTCTAGTTCAGTTGGTTTTGTGGTGGTTGGTTTGGAGGTGGTTGTTTGTTTCTGACTTTGTTTTGTTAACTGATACCCCAATAATTGATCCCTAAATTGCACATGCATAAAGATGTGCCATTTACTTAATATATGCCCTTTTTTGTCTGTGTCTCGTATGCTAAAATTTCTTAAATTGCAATCAAGAGCATCTGTGGTTAAATAATTATAGTTGAAACCAACTTTGAATTTAAATTAGCTAAAAAAAGTATTAATATAAAATTTAAGCATAAGACAAAGGTGGCTAAGACTTAGTAATTATCTTCCAAATAAACGGTGGAGTAATTTACAAACAATAGTTTCAGCCTCTCATTTTCCCTAATGTTCTACTTCTCATCCTAATTTCCTTCCTACATTCTACAACCCTGAATTTGTGGCATTGTTTATTTCCATGGCAACAGACATCAATCTCACAAACACAGACTAATGATTCCACTGTGAGAAAATAATAGAAAGAATTGTGGCTGAAGAAAAATACATTCACAAGGATATTTCTGGGTTGTAAAAAAAAAGCTACATTAGAAGATATGTATTCCCATGGATTATAATGAACAATTTTAACACTGAAGACCAAAATTAGAACAAAGTAAATATCAAAGAAAAATAAGACTTCTGCAATGTTTATGAATGTCCTTAAAAGAATCTGCAGACCAATCTTAAGATACAAATGAATCATTGAATTTTAAAAAGTCCTGGGTTGGAGTGATACCGCACTGTAGGTAGGGCACTTGCATGCAGCAAACCCAGTTTTGACCTGCAAGCATCAAGAGCGATCCCTGAGAACACTGATTGAATAATGCTTGGAGGGCTCGCTCAGGATGGGAGATGTGTGCTGAAAGCAGACTACAGACCAAACATGATGGCCACTTGCTACCTGTACTGCAAACCATAACACCCAAAAGAAGAGAGAGAATAAAAGGAATTGTGAGGCAGGGAAAGGGGGATGGGGTGTATGGGGGGAGTGGGGGTGGGATACTGGGACCATTGGTGATGGAGAATGGGCACTGGTGGAGGGATGGGTACTCAAGCATTGTATGAATGAAATGTAATCACAAAAGTTTGTAAGTCTCTAACATTTCACAGTGACTCATTTAAAAAGAAAAAAAAAAGAGTGATCCCTGAGCACAGAGTCAAGAGTAAAACACGGATTATAGTAAAAACAGAGTAAAACACTGAGCACTGTTGGATGTGGCAATAAATAAATAAATAAATAAATGGATAAATTTTTGAATTTCTAAATCCTAGAAATTGGAGGGATAGCTTACCAGAGAGATAGTACAGTGAGTTAAGACACTTGCCTTGCATGCAGCCAACTTCAGTTCAATCATATCCCCCCCCCCCCCCCCCCCCGCCGCCGCCTAGCACCACCAGGATTTATCCCTGAGCACAGAGATCAGAAGAAAGTCCTGAGCATCCACAGGTGTGGCCCAAGGAAAGAAAAAACTAAAAAAAAAAAAGTCCTAAATTCTAATTAATGGCATTACACTAATTTGAGTGAACATGAGCTTCTCATTACAGAAAATAAAATCCACTCATAAAAACAAGTATAATTTTTGCCTGTGGTGCAAAAACGCATTACTTATGGCCACCAGCAAAGCAACAGTCTGTACTAATGACAAAAAAATAAAAATAAGGACATCTCAATTCAGAAGCCAAGATGAAAGGATAAACTGTTTTCTGTGGGTTTCCTATTTGTCAACCTGTACACTTGAGAAGAATATTTGTAAATATTCATTTTATATCATTGCCAAATAGTTTAATAAACTTTTTTTTCTCCAGAAAAGCAAAGGGGTTAAGTATTCCAATTGTTTCATTAAAGTCAAGACTTTTGATAATATAACATGACAATTAAATTTTATGAGACCTATAAACTGTTGTGGTTTAAAACATTTTGACTTGGTCAAGTGTTAGATTACAAAAGAAGAAGAGGAGGAGGAAGAAGAGGAGGAGGAGGAGGAAGAGGAGGAGGAGGAGGAGGACAAGGAGGAGGAGGAGGAGGAGGAGGAGGAGGAGGAGGAGGAGGAGGAGGCAACTGGATTGCACCCTATGTTATAATTGGAAGGTCTCAAGTGGTTAAACTGCATGTTATTTCTCTTGGCGCCCTGAGGTTCTCAGCAGTAAAATAATGAACTGAATCTAATCATTCATAAAATTGACAAGTAAGTCAAAGATCAACCAATGCCCAACTCAGTTAAATTGGAGTGTGTAATGACAACTTACTAGGAATCCTTTAAATTCCGACTATGACTCTCTCTCTCTCTCTCTCTCTCTCTCTCTCTTTCTCTCTCTTTCTCTGTCTCACCCCTCCGACCTACTCCTCTCTATCCTATCTAAAAAGGAAAGGAAATGGTTCTCAATACATGCTTCTTATTCAAGATTTCAAGAGTTTATCACATTTTCCTGAAGTTGGGGGCAATCTAAGAATTATCTAGCCAGATATTTGCCTTGGTCTAATATACTGAACTGTACATTTTGTTTTCAAACTTAAAAAACTTCAGTATAACACCATTATAATTATAAGATACAACACTGATTTTCCTTTCTACATTGGCTTCTTTATTTATTTATTTTGGCAGGGTGGTAGAAAGGTTACTCTTGGCTCTGCTCAAAGGACCATGCAGTATTAGGGATTGAACCAGGGACTCCCACATGAAAGCAATCAGTTACAACCCTTTGGGGCACCTCCTCAGGCCAACATCACCTTTCTTCAAATGAATTGAAACCTAAGTTCACCCGTTTTTGAAATGTTGGTGCCCAGCACTTCTGATTATAAAATGCATTCAGATATAACCAATGGACATTTTTCTCATGCATGCCTGCAAGCATCTTTGTGCTGCTACTGTGGGGAGTAGCAGACAGGTGCATGCCTCAAGATCTGACCATCCACAAGGGTTTGATTCCTAAGTTTTCCAGAGATAAAGCCAAAGGACTAATGCCTGATTTAAGTAACTTTCCTAATTTCCTTAGTCCTTTTCTATTTGCTTTCTGAAAGCAAATCGCCATCCAATTCAAATATAGTTATAACCCAATTTAGCCACTGATGATACTTGAAAATTAATCATAATAAAATAAAAAAACTGTATTTCAACTTATGGGTTGTGATTAGCCAGCTTTCGCTGAGTTTCACATATCACTTTCAAAAATAGAAGTTAAATTGAAAATGTAATGTAAACCCTCTTCTAAATCAATTTGTCTTTTCCGTTGGAGCTCAACTCAAAAGTCATCCAACTTTCCATGGCAGAATACAGAAGACCTGCTTCTGGATAATGTT